TAAATAGCTCAGCTAAATGCAGGGCAAACTGGATCATGCTGACTGGCAGAGTTAAAGAATGTAACTTATTAATTTAAATATTTCATTATCTATAATTATTATTCTAAAATAGTATTTCAGTGTGTTCTATAGCCACCATATCATATATGCATTCAGTAAATTAAAAAATTATAATTTATGAGAAAATAGCAAAGTTTATAACAATATATTTTATATGGAGCATTCAGAAAATTATTTTTCGATGATCAAGCTTAATTAATAATTTAAAAATAACGGTAAATATTTAATTGATGCCAAGACAGAAAGATTGATCAGTGAGTTAATTCCAATAAACTGCTACTGTATATTCTCTTTGATTATTATTAATTATAAATTGCGGTTGTATAAATAAATTAAAGAGCAATTTATTAATTACATAATCTATCGAAACTTACGATAATTAACATAAAATACAAACACATAACTATACGATTTACGAATAGTTATTGAATAAATCATTTTAATCATTATCAACATTTCCACCGAGTCGTAAACGCAATTCCTAATGGATTGATTTTTCTTCGTATTCTATTCGGTGACAATAGTGATCCATTATTCACCGGAATGACTGAGAAATTCTCATAAATTGTTACATTCTTTTATTAGTTTTAAGACTGAAGACAGAGTAACTATAGATCAGATGAGAATTCCACTTCATTTTTAAATAAAAAATAATACAAAAGCGGTATCTTTTAGTTACAATGTAATCTATAGATAAAAAGATTGACGCTATGATCAGACTAATTGTGTATCTACTTCAACATATCGCGAATAGCAGTATAATGCTCTTACTAAAACCTGAATAGAAATAACTTTTAATCTACATTTTAGCCACACCTACACTAAGCGAAATTTCGTTTTAAAATTATTATTCTATATTATCAATTATCTTAGCTGTTTGACGTCAATCTGACGTTAACATTCATTTATTATAGTTATGTCATTGTATGACTTAATATTTTATAATTTATTGATCGACAAACTCTAATTTCTTTGACATAAATTATATGATAATTGTCGTTACGATATTTCTATGTCCTAGAGATAATAAAATACTAAATACTATCTTTATTTTGATGTACTTATAGTAGATTACAATGTCGCATAGCATTTTATATTCTATAATTTAGTGTCAAAATCATAATAATTATTAAAATCAATATTCATTGCAGATCCAAATTAGCTTAAGATTAAAATTATAAAGATAAATGGCCTGATTGCTGCCAGATTGTCCTTGGCCGTTGTAAGACGAACTTGATTTATGTAATGAAGTAGAGTTTTCAAGAAAAGGGAGTTCTTGTTTATTATTTTAAAGATACTTTATGACACAATTAAACTAAATATATAACTTAATTTTGTAAAACGTTGAAGCTTATTAATGTACCTACACCTATATAGTAATTCAACTTACATACTGATACCTGATTATCAAACTCAGACACCGGTATTTGATCATTTTAATGAAAGAAAAGATAGCATACCAATTATTAATCTATAGTAACGTTTAAAACTGAATTAAGATTAATGTCTACATCTGATGTTGGAAAGTGTATTGGGAAACAGAAGATGACTTCTTCTTATATTAGACTAAGTATCAAGTCTTTAGCTGGTGTAATGTCAGCCTCATAGCTAGTTCCTAAAGCTGACTATTTGTAACGAGAGCACATTCTTATCGATACACTTATCATAGTAAATAATAAGACTTGTAGCCACTTCATTGCATAGTGTTATAAATGTTGTGAGGTATTTAAATTTAAAATTAATTTACAATCAGACGGAGTTACATATTTTAGTACGGGAATATATTTATTACTATAGCTAGTAGGTGTGCATTATATAGTCAATAAATTAATACGTGATAATATCATATGTTTAGTAATTCATACTTTAATCGTGCATGCAAGGTGTCCACTTCCCTAAGCCTTACACGAAAATGGATTATTATTTAAGGGACTGGAAATCTAATAAATGCTAATCTCGAACTCAACCTACTCACGGTGTATTTCATGAGACATGCTAGTTTAAAAATGTGCAACATACAGTAATTAGACCTGTCTTGTGTTAGTTTATCCAACCAGTCGTTATTCTCAACTAGAATCTAAAAGAATGATCTTCTCTCTCATTGCAAAACTCCCATAACGTTCAATTGAAGAAGATTGACTTTGAATATAACCGAAGCATTGGTTGATATTTGCACTATTAGACTTTAAAGTGCTTTCGTCCTACGCAAAGAATTACGCGAAATGTGTAATACACAGAAGTCTTCAAATAATATTTCAGCTTAAAATTTTATTTTCATATTTGGGAATTGGATTACATTCGTTATATTGCCCTTTCAATGAGAAAAATATATTAGCTATAGAACTATGTCATTAGCACATACGATTCATACTAAATTACAATTCAGTATTGGTATCGAATCGATTGATAAAAATAAAAATAATAGACTTCTTAATTTAGAACCTAAAACTCGCAAAATAGATCGTGATGATATCGGTCATAAAACGTAAAATTTTAACTATTTTACTAAAATAATTTTCATATGGGGAAATTAGGTAGTTTCAAGGAAATGTTTTTCGATGAATATCAAATATATAATTGCCATTGTAACTATTCTCACGCTATTAGAGTGATAAAATTTTGAAACTTCAATAAAAAGATAAACATTACTTTATTTACTTGTTTAATAAAATTTCTAGCTTATTATTTATAGCACCTTCCGTTTTTCATAGTAACTAGCCATATTGTAATAATAAATCTAATATTAAATATAACAGGAACTAAAGTAGACTTCAATTAATTAGAGCTAATCCTCGCATGGGATAATTATATACGAAGATATATGACGGAAATAAATAAAAACAAAATTTAATATTTAAAAACATGTTACTTATTTGTGTAATTGGAGCTAGTGTACGAAGTTTACTCTATAGAATAGTAATCTATTATATAGGCCTATTTACAATCAAATTATTAAGGGAGTACAATTTTTCGAGTATGGATAGCTTATATTACCGAATATTTTCACTAGTTAGTCTAAATATAGCAGTTTAAGAAGAAAAGTAGGTACTTTAGATATATATTAGAGAAAATTTAACTGACTTGAAAATCAGAGCATGTAGTAATTGATTTATGTACAAGTATTTACTTATAACGGCATGAATTCGTAACGAAATATACAATTATTATATATATGTTTACTGATGCACATTCATAAAGAAAAATTTCAGTATATAACACTATTAAAGAAATTTCACAAAATTCAAGATAGATATTGTCTAGTCGCGATATCAGTAGTCAGTCATTCCCGAAACTATACCAATCGTGAAATATTCATAATAAATCAAACAATCCTAGGCAGGAATCCAGTCCAGCGCCGATAATGGGTTAAATCATAGAGGTTAAACAGCTTGAGTGATCGATTTTTACTGGGTGTCCTTTGCCTATATACGAGTACTTCCAATGCATTTTAATCCTAGCAATAATATTTCTCATTCGTAGCACCAACGGCCAAATTTATTGCGCAAGAAACCAGGAAAATCTAATGTTACGGCCGAGATTGTAATACATGAAAATTATGTAAAATAATTATACTTTTTCCTTGGTCGACCACATAAATCTATATAGCTATTGTTAATTAAGCTGATCGCATAATATTTGTTTCTGTACTAATATTGTTGATAGTTCTCCTCCTTTCATCCTACGGATAACTTTTTGATTAACGCATACAATTTTACTTTGGCTAGCTAAAGCCATGGCTACAGTTCAACTTAGTATTACTCTGTATTCTTATTCTATAAATACTATAATCCCTTTATGTAGCGCTATTCGTAATTAATGAATAAATAGATCAGTCAGCATTTTTAAGAATGACCACGACAATAATTCATTAACACCTATGGGAATATGCTACTCAACATAGTAATTGAGTATTAATATTCTACTAACAGTTACAATCGCTAAAACATTATTGCTGATCATTGAAATACCCACGCATACGTATAACATTCTCACATCACTTACTTTATAAGCTGTATGTTATGAGTTTGTTATCATCGCACCTGATTCCATTTTTTAACGGCAATGGATCGGCATGTTCAATTGTAAAAACATCAGCAAGTGAGAATGAAGGCATTGAACATTAATTTACTTCATTGAATAACTCAGGTAAATGATGTAGCATGCAGTCTATCTGACTTTGCGGTGATATGATTTGGCAATTTCATTTTTTATTTATAGATTAAATTCTTATACTGTACTTCTTTATAGAAAAATGGCGGTAATCAGAGTGTATACGATATTTCTACTGTTTGTGACTAAAATATTACATGATTGTATTTCAAGATCGATACTCAATATATTATAAATACATGATTGTATGCAAAGAAATTTCACACGAAATATCTATAATTATATTAATAGGAACAGTTAAATTATACTTTATAAAATTAAAGTTAACTAAGCTAAATCATAGAGAATTAATTCATAATGTATCAGTAACCACCCTAGTAAATCAGAATAATCTCCAAATAAAATCTTGACAATTTATAACATAACGCAGAAATAGTAAATGAGTATTATAAACCACACTAAACGTTCACTATACGCTATTCGTCTAAGAAGCTGTACTATTTTATAATAAAATCTAATAATGCAACGTGATATGTTCCTATGCTATTTCAACTTTCTCAGTATGATTTTTGCGTGTCTATAAATATATTATACTCTTATATCATACTATCTATTACTAACAAATACTGTGTAGATATTCAGTTGGGAAAATTGCGATTATACACAAAGGTGTGCTTTTCTTAATATTTTTCTTTGACGATTTGATTGGCTGAAATAAATCGTTGAATTTACAAGATTTTTTAGTGATTAAACTGCATAGACTCTAGTTGCAGATTTGGTAAAGAAAAGTATTTAGAAGGCTAATAATGAAGGATCCTATAAATAAGTGTCTAAAAACAACAGGAACTCTTTTCATTAACATCTGTTTGATTAGGTTCTTGCAGACGTAAGGAATCTTCAATAGGTGGAGCTAATGAAAAGATGAAAAAGACAATTACGCTATGTTTTATTACATAGGTTAATAATGTACATGCTATAATTAAAAGATGACATACCCAAGCCAAATCAAAATATAAATTATGATTAACTCTTAGCAAGTACATTACGGTATTAATTGTACAAAAGTTTACTACTTGTATATCTATAGCAAAAGTTTGCAATATTCCATTCAATTTCCTTTCATACTATATGAAACTTGCATAAATGCAATACCAATATCTCGAAATTAATGATAATCTATTTTTCTCCTCCCAAATTATTATAGTAGCCATGGTGATACATAATAAAACCTATTTAATAAATTCCGTTTCTCCATACCTTCACATAGAGTAAAGCCTGCAAAATCTGCCGCAACTAATTTAAATAGGTCATCTAAATAAAAAAAATAACGAATAAACAAGTGTAAAATTTAAGTCAATTCTTATAAGTATCACACCAGTTCGCTTATCAATCAATAAATCATGTAGCACGTTGCATTACTAAAGTAGTAAGTGACATAACATCTTCAAAACATACCAATTCCGTAGTTACTTTTGCTTGACGTTTCTACAAATTTTGCGTTAAGCTCTGAATAAGAAATAATATCGAAATAAAATTAGGCAATATTATGCAAAATAATATACAGCTCAGTACATTTGATAACGTAAAAACAAATAAATATTATTACAATATGGAATAAATGATACATATAATATATTATACGGAAATGTTAATACTAGTAGAATGAAATATGTAGGTCTCATCAAATTTTTACATGAGTGCTATTATTGCTTAGTAGATCTTGTTTTTCGCAACACAAATCAATTAATTCGTTTAGTTTATAGTAAATCTCATATTGCACTCACTTTTAGCATAAGCCATAACTTCAGTTGGGCCAACGGCACGTTTCAGGGGGCCTCCATATTCCGCCAATAAATCAGTTTTTGTCCCACAGATGTATAATTTGCAGTTCTGCTTAAATGAAATGAATAATAGCTCTGTGAGAGATGCTATTTATTTTGCATTAATTCTTTACAATTTTAGTATGCTAAGCCTGCTAAATATCGGTGATTGTAAATGTAACCAATTACAACTCTGACTACACACACAAACGTTAACCCGTACCTCAACCTTCTCCACCAGTTCTTTAACCCAGAAATCAACTTTATTATAACTCTGCCGATCTGCTAAATCTGTAAAATAAAAATTGTTTTGTCAATTCAATGTTGTAATATTAAAATGTTTACTAAATTCAATAGATATTGCAAATATATTGGTATTCTCCAAAATTAATAATTTCGCGAAGAGTAGGTAAAAGCTGCTCTTCAGTGACCACGTTTATAACAACTTAGCGTAGTAACAAAACAAGTGTAGTAACAACGTCACTATTGTCACGCATGTAAAAAGTATAATAAAAACTTTAAAATGCATTGATGAGATCTGATGTCACTATTTTACCGGTATAAATAACAAAGTACATAATTATTTACCGAAGCAGATAATTGCTGCAGATGAATTTCTATAGTAAAGAGGCGCCATAGACTCATAACGTTCGTCGCCAGCAGTATCCTTTAAAAGTAAGTTAAACCAAAATGTGACAATAGGACAGTCTGTTAATGAAGTCATAAATTACTATGAGATAGTACACCATAGAGTTTGCGACGTATTGTATGCACAAAGATTTCGAGTGATCGAGGTTATTAGATATACACGAATATTAGTCAAAAACCATATCTCTAATAGAAATTTTATTTGTTATCGTATTTGACAGCATCTTAATTGTATCGTTTTAAATTTAATATGATTTAATTTAAATATTATCATATTTCGATTTAATTACCCAAATAGCCAATACAACTTGTTTCCGTTCTTCTCCATGTATCAATTGTACTGTCTTTTTTGAGAAAGCTGCTCCAATGGTCTGTAATAAAGTATTATACGTTGTTGACGTTCAGTATGCTTCCAAAGTAAATAATGATACTGTACGAATTGTTTTACACATGTAAGTTATCCTATCCAAGAGCAATTACGCATAACAATTACAAATATTAATATTTTCTACTAGACTACACGTATACCGTTGATTTTAAAGTATAGTTGAACGAAATGTCACGAAGTATCGAAAGTTATTACATTGTTAGCTGTTATAATTAACACTACGGCTATCACATAAAAGCAATGATGATAGGATCGAAATGTTCTGCCGTATCATTTTACTTAAGCTGGGTGTTAGGATCATTAGACTGTATTCTTAATGATTGTGATGACTTTACCACAAATTGCTATTCTAACATAAAATAGGCATAGAACGAGTACGTTGATAGCATTTATTCAGTTAATATCCGTTATCTTGTTAGACATCTCTGCAAAATTTTTGTATCATACTAGTAGCAGGTAGCATTAATTCTAGCGAAATTTGCCTTGTAAAGCTTACAGAATTATAAACACACTAAGCTACCATTGCATGAAATCAACAAATGCATGCGTTATTAGGTCGCATCAACATTGATAACATGGAATCAATTACAAGGTCTACATCGATATACCAGGTGGTGCAACTTTAAAGAACAGTATAATCAAGGAAAGTAAGAGCATATTACAATACTATAGCAACAAGATTTGAATCTTCAGTACGACTTTCGAAAATGTTTTATGGCTAGCCTAATTCCTTCCAGCATAAGATTACAACTTTTAGAATGGTGAAAACTCAAGGTACGAATGAAAGTGGAGGATGATAGCTGTAGCAGCTGGGGTTATTCAACCCGGCTATTGAAAACTTTTATTCTGACAGCTTGCTAAGATGTCACAATAAAGTAATTATTAAAGCAATGATACCAAATGATTGGATTTAATCTGCATTCACTGTATAAATCTATTAGCATCTACTGTGCATCTTTAAATCAGGATGATATTTCGCACATGCAGTATACCGTATTGACAGGTATAATCGTATACTATAATATTGCAACAATGTATAAAATTATACTGCATTGTCCATTTAGCCCAGCTACCGTCTATCTCACGTTCTTGAAGTCTTAAATTCTCTAATATAATCTCGATCTTTGTAGTAAGATCCTATTTGAACATATATGCTATTGGTAAATCCATTTATGATAGTCCAAAGACGGTACTTGATTGATTAGTTGTATTGTACTGTACACTTACTGTAAATCATTTTGAGAGGCAATACGGACATCGTAGATAGAATATGTTAATATTGTTATACTAACTACTCTGCCTTGAATTTTGAATTACTTTATGGCACAAAATAAGTAAGATATCCAATTTTATGATCACGTTTCATTTATTTAACTTACTGGTTTAACATTTTCTGAGAAAACAGATGATATGTAGCGAACGATTAAGGAAGTTTTGCCCGAGCCTGTTCGGCCAAGTAGCACCACTTTGGTAGTATGAACTTCATCCATTGATTTAGGTAGCAGCTCCGCTATACAATCGCAAGTCAGAGAAAGCCAGTGCTATAGCTCTACCTCCAGTTCTATCTCCTATCTACTATCCAATGGTGTGGGATAGACGATGATTCTCGCAGCAATGGTTATCCTACTCTTTGGCAGTATACCTCTTCTAAGCGATGTTGCTCTTTTTTTGCACACTGCACTATTTATTTGGCACCTTTTCTGCACGATTAAATGAGGTTTAAGACGATCACTACGCTTGTATGAGCACACTATCCGCCTACCGCAGAATCTTGTTAGTCCTCTAAATCAATGGCCAAAGGCTAACTGATGTCTAAATACAAAGCCAACTTACATTCAATAATTTCTATTCCCAATCTTCGCTCGATACAGTATCCAAATCACCTTTCTCAACCTCTTCGCTGTTGCATTCTCGATTCAAAGGACGAGCAAAAACTTGTGGAGATTCTTTTTATTCTTTTTAAGCCGTCACAAGTCATGGTACTGTACGGTCTGTACAGCAGTACTGTACTGTACTTTACTGTACAGTAGCGGTACTGTACGGGAGGCGATACAGTACATTACTGTACTGTATTACCGTACAGGTAAATCATGACATCATCGATATTATCGGTCGTCTGTCTGTCAGTCTGGATGAAATTAACTTTCCTTTCTTCTTTCAAGGGTAATAGCACGAAATGATGGGCAATTTTGTGTGTTTATCGATCAGCTGAGCTATGAATAGTTAAAATGGAAAAATTAAAAACATCTAGATTGAAAGTGTGCTCAAACTCAAAATTGACTCCTATCTTGGAGAGGAGCATATCTTTAATCTAGCGAAACCCGTGAAAATTCCACGGAATACATTATACTGTACTGTACACTGTACACTCAGTGTACAGTAGTGCAATTTCAAGTTAATAGCATTGCTATAATTTATTTTTGAATAAATTCAGTCAATAAAGTACTGTATTTCTACTACGCTATCAGTCTCATTACCTAGACTATAGCATTTATGAATATAAATATTTATACTGAAATACCTTATAAGATCTTTAAAAATCTCTTACCAAGTCATATTTAGTATTTAGTATAGTCATAAACCGCTTACATCGCTAGACACAAGTAGATATACGCGTTTAGCGAACAATAAATTTAATTATACAAAATTATCGTCAATACTATACGAGCGTATACTCTTTTCGAATATTTTGCTGAAACTACTTTGTTGTTTTTTAGATAATGTACCGGCAAATCAGTCTCAGTAAGGTATACAAAAAGAGTATAGAAAGATGACTTGAATTTAGTGTACAACCAATCCTCTAAGCTATTCACAGACTAAGAGTATAAACAAATGCAGTAAGCGCACATTTTGCTACTTGCTGCTAGAGGTTACTATAGTTAGATCAGGTTAGATTGACCTATCGCAGTAAAATAAATCGTCAAGTATAGGTTGATTTGTTCCTATTTCAATAATTATAGAGATCACTTATAAGTCATACTCTAACATTACGCTAAAGTAGTAATTGCAACAAGTTAAATACATGACTCATATCAGAACTCAATGGTATACTTCCGCAAGTATGAACTTAATCGAATTAATCAGATACTTTCCTCTACATGTCTAGCCTAGTCTACCATTGTGCAATATTGTGCTTTATTCCTAATATTCTATGGTACAGGCCAAGCGTATCATTGATTATCGTTACCAAATTACTCTCCAACTGAAAGTGATAGTGATCAGGAGAGAAAATATTTATGAACTTTGCTACGTACGTATTTCTACGTAGTAGTATTCTTTATACAGTATTATGCAATAATATTAAGTAACATGGTGGCGATTGCATATGTTTCTTCATTTTATTGATTGACTTTAAAAATTCACAGATAAGCGCAAACACTTGGTTGTGTCATTGAATGAGTAGATATTGCAATTTTATTGGAAATGTATCTTACAGTTATAAAAATAATAACTGCAGATTTGCTCCCCCAATTTTTTTCTGATATGCTTGAAATATTGATCAGATAAAGCTTTCGAATTTAATTACCTTTAAATGTTTTCTGTGCTTGATCAGGTTTTGCATTTTATAAACTTAGCATTATTTAAAGTAATGATTACACTGTACGGTAATCACAAGATAGTTATTCTCATCAAATATCCATAGTAGAAATGGTTATAATATAAATCTACGAGACTAATAAGAGGTATTCAAAGCCTCACTTTCCCATGTAGTGAGCATTAATGCTTCTACCAACGATGAGCTTTCTAATTTCTTGAGTTCCACCAGCAATTTCAAATATCTTAGCATCTCGCAACATTCGTCCGGTCGGATAATCATTAATGTAGCCATTGCCACCTAATTACAAGAAATTGAGAGAATAGTGATTTTATAAATTACATAAACAGAAATATGATATGCAGTTGAAGCCAATTTACAAGTTGTATTGTATACTACAATGGTAGCTCACTATTCTAAAGACCAGACGTACCTAAACATTGAATACCATCTAAAGCCATTTGTGTAGCATTTTCTCCAACCAGAATTCCTGCTGCTGCACAATCCTATTAAATCGGATCATTATTGATTTTGATAGATTTAGGATCATAAATTTGAAAGAAGCAACTTAATAAAGTAAACAAGATATTATTGTTAAGTAATCTTTACACCTTACAGGGATACGCAGAAGTACAGTTCATTTTAAGTTATATAGCTATACTCACTGCGCTTCTAATAACACCTCTATCAAATGCTCGGACAACATTATACAGATAACTACGACACAGGTTTAAGGTGTTATACATATCGGCCAATTTGGACTGAATCATCTGAAAGGAAAACAAAAATTTTAAACACGGTACGATTATGATCATCGAGATGGAATAATTAAGTGAAATCAAAAAATTCCTTTTAATTCACACGACTATACATTAAAAAAAAATCTTGTGCAGGAATTGACTGTGACAGTAGTCTGATCAATTCGCCTTGAAAAATAACTTAAATCCAAGCGAGGTGGTCATTCTACCTGAAATTGACCAATTTTCTGATCAAATTGTTCCCTCGTATGAACGTATGGGTAGACAACGTCAACAACCGACTGCATTATGCCAATAGCACCGCCTGCCAGTGTTCCTCTTTCCAAATCAAGTCCACTCATCAGGACTTGAACTCCTAGGGAAAGGATTATCGTATTAATCAACTTTATTCTCATCAAAATATCTTGTATATAATATATCAAAGTAACCTTTATTTACACGCCCTAAAATATTTTCTTCAGGAATTTTGCAATCTTCAAATACTAATTCGCCAGTTTCTGAGCCTCTTAAACCTAGTTTATCTAATTTCTGTGCGATCGAAAATCCAGGTGTTTTCTACGTAACATATACCGGAAATGGTGTTAGGCTATCAATAGCTATATCTGTTTAAGTAATCACTTAGCCAAGGCTAATTTTATTTCACGACTAATGATTGCGTACCGTTTCGACTATAAATGCCGATATTCCATGTTGGTGAGCAGCAGGATCAGTTTTAGCATAAACTATGATAATATCTGCAACAGGCCCATTGGTAATCCAGAATTTAGTTCCATTTAGAACGTAGTGATTCCCTAAAGTGAAGAAAATTGTGAAAATATCAATCAAGTTCATTTACCATTCTTCTATTTGATACATATTGATAACAGTAGAAAGGATATTTCGTAAAAATGTATTGATCGCATCATGTTTTATGTACAACTGTATTAACCTTTATGGTGAATAAATCCTAACTCATGTGTTGCAATCCAAGCATTGCGGATGCAATTGGTTAGTAAGCATAGGAGCAACACAACGTACTAACCTTGTTTTTCCGCGCGAAGTCTCAAGGACATGACATCGCTACCAGCATTTGGTTCGCTCATTGCCAAAGCACCGATATATTCACCACTTATCAGCTTTAGTAGTGGAATATTTGATGTCAACAGAAACAAAGCAAACATAATAATAAGATATGAGATGGTATAGAATAAAATTGACAGCACAATGACTGATTGCCTATATCAAACTTGCATAGTAGTATTGATTATAATTATCAGAGAAATAGGCCATATACTATTTTAGTAAGAAATGCTGACAGTACCTTGGGAAGATATTTGGCTTTTTGTTCTGCATTTCCATTTCGGACCAACTGATTAATGCACATATTAGAGTGGACAGCGTAGCTCATACCAACTGATGGGGAAGCCCTTGCTAGCTCTTCAATTGTAATACAATGGTCCATATAGCTTCCTCCAGCACCACCTTCACTCTCTGGTACTGTAATCCCATGTAAACCCATGTCTCCTAACTTCCTCCAGAACGATCGTAATTCTGTAAATTCATCCTTAGCATCGATTTCAGCCGCATAAGGGGCTAGCTCTTCTTGGGCGAATTTGAAAATAGTTTGTCGAAGCTATACGAGTATGATATGCACATCAGAACGACTTCATACCCAAGTTATACAGTGTACAGTAAGGTGTAGTACTTATTCAGATCTCCAAAGCTTCCTCAAAGAAAGCATGTGAATATAGTGATCCGATACACTGATCTAACATGCTATATCTTCTACCTATATTGCACAATTCAATTACGCTTTTTGACGTAAAACGTATGACTGTAGGGTAAGCTGTAACTTAACTAAAATAAATCACCATTACCGCTGATCGATCACGTTGAATAAATTGTAAAATTTTCAAAACTTGCGTGTACGTATTATTGAGAGTAAGTTGTTCCAGAGAATTGACTACCGTCACAAAATTGAACTGATTGAGTTACTGTATCCTATGTGGACATACCGAACAGTACGCTCTTCAGCCATGTTCAGTATAGTCAATAAGTATATAGTTCTATACTGTATATATGTCATGACATATCTATTTTAATTGCATGAAAGCGATCTTGACAAGTTTAGGTTTCGGTATTTCTCCAATATTTCCAGCAAGTAACACCTATCGTCTACGTCATAACATACGCACGTCCATACATGGTACGTAAACATCTGTAGTTTACTTTACGGTTGTAGGATACGGCGAAGAATGTAACTGATCTACTGTATTGTTGCTATAACTGGAATTGTAACTTCACATTTCATCATTGCTCGTATCATAAAATGACATGAAGGAATAATCTCTCATGATTGTATTATATGAACGGTATAAAATAGACCCATATACTTTTGGATTGCCCTAAAGAAGTTACTACGGAATGATAGCACGCGCAGCTTACGACACATTGTATGCATATAACTTGAAGTACCTGCTTTTCTTCTTCAGTCGGGTGAAATAAGGCATCATCAACTTGAGCTACATTACTCAGATAATAACGTTGGATAAAGGATCGACTGAAAAGAGGTCGATTGACATATTTCGAGATCATGCGATGCATCCTGGCGATTCCTAGCGCTGGTTGCAGCTACTGAATAATTAGCCAGTGAGTAAAAGTTGATCAGCTCGTTTAAGCTTGTAGTACAGTATCTTACTATGGATACATCGATACAGGAGAATCCCACTGCAGTAACCTACTTCGCATGTACATTGTACAGTATATGCGAGGTCACAGGGTCAGGTACTACAGTACCGTATGAACAAGAAAGAAATTCCTGCAACGCAGTCTGGTCATACTGTAGACTACTAAAACTCGTCCATATTTTGGTATCACAGCATGGACTTTTATATGTACTGTACTGTAGTTCCAAAGTCCGACAGACACCTACAGTACAGTACAGTACTGTACAGTACAGTGTACTCACTCCATGTACTGTACTGTACACTGTACACTCGGTGTACGGTATTGCAGAGTGACTAGCACGTCAGGTATACTAGCGCTACACTACACTATCTGGATAGACAGACGTACTGGACACTGTACTGTACAGTGTACACTAGGGATTTCGCAATGATAAGTCAGCCAGTGCAAGCCGTCACTTCTTATTTTAACACCAGCTGGTAGTCAAGATGTCCTCGATCGTCGGCCGTCGATCAGTGACCTTCTCGAAATTACTTCATGGCATCGTAAGACCAACAGTGGCTAATAGGAAGTATTGTGCTGCCGCGTTTCCTGTCGACGATGATCTCTATGGCCTTCAAGATGAAGAAAAAGAGGTAAAACACTAAAGAATGGCCTACTATTTTGACATAGTCGTTGTACTTAGAAGAAGCACTAGGCATAGTGTGCAGACTGGCTACACTCGGTTTACTGTACGTAGAGTGTGCAGCCATACTTGCTTACGCGTATCCTCAGTTGCAATCGAATTTACAAACAAATACTGATAGTTGATCGCAAGAACAAAAATCAAGCATTGGTTACTATTAGTAATATGAATGAAGAGTTTCAACCATTACTCTATGAATCTCCATACATCGCTATCAGATTTGATCTTGTACTAGGTCGGGATCAACTTGGTGCTACTTTGAGCATAGCTCGGTAAAGCGTGAATGTAAAGACTTGTTTGAGACATCGCGTTTGAGACTGGCAAGAGGAAGATACGATGTGATCTCACCTAGGTATTTATGGACAAGGCAACAGGAGGTCCGTACATCGGATAGATCCTGTTGAAGTTAAAATTAAGAAGCTACCGCCTCCAATTCTCAAATCGATGTTTCAAAGAGTTTTACGAAAGCAAGCCTGCAACGCTACTGTACACTGTACAGTAGCGTACAGTATCGTAAACAGTTGAATGGGTTGACGTTGATTGATGTGCTGACAGCTGGTTGAAATGATTTAAAGATTTCAAATTTTGACTTCATTTTGACTCTACAACTTTTAAACTAAGCACAAATAAAAGACAGTATTATTACTATTACTGATTGGAAGATTTCATTTCAAATTCTACTTGACTACACATATTGCAACTTTCAGACTAAACACAAATAAAAGAACGTTACCTAAAAAATAATAATAAAAAAAGTATTGAGATTATAATCAATTGGTAATATTAATTATTACTACTTTTATTCGTTTTGATTCCGAATAATTACTATGCTGTTGACAGTTAAGAAGTGCAATACGCAAGTTTGTCAATGAAGAGCTGGCTCCATATGCACAGGAAATAGATAGCAACAATAATTTCTCACAAATTCGAGAATTTTGGAAAAAGCTTGGCAATATGGGCTTACTAGGTATCACCGCACCAGCAGAATTCGGTGGTACGGCTGGCACTTTCCTCCATCATTGTATTGCATTGGAAGAAATCAGCCGTGGCAGTGGCAGTATTGCACTTAGCTATGGTGCTCACTCTAATCTATGTGTTAATCAGGTGGTGAGGAATGGGACGGATGAACAAAAAGCAAAGTATCTCCCTAAGGTATCGATCGCAACAATTCATGAAGTAAAAAATAAATGATCAAATCCCTATACTCTTCTACGTATAGTTGTACGACTTTAAAGCACTTAAAATTTACATTTCGAGTATTAAGTAATCTGTTTAAACTCAAGAATAATAACATACAGTACAATTGCTAGCTCATTAGCGGGGAATACATTGGAGCGTTGGCAATGAGTGAATCTGGATCGGGTAGCGATGTTGTTTCTATGCGTCTGAAAGCAGAAAAAAAGGGTGAGACATACTAACTCTCTTCATTCTGTAACATCGTTAATGCCATGCTTTAGCACCGATATAAGAATTCGTTTTTCAATATCGATCGAACTTGCTAAAAACTGTTCTGTTTGAAAGATTTGTGAACATAACTTGTACATTCATCCAATAGGGGATTATTATATCCTAAACGGAAGTAAATTCTGGATTACCAACGGGCCGGATGCTGACGTATTGGTGGTTTATGCTAAAACCGATCCATCCGCAAAACAGCGCGGAATAACCACTTTTCTCATAGAAAAAGTATAAATTCTCAGTAGTGTATGGGATCTTGTATCCTTGATAAATTTTTTGTTATTTTGCGTTGTGTTGTACATATTGTACTATTATAATAACACAAATTGATGTTATAGAATATGCCAGGATTTTCAACAGCCCCAAAGTTAGATAAGTTGGGAATGAGAGGTTCAAATACTTGCGAACTAATATTTGAAGACTGTAAAGTACATGAATCGCAAATTATGGGAGGATCTGGAAAAGGTAAACTGCAATGAATTATAATGATTGAATTGCGATATAGTCAAAAGCTAAGTTTTGACGAATGTCTAAAATCCATTTTGTACTATCATTTTGACAGGAGTTTACGTATTAATGAGTGGATTGGATTTAGAACGTTTGGTCCTTGCTGCTGGACCTGTAGGTTTGATGCAGGCTGCAGTTGATGTTGCCTATCCTTATGTTCATCAGCGTGAACAATTTAATACAAAAATAGCTCAATTTCAGGTAATAAAAAAGCTTAACGTTATACTGTACTACTATATTATGCTACTTACTATACTAATACGTGATAATGCATTTTATTACTGTGGTAAAGGTGACTTCGTGATTTATTAAATTAATAGATGATAATCTTTAGTATAAAGTACTGTTGATTATTTGAAATAGATTTAGACCTTACGTAAAGTTCACAGAAGATCAAAAATAAAACGATCCTATATAAAGCTCTGTATAGGATTCATTTATTTAATCAGCACTGGTCAATATCACGATCTAATGAGTGACTGTAGAGTTATTGTATATATATAATATCGGATCTCAAACTGCTCGTGCTTCTAATCTCCCGCAGCTAATACAAGCAAAGATGGCGGACATGTACGTAAAACTTAATTCCTGTAGAAGTTATTTATACAACGTTGCCAGAGCTTGTGATGCAGGTCGAATCGTCAGCAGGGTATGCTTCTTAAGATAACTTCATTTCCCTAATAACCTGCTCTACTTTTATATTCTTTTCTATTTCTGTAATATTGTTCTCGATGTGACTTTTAAGATCTTATTTGTATCTCGTTGCAGGATTGTGCTGGTGTGATTCTGTATTGTGCCGAAGCCGCTACTAAAGTTGCACTTGATGCTCTACAACTTCTTGGTAAGCTAATAAAATAAGTAAATGAGTCAAGAGAGCTATTTTAAAATAGATTGTCGTGTTAAAATTCTCGATCTGCAATTGCGCTATAGGTGGGAATGGTTATATTAACGATTATCCAACTGGTCGCATTTTGCGAGATGCTAAGCTTTATGAAATTGGTGCTGGTACTAGCGAAATCAGACGTCTATTGATCGGAAGAAGTATTAATAAAGAATACATTTCAAATTAAGAATACACCAAAGGCGGCTACATATTTTACTTATGAGATATTTTCAATTAACCGACGACATACTGTACATGCAAACATTCTGCGATTCGTTATCGTCCGCAACCCTTACGTGCTACTCTCTTTGCTGCTGTGTAAGGTATTACCCAGGTGAATGCGGATGTTGGCATAGTTTAATTTTTACAACTAGACCAGAACAGGCTGAATGTTATGACCTGTTATTAATCATTGGAGATGTTCATACTCCCAAACAGAATTGAAATAAAAGATTTAACGCATTTATAAGACGTCTCTGTTAGAAAGATTATTGCTTAATGCAATTGTTTATGGATAATGAAATAATTCGTAGAAATGCATTGGTCTGTTGACCAATGATTAATTGAAAAATTTAGTACAATCCATTAAAGTAATTTACTTGAAATTTTGTAGCCAACATTGGAGTACCAAAGTACAATCTACGTACACGTACGTAACTTTATTTTCCATATTATAGTATTATACAATCTATTTAGTATGGATCAGTATCTCCACTAATATATTGGTACACTTTTGCCTTGATAATGATTTCTAGTAAATTTCTACAACACAGCAAAATAGTAAGACAACGTTTTACGATTACAGTTAGAAGGTAGTATTATGGGTGAAATTGAAGATGGAAAATAAGATTAGAGAAAGCCTTCTAATTATTCCTATTCTATCAGGTCATGCCTATGCACATTAAGTAATGATATCTATTCGTTGATGTTATGCTGTACGCATGAATGAGTACATACGATGCACAGCAATAGCATCCACGTTGTAAGATAATGAATGAACTATCATACCGTAGGTATACTAGAGTCGACTGGAAAACAGTATTACAAAAATCGTGATTAGCCTGTATCAGTATTTGTTAATGAAACTGATCTGAGCACTGTCAAATTTTAAGCGCTTTTCGTTATGATCTTACGGTTCCTATTTCGACTTTATTCGCTAACATTTGTATCGTACTTAACTTTCCACATTCGAATTCCAACGTAGCAAAAGAAGAACCTAGACATTAAATCTCAAACGGGCTGAACTAACTGTAAAGATGGCGAAAATTATTGGAATGTCGAAAGAGCATCAAGTCGTACTGCAAGAAACTTAGTCAACATCCAAAAGAACTTGTCAGTAGACTAACTTGAGCAATTATTCGACGTGCTATTTTCCGATAGTCTTGGATCAACACTCTATAAGCTCGCTTCGAACTCACAAATTCACTTTCGGTATATTGATTGTATTTTTACCTATTCATGCAAGGTGCATGTTGTAGAACAAGTTATCGTTCGTGTGATCGAAAGAGTACTACGTGTTCATATTTGTTTCAACTATAAAAAATGGAAAAAATAGAACTAAAGCTAACGCACAAATATAGTATTTTATGCCAACGTAAACTCTACTGCAACTGTACGAGCGTATATATAAAACATGTTATAGAATATAGCAATAATTCCCATATACAAGTATCTGAAACAAAAATGGACACACTCAGAATGTACGTTTACGTCGACGAGCTAGAATAATAACAATCAATGCACTGCGTTTATGCCTAACAGTAGGCTTTATTAGTTGACAAATCTCAATAATTATTATAATCCATAGTTCATACTTTATTACACGATCTTTTAACTCATATAAATTAGTAATAAACTGCAAAGATTATAGACACCTAACCAAAGATTTAGACATGTAAGTTAAAAGAGAAAGAGTATCTTCAACTGAACTATAGAAACATAGTCTACAGAATTGATAGCTTCAATGTATCTAGAAAACTAATAATGAATTTAAAATTAGATTTGTAAAACTTTATTAGTCGATAGTCTAAATAATTGGCATAATTACTGCAATTATTGAACGATTTTGGAATTCCAATAGGAATTACTTAATGACAACATTCTAATGATTAACGATAAGGAGGTTTAAACGTTTAAGTTTAGGAAGTTGTTAAAAATTATTAAAGTTAATATACCGGGTTCAATATCTAATATTATGCTTAACGTATATTCGTATATTGTCCAACTACTGTACGCGTATACCTCGCCATGGAGGTATACTTTATTAAAACGGTTTCATCAGAAATGGGTAAGTGAGGAACTATCTATAAGTCATCAGCCGGGTTTATAGATGTAAGCCAAATAAACAGTAGTTTAGATTACCGCTGCATAAAAACATTTCTTTTCAGTACAACCATGAAATGAACTTACAAACATAATTCCAATATTTACGTTGAAGATAGATATTAAAAGCTTAATAGAAAATGTTAGTCTAACGCATTACAAAGATTACATAACAATAGATAAAAATTTCCGATTATAATCACAGATACTGCTAGTAAAAAGGGATACTGTTTTAAGGTTATAGTTCTACAGTACTAGTCAAGGATTCGTGTAAATGTAGTACATCGAATAAAAGTATAGAATCACAATCTTCTATAGTTATTCTCTAGGTTAACAGTTTGTACTTAACCAAAAATACCGTGATTTTTGACTGCTTCTGAATTAAAGTAGACTAGCTTACGTAGCATGTTAACACAGCTAGGGATCTGCTTTTTATTATTGAATCTCGGATCACTTGTTGAAGATTCGACCGTTGCAACTGAATTATTAACAATAGTTAACATTGTTATAAGATCCAGTTGCTTATAATATTTAGTAAAAATGTCAATAACTGCTTGCATAAACCAAGAGCCATTTGTAGAATTTCTCCAAGAATAATAACCTGGAACAACCGAATAGGCAATTAAAAAATCTGCTTCAGATGGTAATGTTTGTCGAGTTTTAGCATCAACTTCATCCTCATAACCTTCTGCATTTAGTGCTGATTCATTAGGAACGCCGTCAACGTTGTCGACAGCTTCATCAAAGTTTGTACCACGACAAGCTTGAATAAAAAATAACTTTGGCTTTCCAGCCAGTGAAGCGCAACGATTACCTCTAAACAGTCCAAGTAATTCTTCGATATCCACGTCGGTATCAGTGCCAAATATTTTACCTTGCTCGCCATGGCTTAATAACACGCATACGAAGCTATCACAAGTACTATGATCCCTGGCGGCCCATCGTTGTAATACATCTTTCATTTGAGCTGCACTCAAATTGTTGCCCATTGCTACTTTGTAGCCTAGTTTTACCAATAGAGTTTGCATACCTTCAGCATCTTTATCGCTACCTTTACGTTCAGGCATCCCAATGAATTTTCTAGTTATTAACAAGATAAAGAGATAAAATTGTATACGGTTAATGATTGATAGTTTATAAATACAAAAAATACGACACCTAACGTATCACCGTAGATCATTAACCTATTATTGATAATCAAAGCATAGCCATGCGGCTTGTTTCCCATCTTATACAAATATTGTTCACTCAGGATAGGGCCTCTTATCGGCGCAGAATGAAGATCATCATAATATAGTGATATGGCACCACCGCCACTTTCAGGATCAACTAGAAATGCAATAGTAATTTACAGAATTGAATACTTTAATTTGAAATGCCCCAAAATGATCTTCAATAACATCAATCAAAGACGATTTCGAAATTGGATACGTATTAATATTATAATAATAATTTCTATAAATGCAGTAGTAGAGTTGAAGACAGAGTATAAAATTTGAATTAATATATATGTTCAATTTTGAAGCTAGTGACATCGACTAACGCATAGATCCCTGTGATAAGATCTCTCTTGATTTCTTGTGCTCTACCTGCCAATCTACAGTTTATAATAATCTACAATGAACTAACAGCATAGTTGCTATTCTCGTACCTATTTCCATGTTTGAAGCTGAAACCGAGTAGTCCATGACCTTACAGGAGATAGGCCATAATCTGCTAAGTATTTAGAGGGACTACTGGAAGGAAGAGGAGCCGAGTGCAATACAGTACAGTACTATATGTAGCTGTCACATGTCTGGGTAGCTGCTAGTGTAGCTTGTACTGTAACTGGCAGCAAGTTTCTCCTTGTTCCATCATCATACTGCTGTCCTGCAGGTTGTCATGTTTTATTGACATTCTAATTATTGCAAATATTCTACTCTACTTTACACTTTGGTTTCTTCATGGAATCAACACTATTTTACACATACTCTACATTAAAAGTAACCTTTTCATCTAGTAGAACACAGATCGGAGCGATTTATGGTATGTGGACTTACATATAATCCACTACAATATGAAGAAATTTTGTACGGGGGAGAGGAGTTTTCATGTTTACACTAATTTTGGGGCGGAGTGCTGCAGTCCCTGATTAGCCAGCCATTTACCTAACTTTATTTTCGATATTACAGTGCTATACACGTGCTGTAGAATGTGTTTAGTATGTATCAGTATCTCGACTAATATTTCGGTGCACTTTTACCTTGATAACATTTCTGGTAAATTTCTACAAAACAACAAAATAGTAATCTAAACGCAAGTAAAATAACACTCTGCAGTTACAGTTAGAAGAGAGGAGTATGGGTGAAATTGCAGATGGAAAATAAGATCAGAGAAAGCCTTCTAATTATTCTTATTCTATCAGGTCATGCCTATGTACATTAAGTAATGATATCCATTTGTTGATATTAGGGTCTACTCATTAGTTAATTATATTATCAATGCTTATATCATGCAATCAGAAGATGTAAGAGGATATTGTGTGAGTGATAGGCTGTACCTTACAAGATGACCAAATCACTAGCTGTAAAGACAGAGGAAACAGCCAGCAAAATGGCTAGTAATAATTTATATCTAATTAGTAATCAGCCTAGCTATTAATATACAAGCTGTAGTTTGGCACTGCAGGTGATGCAGAATGTTGAAAGACCACTATAAGAAATAGCTAAATCATGAAGCAAGAGCCCTAGGCTAGAAAGTATGAGTTAGGCCATGAACCATTCGAAAATAAAAGGGTTAATTACTGGTAGTAATTTCCAGTAGCCCATCGTGATGGTTAAGATCCAATTTTTAGCAATATTTTGCTAAGTCCATCATTTAACCGATTGTAAATGCTACGATATTCTAGTTTTACTTGTCCTTTTCACTACAGTATGCCACATATGGTACGTTTTAATAACAGTATAGTATTGCGTAGAATTGCATTGGGGCATTATAGTCTCTTACTATAATTATATTATCAGTCTAATAATAATACTATAGAGTATCCTGATTCATGAATTACTAACAGTAGTGTAGTCCAGTAGTATGGCCTATATAAACCGTACGGTACCATACTAAACCTTAGCAATTTGCTATCTTTTCTGCTTAACTTTTCACATTTGACATCTATCGCGGCAAAAGGCAAAAGAAGCCAGACATTAAAAATCTCAAACGGGCAGAACTGAAAGTAAAAATGGCGAAAGTTATTGGAATGTCGCAAGAACATCGAGATGTGCTGCGAGAGAACTTAATCAACATCCAAAACAACTTGTCATCAGAGCAAGTTGAACAATTATGTGATAGGTTATTTGCCAATAAAGTCTTGGATGATTACTCTATAATCGCGCTTCGAAATCAAAGATCTCACTTTCGGTATGTCGATTCTATTTTAACTATTCGCGCAAGGTGCATGTTGTAGAACAAGTTACCATTCGTATCATCAAAAGAGTACAACGTGTTGATACTTATTTCAGGTATAAAAAAAAGGAAAAATGGAATTAAAGCTAACGCACAAATAGAGCGTTTTATACTAACATAAAACTGTACTGCAACTGTATACTGACTGTATGACATAGACATAAAACATGTTTTAGAACACAGCGATAACTTTGATATACATTTGCATTAAAATATCTGAAATAAAGATGAACATGGTAAATAATAGTGGAGTGGGAGATAAATAATCACGCATGGAGCATTTTGTATACGGATCACAATCAAAGACTGAACTAAAATCTGCTTGTTTGTCTACGTATTTTACCAACACAGCAAAATGCAATCGTGCAAACGTACTCTAGTACAAGGTGCAGTAGTTAGCCAAATGAGGATATCACTACTCGGTAAACGTATGGTAATATAATTGATGGTATAAAGCAATCTTGAAAAATGCTGTAAATTGAACTCATCGAAGTTGATGAGCATTGAAGTCTTGGTAGTCTGATTGGAGTTCTAATACAATCAACTTTAGAGTACAGCGTAATAATTCTGCAATTTTGTATTCATAGAAAAGTGGATGAACTGTTGACGCAAATTAAAACATGTGGAAGTCAAGCTTTCGGAAAATTTTGCGATGCTCTGGCTGATATCAATCCTGAATTATCCGCTCATTTACGGTCACAGGGAAATCGATCCACTACAGGCACGTTCAGTAATGTACAGTACAGTACAGTACAGTAATTGACGGAGCACAGTTTATTTAGGTTACACTTACCATCTAATGCTAGTCCAAGTGATTTTGCTAGTTATCACCGCTATCAGGCCAGGGTTGATTAAATCATAGTTTCTCAAGTGTTTAATGAAAGAATCTTTATATACTGTTTTAAGTGCAGTATTTCAAGCAAAACAGTTGCTTGATTAATATTTTCTTTACCCTGTATACATATACTCGTATTATGGCAAAGTCTGATAAAGCATTTACTTAGTCTTTCATGTACGCGTACATACTTGCAAGGATATTTCGACTTTATATTAACACATAGCTTTTGTTTTCAATTCAATATATTATAGAGCCAACTAGCGAAAAACAACCTGGTAGCAATTTCATATCTTTATATAATAACTAATTTTTATGTTTTCATAGCTCATTAAATTTTAAATTTTATCAGTATCGATCTAAAATTTAACAATAATTACAATAACTTTATCATTGTCATTCTAATCATGTATATATGTATGTCACATATTTATACCGTTAACACTGCTCCTGTTACCTAAAGAAATAGATGTTGATGTACAGTCCGTTACAGGTTTGTAAAATTGCATTTTGTTTTATTATATTTTATGCTAATGAATTATAAATAAGTCTAAAATGAGAGTATATACAATATGAGTAAACATTGTAGGTATTTAATCGATTTCAGAAGGATCCTTAATAAGCGTTCATTAATATTGCTTGATACATGTAGTTGGTGAAGAGATCGATTCCATTTATCCGCCTCTCGATATCAAGAAAGTACCAATTACTGCAAAATATACTTTAAAAACGGACAATTTAATCTATGAAATGAGTAAGAAACCTCATGGATACATGGTGATATTCAATCAGGAGTAAGCTTCGTATTAAACAAATTAAATTTTACTATTTTGATATTTCACTTTCGATCCCAATTTAAATGTACACTATAGAGCACCTAATGCATCTATTATACTGTACCTACATTTTTATTAGACGTATACTAATAAAATGTATCATTAGTTAAATGGGTACTAATATCGTTTTCGTTGTAAAAATTTTAGAAAATTTTCACAACAGACAGGGATGAACGCTAGAGATGGAAGTGCGGTTGATGCTGATAAACTCGAGAGTCTTTTTAAAAGACTAAATTATATCGTGGATAGATGCGATAACTTTACAGTTCAAAAAATTGTAGCTAAATTAAGTGATTATAGCAAAAAAGATCATCGAAATTACGATAGCTTCGCATGTGCATTTCTTAGTCACGGGGAACACGATTTCATCTATGGAAAGGATGGTAAAGTAAATCTAGAAGAGATGTTTGCAAAATTTCGTGGAGATAAATGTAGATCCCTTGCAGGAAAACCAAAAATATTTTTTATTCAGGTTTTTACTGTAATAGATATAACTCCATCGTTATAATTATATATTCATGTCGTTACTGTAATGATAGATTGCATTGAAAATACCTCCTCTTGTTTAAAATGATTGTATTACATAACACTCATATACCGCTATCTTAACGAATACCATTTTACAAACTTATACAGGCGTGTCGTGGTCAAAATTTTGATTCAGGTGCAGATGTACCTGATTCTACGCTTAGTAAGGAAACGGAGGAAGAAGACGTGACTGATTTTGTTGGTAGTACTCTTCCATCTGAGGGCGATTTCTTACTTGCATATGCTACGGCCCCCGGTTATTTTGCCTGGCGAAATAGTGCAGGTTCTTGGTTCATCCAGGCTGTTGTTGAAGTCTTTGAACAATATCACCAACACATGGATTTATTGAGAATGTTAACAAGAGTGTGTTGTTTTGTTGCTCAAAAAGAATCTCAATCTAATAATTTAATGTATCGAGGCAAAAAACAAATCCCTTCTATTGTATCTAGACTTCGTCGAGATCTTTTTTTTTCAATCGAAGCTGCCAGAAATTCTGGAGCATACAGTAACTAACGTATTCACAAATGATAATAGTAAAAGAAGATTACTATTTGCTTGAATAGTGGAGTAAAAATTCGTTCACATAGAAACGAACTGACGTCCAACGTAAATTGAAAGTTTGTAAGTTGGAGTGTTTTAATATACTTTACTGGACTCGTATTGTATTACAATGAACATTCATTCCTATATAGAAGACGAGCTGGCCTACAACGTAAATTAAAGTTTTTACCTTTAACATCATTTCAGATTTATAGTTATCGTACTATCTTAGCTAAGGATCTAAAATCAATTTCCAGAATGATAATTACTACATGCATTAACATACTGCATTAGAGAATTTTTACCTCTTCTATTTTTATAATATTTCTTTGAATAAAGAGGATTTTTAATTAAACAGAGAATGAAATGCTGCAATAAAATTTCATAAAACTTTAATAACTCTTTCTTTCTTTTGCGCTGAACTACTGTTTCTTCTCACACAATATATGGTCAACGGCCTTGTGCTTAAACCACAATATCATCCAAATCTGTCCTATGTAGACGTGCTTCAAATCTGCTAATCTTGTAGTACAGCGCTTTTATTTGTCAATTTATCAATGGTAGCAATATAAAGTAGTAGGAAGGTGACAGTCTTTAGAGTATTTCAAGGAATGCATAGTAACGTAAGGTAGCGTCATCAAACAGAATTTACGTTTACGTAGACGAGCTAGAATAATAACAATCAATGCACTGCGTTTATGCCTAACAGTAGGCTTTATTAGTTGACAAATCTCAATAATTATTATAATCCATAGTTCATACTTTATTACACGATCTTTTAACTCATATAAATTAGTAATAAACTGCAAAGATTATAGACACCTAACCAAAGATTTAGACATTTAAGTTAAAAGAGAAAGAGTATCTTTAATTGAACTATAGAAACATAATCTACAGAATTGATAGCTTCAATGTATCTAGAAAACTAATAATGAATTTAAAATTAGATTTGTAAAACTTTATTAGTCGATAGTCTAAATAATTGGCATAATTACTGCAATTATTGAACGATTTTGGAATTCCAATAGGAATTACTTAATGACAACATTCTAATGATTAACGATAAGGAGGTTTAAACGTTTAAGTTTAGGAAGTTGTTATAAAAATTATTAAAGTTAATATACCGGGTTCAATATCTAATATTATGCTTAACGTATATTTGCATATTGTCTAACTACTGTACGCGTATACTTCACCATGGAGGTATACTTTATTGAAACGGTTTCATCAGAAATAGGTAAGTGAGGAACTATCTATAAGTCATCAGCTGGGTTTATAGATGTAAGCCAAATAAACAGTAGTTTAGATTACCGCTGCATAAAAACATTTCTTTTCAGTACAACCATGAAATGAACTTACAAAACACAATTCCAATATTTACGTTGAAGATAGATATTAAAAGCTTAATAGAAAATGTTAGTCTAACGCATTACAAAGATTACATAACAATAGATAAAAATTTCCGATTATAATCACAGATACTGCTAGTAAAAAAGGGATACTGTTTTAAGGTTATAGTTCTACAGTACTAGTCAAGGATTCGTGTAAATGTAGTACATCGAATAAAAGTATAGAATCACAATCTTCTATAGTTATTCTCTAGGTTAACAGTTTGTACTTAACCAAAAATACCGTGATTTTTGACTGCTTCTGAATTAAAGTAGACTAGCTTACGTAGCATGTTAACACAGCTAGGGATCTGCTTTTTATTATTGAATCTCGGATCACTTGTTGAAGATTCGACCGTTGCAACTGAATTATTAACAATAGTTAACATTGTTATAAGATCCAGTTGCTTATAATATTTAGTAAAAATGTCAATAACTGCTTGCATAAACCAAGAGCCATTTGTAGAATTTCTCCAAGAATAATAACCTGGAACAACCGAATAGGCAATTAAAAAATCTGCTTCAGATGGTAATGTTTGTCGAGTTTTAGCATCAACTTCATCCTCATAACCTTCTGCATTTAGTGCTGATTCATCAGGAACGCCGTCAATGTGATCGACAGCTTCATCAAAGTTTGTACCACGACAAGCTTGAATAAAAAATAACTTTGGCTTTCCAGCCAGTGAAGCGCAACGATTACCTCTAAACAGTCCAAGTAATTCTTCGATATCCACGTCGGTATCAGTGCCAAATATTTTACCTTGCTCGCCATGGCTTAATAACACGCATACGAAGCTATCACAAGTACTATGATCCTTGGCGGCCCATCGTTGTAATACATCTTTCATTTGAGCTGCACTCAAATCGTCGCCTATTGCTACTTTGTAGCCTAGATTTACCAATAGAGTTTGCATACCTTTAGCGTCTCTATCGCTACCTTTACGTTCAGGCATCCCAATGAATTTTCTAGTTATTAACAAGATAAAGAGATAAAATTGTATACGGTTAATGATTGATAGTTTATAAATACAAAAAATATGACACCTAACGTATCACCGTAGATCATTAACCTATTATTGATAATCAAAGCATAGCCAAGCGGCTTATTTTCCATCTTATACAAATATTGTTCACTAAGAATAGGACTTCTTCTTATCGGTGCAGAATCAAAATCATCATATAGTGATATCGTACCACCGCCACTTTCAGGATCAACTAGAAATGCAATAGTAATTTACAGAATTGAATACTTTAGTTTGGAATGCCCCAAAATGATCTCCAATAACACCAATCAAGGACGATTTCGAAATTGGATACGTATTAATATTATAGTAATTTCTATAAATGTAGTAGTAGAGTTGAATCAATATTTGTTAAAATTTTAACTAGTGACACAAAATAACGCATAGATCGCTGTGATAAGATTTCTCTTATGCTCTACGTTATATACCTGCCAATCTACAGTTTATACAGTTTACAATAATCTACAATGAACTCACAGCATAGTAGCTATTCTCATACCTATTTCCATGGTTGAAGTTTGTTCGCTTTCAGCTGTAGAAACTGTAGAAGAATCTGATTCATTTGTTGATCTCGGAGTCACTTTACGATTTGCTGCAATATGTAACAAGATAATAATACCTCATTTACATTAGTTAGGTTAAAATGAGACAATATTTAAAATTAGAAACTAATAATATAGTCGATATATTTATTGTCTAATATCAATATTTTGCTATTGTGAGAAACGGGGTAGGTCGATTTTGATTGTACTGAGGTATGTCCTGTACTGTACTGTACTATACTTTATAGTATAATACTGCCATCTTTCCTGTTAATGGATTGTATTCGTATCTATGTGTTGCTATAGGTAGTATACTGTAGTAGGTAAGCCTACAAATTATTTATTCATGATATCGCCTTAAATTTTGTAATCTTCTCACTTGTTTACAAAATCAGAGGAATAAAGTAATTAGATGCATTTTTATACCATTAAAATTGTCTAACTGCTGTTTACCTGGCTTAAGCGACTGTTGTTTAGCCTTCCTCTGGTCTCGTATATCCTTGCTGACAGCTGGGTTTACCGTTTCATCAATTACTTCCAATAGTAATTCTAAAGCTTTCGATCCGCGAGAAGGTACGATATCCAAGAATTTACGCGTTTTTCTAAAATAGGGTTGATCACCGTTGATGTAGTTTAAACTTTTTCCTCTTAGAACAAGTGCGTGTATGTCTACTTGTTCCGGAGTTATCTTAGCAGAGCACAGTAAGTAGTAGCCGCATCGTAAGATTAATTATCAATCTGTATGATCAAACTAACATACGAGTCTACAGTGCGATACCGTATTGATAGACATTAGCCCAGTCTTTACTTTTTCTGGCAGAACAAGTATAACATCTCACTCGTAATATTTTGACGTATCTGCACTGTACTATACTGTTTAGACACCTAGATATACTACTGTATTCTTATTATTCAACTTCAAAAATCGAACAGCTAGTCTTCAAGTTGAATGGCTATTTCTTCCAGATTGATCTTAGTAGTATAAGTAATAGTTGTATCGTAAGATTATCAATCTGTATCATAAAGGTAAGCTATGAGATCCAGTAAGGTAGTTCAGTAGGGTATTATTACATAGTACTGTGTTGATAAGCATCGATGTCATTTTTCCCTTTGCTTGTCCAAATATTTACTGTATATCTACTTTTGCAGACTAATGTATCAGTTTGAGCTGCATTGTAAGATGATAAAACTATCGTATGAGATACAGTGCGTTGATGAAGATTGATGCTGTTATTACCTTTCTTCTTCGAATACGTACGAGTATGTCTACTTTTACAGACTGATGTTAGCAATACGGCATCAGTAATAGCTATTGCGTAAGATTGTACATTTGTATCAAAAAAAAACTAAAACTAACGTACGAGGCACAGTGCGGCAGTATTACTGGTGTACTGCTAAAAAAAAAGCATGTACTGTACTGTCTTTCATGTTTTTTATCCTGCTTTAATACTTACCTAAATAAGAATAACTGTTGATGTACGTTCACATACCAAAATAGAAAGTAAACGAGTTTGATCAATTTCAATATACTGTCGTACTGTTGTGTAGATTAATGTACTGTACAGTACCGTAGTAGAGTTATTGCTTTTACAGCACAGTGCAATAAAGTACTGTACAGTATGTTGAGAAATTTCCCAAAATATTAAGTTGAAAATGGATGTTTATTTCAAAATTAAGTGTCAATATCAAGCATGTCAGCTACAGTATGTGTTATTGAACGCTACGGAAACTGACTAAAAATGACAATAAAGTTGCAAATAATCAATACAGCGTTCACACTACCGTCGATCCAGTTCAAAGACTTTTATCGAATAGAAAGTAAAAAGTAGACCACTATAACCAACAGTATTAATACGGTATTTTTGCTGATTCATTTGACAGTAACAAGAGAAGAGAGAGTGAGAGAAACACAAGATTTGAACAAGATAGCAACAGTGTAAAACTACATGACTACGTTCAACATCATCGATCCTATCCAGTTTCATGTTATGCTTATCATGACCTACAGTATGGTACTGTACTTACTTGTAAGCATCACTTTCTCCTTCAATAGTAGTTTTATCGTATCCATCGATTAACTTCTTAGTATACGCAATAGTAATGACAAAATCAATTTTTGCCTGCAAGTTGCTGAGTAGATTATTGTAATTATGCTGGAGTAAATCGCGATCCTCTCTCGCTAGGCCTACAACCGTAGCCATTTTTATTGCGTTGAGATCAGTCAGAATGCCAAAACGATGCTGCCTGTTGAACCTGTTCTACGCCTGCTCAATATAGGGGAAACTAGCGGGGCCCCACTGCTCAAGGCTTGGTTTGAAACCATACTAGTGAATATAGAGTTAAAAGGAAGGAATTGTTTCATTTTACTCTATGGTTGTGACTCTCAGAGACAGGCTTTTTTGAGCTACATTTTGCTTTAGTCGTGCGTGTACTGTAGGCTTCAAAGTGAATGACGTCACAGATACTGTACTGTACTGTACTCTACTGTACTCTACTCTATCTGGACTACTACAGTACTGTACTGTACTGTACTGTAGGCAAGGCCTTTTTCTACAGTAGTAAGTACGAACATTTTACTGTATTGTACACTGTACACTGTACTGTACAGTACTGTAGGCTTCAACGCGAATGACGTCACAGATACTGTACTGTACAGTACGGTACTCTATCTGGACTGCAATACTGTACTGTACTATACAGTACTCTACCTGGACTACTAGAGCAAGGCCTTTTTCTACAGTAGTAGTCCATGGCTCATCTCAGTTATAAAGCTTCAATAGAGATCCTAAAAGAATTTCTTTTAGCACTCAGGAAGATGAAACTGCAGTCCATGCACAATTAATGCACAACTACAAGAGCGACAGTACTGTACACTGTACAGTACAGTACATTAATACGCGTACAGTACAGTACTGTAACAGGACAGGAAAAGCCCTGTGGATCATACTGTACTGTAGACTATAACGCATAGACTACGCAATACTGAACAGTATGGTAAGAGGTAAGAAACCTCTCCATGGTTACAGCGTAGCCAAGTTAACGTGTATGGCATACCCCTGTATGCTCTTTCCTTTTTTACGTAGTGTAGTAATAGGTACTAATAGCAGATATGCAGTATATGCTGCTGCTATCAATGCACCTTGCAAGAGAACTCCTTGATATCCACCTTGAGCTAACACAGTGTTGTCTAGAAATAATAGAGGATTAAACTGCAGTCTATGCACCAACTACACCGTGCATTGCGTGCAAGAACTACAGTACAGTACAGTACTGTAACAGTAAAAACACTGTAGACTGTAGAGCATACAGTACTGTACTGTACTGTAGACTACAGCACAATTACTCAATACTGCATGGTCACTCAGGTCTAATGGTCAGTCAATTTAGTGAGGTAAGAAACTTCTCCATGGTTACAGCAGCCAAGTTAATGTGGAAGGCATGCCCCTGTAATGCCTGTATGCTTTTTCACCACACCTAGTGGAATAAATATCAGATATATATGCTGCTATCAATGCACCTTACAAGAGAACTCCTTGATATACAGCTTGAGCAAGCACGGTATTATCCAGAAATAATCTGCAAATTTCTACCAGTCAATACCAAAGACAGTCCAGTTTCTGAACAATCAAATAATACAGGACAAAGATTGACATGATGTTCTGAATAAAGGAAATTGGAGAGGACAATCAGCGATTCCAACCTGTAGATCTTATGACGATTGAGTATGCTTATGATTGATCAATACATGCAAAAAGAAGTGAAGAATTCATGACAAAAATCACCCTAGTATTTCTTGACGCTTCATTTTTCATTCAAGATTAACTTACTCAAGGAGGTATGAACCATCAAGTGAAGAAGCATTTACTCAAGTGGGTAAGTTTCCTTCTTTCCAATATAAAATATTCATTTACTATTCCATTAGCATACAGATTAATGAATTGTCAACGAGCAAGAACGACAAATTTACCAAACGCCACTTTCTTCTTAAAATAATAATCATAATAACTTAATCAAGAGCTATTGCATCAAGAGCTGTACCATAGATGCCATAATGCAGATGTCCTGTCCTGGACAGACGCAAGTTTTTGATGCCAAAGCTAAACATGACTATATTCTCTTGCTACGACTGTCAAATAATATCCAAATCGATAGCAAGAAGTTATTGGAAAGTGTCCGCTTTCTTCTTTTACTGCCTTAGTAAGGGTTCCTATGCCCTACGTGTAATGTTTGTAGGGAAATTCCCGCCTATAAGCATGCACATCTGTCGGTATGGACAAATCAGTCTACGTTTGCTCTCTACTCAATGATAATAATTAATGATGACAGTGTTCTACTCGTAAGCAGTTCTCGTCATTTCCAGCTACCATCATGCCCTGGTTAGAGTGATACTGGCGCGAGTATTGTAGGCAATGTATCCAATCGCGCCATTTATACTGTATATATTATATATATCGTATATATGCAATGCCTATACAGTATATATGATACCGATTTTGTATCAAGCTTTCAAGTCTATCATCTTGTGATCAACCTACTTCAAGTCTAAAGGTTTACCTGGATAATAAACTTAATTTGTGCCGTCTCTCACATTATAATCACCGTGCCACAGTAAAAATATTTTCTATACTTTATCGGCTATGTTTTGCTTGAATTAGCTTAGAAAACACAGGAAACCTAGAAATTTTCTCAATTTGCTATACAGTGTTATACTGTAAGTATGGCTAATTAGATGTTGAATTCAGGCACTCCTATAACATAATTCGCATAATTGCCTATCATTAATTGATAGCAGAAATGACTAATAATGTAATAATAATAATTATTGTTCTTGGCGAGATATGACACATACGCGTAAGGACAGCAGTAGAACATACTGTATAATTTACACGGTATCAATACCAAGCCTTTTTAATGCACAGTATTTTACACACGATACCTAATATAGTAGTATGGTTAATACGTAGATGAATTGAGGTACTGCCACAAGATCTACTGTAAAAAATAGGACTTATTTATTGCGGTATTACATGCCTTTTCCATCATTAACATACTAGTACGCAGTCGAATGTAGCAAAGAGTCGATTATGACAAAAACGCTATTTACTATACTATGGTATACATTTGTATCCGAAGACATTGTTAAGCCGAAAATGTTGATGTTGCATGGAATAATTGTCCTACTGTAATATTTGGATCATAAACCCATTATCATTACCAGCTTTTCTAAACGCACGTAAGGTAAATCTATACCTTTGCGTACTTTCCAAGAAATCATAATTACTATTATGATTATAATTCAAAAATTAATGACACCTTTAGTTAAGGGATATTCACATTACGATTTAATCTATTACCCCTGTGCTGTTTTTAAATTATTTTCAAATAAGAACAATTACATTCATTAATAATATTGCCTCTTTACGAGTACTTTTGTTTCCTAAAGGTCAACACTTACCATCATGAAGATCGAGTTACGTCGTTTCGTCAATTTGCCAATAGCGAGCGATTATGTTTCGTAGCTGAAAAACTGTTACAGTAAGAAATATATCAACATATATTTTTAATTAATATTTTTTTTATAATTGTTTATGAAATAAATTTATCCATATTTCCTTAAAGTCACATTTACAAATTTAATTAATCAACGCTTATTAATACTACAGTTCACATATCAGATCATACATTGGTAACATGGCTTAAAGGTCAATCTTTTTTAATCGTAATTTCACTTCTTTAATGTTCGTCATAGTGATAGCGAAGAAGAGGATGGACTAGACTATGCATCGTTAGTAAAATTACCGGTTCGATCACGATTTACTAGAATTATAGATTATCTCGAAGGTACACAAGTAGAATACAGGCCCGTAAATATTCTTGTTTAACTCTTCATGCTTTTCAAATGCAACAAAGAACATCACCGTAGATTAGTTTGATAATATAGAGTTTTGTTGAATCAAAATTTATTTGCTACTAAATGATAGTATCGCTGGTCGATTCTATAACGCTTAAAGGTAATCGCTAGCTTATTATTACTGTCTATGTAGTCAGCTCAAGAAAGATATTTACCTGTCTATATACCACGTCCTTTGATAACTGATTTCTGTACCCACCACAAATTTTACTATCAGAAAAAATAAAAGTTTTAGCGCCAACTTACACTACGATAGTATTTGTTGATATTATAAAATTAATTCTAATCATATGGTAATCACGATATTTATAACCTTAAATGATACGTTATCATAACTACACAAATTATACTGCTAAAAGTTTACATAATTAAAAATGAAGCTATATTACTTTTTTTACAGATCTCACTTACCAATCTTTCGAAGGGGTGATAAAATTGACAAACTTAGAAAATGACGAGTTGGAAATTGCTAAAGTTAGTATCTGCTTAAGTGACAACGACTGTGTAGTCTATTTATAACTACTAGTAATCTAGTCGATATATTATGTGCACTATTTTACTTTAAATTTATAAATTGGAATATTTTAATCACTTCAGAAATTAGATTGATTTAAAAAATCGCAATTACTATTAATCTGATGTACTTATTATAGCAAGTCACTGTTTTAACTAGACTTCTACAATTATCTGTAGATGGCATATCTAACGGAGTACAAATCTCATTTTTTTTGTTGAAAATTTAGGTTGTGCTTCTTCTCTTGTACGCCTGGTATCTTGAAATTAAAGACCTTTCAACGGTGAATGTTTGTGAACATCGAAATTTCTTGTTACAACTCGGTAAAAGTATTTGGGATCAGTCATCAAAAACTAACCTGGATGAATCATACATCAAGGAATTGATTTACCGAGGTACAATTCGCGATCCTACTATAATTATCACAAAAACAGAAGAACGCATTTTATAAATTAACTTTCGGATATGAATTGTGTCAATAGGAGTTGTCTGCGATGAAATCAATAATAACATTATCATGCAAAAATTGACTAGTCAAGATCAAGATATTTATAGAACTTCAGACTTTGTTATGGTCAGTATCAGACTTATTGGCTTTTCTGTGCTCTAATTACTAACATAGGATAAAAATTTCGACACCTTTAGGACGAATTGCAAGATATAGATAATAGTACAGAAAAATTGCAAGATATAGATAATGGTACAGAAAAACAGTCGTTTTTGTCTGAATACAATGTGAGTAACAATAAGGATAGAGTTACCCGATTTTATTTCGTTTTCTGGTCAATAACGGAACATATTCCTGAATATAATTACATGGCAATATAGGAATTAAGACAATATCTAACGAAACGAAATAATAGTTCAAAAGACCATCTGGATATTTATCACAGGTACCATATTTGTAAAAAACACAGAAAGAAATTAGGCGAAAAGTATGATGATTCGTCAATTATATTTGATGAAAGCAACGATGATGACGATGATAATTATGACGAACGTTTCACATTATATCACAGAGAGCTATTAGAAAGTTCTCACACCACAGAGAAATCGATGTTGCCCTCTTCTAAGCGAATACAAACCAACACAGCTTTATGTTATAGCGATCCCGAAGTAATTAGATCGAACGAGATTTCCATTAGCTGCAAATTTAAGCCGAGTAGTGGTTCATCGGTAATTGAACAAATGCAATCACAATGTAAAAATGAAGGCAACAGTACTTCTAATATAAGCTTATTTACTATACTTGACAATGATGATTTGTTATCCAATGGTTCCATATTATTTCCATCAAATGGATCATTTGGCAATAAGCCGTCGCAAGAACAATCAAAATCTCAAGATATAAATCAGAGAAGTAATATCTCTGGCGCAGGCTCCTCAGCGATATTTACTGATAATCCAATCTTCGATACTCGGAATAAAACAATACCTAAAGGGTCCTATCATGAGGCTTCATTAAAAAACAAAATGCCATCATTACAAGGTTTAAATAAGGAAAGTAACATATCAAATATGACCCTACCTGTGATGGAACAGCCCGCATCAAAGTCTAATAAAATTAATTCTTCCAATAACAAGTCTCCACTTTCGTTATCCTTATCTCCTACTATTAACTCAGTAAAATCTGATCTTAAATTCAAATCATCATTTACTCCGATCCAAAGTGATACGAAGAATCAATCAACATCAGTCACTGCATCTGGTAATGGTGGAAAGATCGTACACAGACGTAATTCCTCACCATGTAAGCCAATAGGTAGCACGACTAGAAAACGTAAAAGGACAGATTCAAGAGCTAAATCAGTAGATCAAATGGACAAGATAGTTGATAGTGCCCATAAATTTCTTGATAATCAAATTATAAGGCGACAGAGGGATTTAGATCGGAAAGCTTCCAGTAAGGTGCTGTATGACAGTTCAGATAATGTTACGAATATTATCTTATCAGATGAGAATACAATACCAACCAATTTAGCCACTCAATTATGTCGCTATCAAGCTGAATGTGTTATCGACATATACCATGCTTGCGTTTACAAGAAACAAGGTTGTGTCTTTATTTATCCAGAAGAATTGGGAAGATACTTGCCGGTATATTGTACTAATCCGCAAATACGATATTATATAATTTAATAACAAAAAACACATACTAATTTTCTATACATCTTTATTTCTTAGACTTTAACATTTCTAACGTCTTACAAAGGAAAATGTCTTTTACTGTCTTCGAAAAAGAAGTTAAATAGATGGTTTCACGAATATAAGCGTCGAAAAAGGGATTGGACTGACTTAAAGGTACTTGAATAATGTTTTCCCCGTTTTCCTTTATTTTATCAAGATTTTTGAAAGTACAATTCTTAACATTAGTAAATTCTTGATAGTTGTACTATCTACGTCCAAATTCTGATAAAAAAGACAATTATGCAACGATCCAAAAAGACAATTATGCAACGATAAAGCAATGGAAGCAGATTTCAGGAGTACTTCTACTAAGTTATAATACATATTCTGAGCTACTTCACTCAAAATCACAGCAATTACAAGAGATGAAAAATTGCCTCCAATCACCAGGTAATAAGTAAATGTAAAGAGCTAATAATTAATTTGTTCGTCATTCGTAAAACTTATTTTGATACTGGCATGTAGGATCTGATCTTGTAATATGTGATGACGACTTCTTACCAGAACAACGTTGGACGGCCATTTTTGATCTGGTTTCAAAAGTAAACACTCGACAACGAGTTTTTTTGGCTGATATTTATGGCGATGATATTACTAAGTGTAAGCGTTCTTGTCAGTTTAGTAAATAGTATTACTGTTATTTTACTAGTATTTCATATCGAACCAGAAATTACAAATGTTTTATTATCTGTAATTTATCATCTTGAAAATCATAATTTGCCGCTTCTTATTCTCTTACTGTAGTTAGTACAATGGTTGCTCTTGTCAATCCTACACATAATTCGATTCATCGCGTGCAAAATAACATAATTGACGCCTTGAAAGTTCATAATTCCAACGATGCTAGAGAAGATCTTCTCCTAGATTACTTTATTAAGGTATTATGGTTATATTATATCTACTTAAAAATTGTAAGATTTTACGGTGTCTGTCTATCTACTCAATACTTAGTTGATTGGTTTAGCAAACGTCGCTAAATACATTCTCAGGCTTTGGCACTTTATGCACACGGATTTAAACATTATATGATTGTCTTCATAATTTAGGTGTATAGTGTAACTGATACGCAATACCGTATCCATCGAAAGATAGAGCATGTAGTGTTTCTGAGATTAAATGACGAACAAACACAACTGTACAATGATGTTCTCAATCGTCCTTCAATTACCGGACAGGAAGGTATAGCCAGTAAGATTTTTATTAGTAACCTGTCTTAGAATTCACGAAGCAGATATATGATTATAAAGGCACTATGCAGGCTGTTTAACAACTATACAAATCTTATCTATCTCATTAATATATTTAGCTAGTTATATTTCAAATTTTCTGATCATTATAATTGAAAAACGAACATTCTTTGATGTTTCAATTTTACAGCTGACGCAGATATTCAAAAATGGTACAGAAATTTATATTCTATCTGGTTAACTGCTTCAACACCAAAAGTTCAAAATAATCAATTAGCTACAAGTCCAGATATAGCCGGACTTTGTAGTAAATACTTGATTCTAGACTGTTTAATCCAGTTATGTTTATCATCTTCCGAAAAAATTGTCGTTGTTTACAATTTTTGTCTCCAAGATGATAACGTGTTAAGTATTTTTGAAATGATACTCTCAAAGATAAATGGCCTAGACAAACACCAGTATTTAATAATTGGGCAAAAAACAACGCAAAATAGTAATGAAAATGCTATGAAGCTATATAAAGGGTAAAAGTCGAAATTTACTAAGATTTACTACCTACATGAGTACAATTACATCAACTATTTCAACTTTATCATGCTACATTCTAATAAGTTAAATGCCTTCAATATTTAAAATGCAAACTCTAGATACTGTACAATTAATAATCATAGCAGAATTTAACATAATTTCATCGTTTGTAATTATAAATTATTGCTCTGTATTTATACACAGTCAATCAGTACTTTTTATTCCTCTGGAAGAAATTCAAAATAAAGATATTAATCTCACAGAAGTTGACAGAATAGTTTTTTGGGATTACTACATCTATGATGACCAAAAGGTGATAACGAAAGCTTATGCATCGAAGCGAAGCAAAATCTTGAAAGTTACCCGCCTAATTATTCACGTAAGTACGCTAATGAGACTGTTGAATTCAAGATTATACAATACAGTATTATATATTGGTTGCTTAGGCCTTATTTTATCTTTGTTATACTGTTGCCGCCTTGTCATCTCGCTTTAACCGTAAAATTTTGGTATTTGCGTTTAAAATTATACGACGTATCAGTAGTAATCTCGTCAACTAAAATTTATTGTTATTGAAAAGATAATTACATCTTTAATCTACAATCTTTCAAAATACGTATAGTCAAATTTGGTAGGAATCATGTTAGGATCACTATTTTATCCCTAAAAGCTAACTATAATATTGATTTCTTTCAATGTACTAGTATATTAATAATATACTACTAACGAAAAAACGTAAAAAGCATAATCCAATGTTGTAATCATGCAGATACATGGCTGTAATTATGAAACAATATCATAGAAATTGTAATTACTTATACATGCTTTTGCTACAACAATAGGATACCGCAGAGGAAAAACTATTTTTCGAGCGCGTAGGTGTACTTTAAAATTGCTATTTATACTCTATCGAGAAAATCTGCTTGCATAAATTGTACTAATTACCTATTGCATGTTTAGCTTAATATGGCTAAAATGTTTATAGAAGATAAAAGAACAGTACGTTCTCATCTAAATTGTACGCGTAGCATCAAACTCTCAGAGGTTGAATCACTATTCCGTCGTAATAGCACTCCTAAATATCCTACAAGTCTTAATCATCTGGCACAACAAACAGGAAATATCGTGCGTATATACGTATAATTACTTTATTTAATTGATAGCTGAGAAAATTATCTACTCTTGATTAAGAACAAAATCAGGCATTTATAATCTAATGAATATATCGAAATTCTTAAATGTTAATAGAACGACACAGTTTTAAAGGAATGCCTTGCTAAAGAAGAGTTTTCGTCTTGGATAGTCGATGTACGTCAATATGATAGCTTTAGATACGCCTTAATTCCAGCTCAGTAGCTGATAATATTGGCAACATTAAAATGATTGAATCAGTTGCTGTATCAGCTTGTTGTGCAGAAGAATATCATGCTAATATATGCAGTACACACTAAACTCTTATAGTACTGCTAAATCGTTTATATTGTTTAATGTTGTATACACAAATGAATTTTAATGTCTTCTCTAAATGTACAGCCTATAACACTGTCAAATATATATTAAGAAATATTTTGATATAACTTAAAGAAAATACTAATCTTTGATAGAGCCACCATATACAGTACATTGTTACCGTGTATACTCCTGTGGATACGAGTGTAATCTATTCTAATTGTAAATTGAATATAATATACATCTGATATTTTTATCCACCTGAAAATAACCTATCATAGACTAGGAAATAATTTGAAGAGTTCTTTTGAGTTCTTGTTTAAGCAAAGAGCAACTTTCAACCCATTCCGGTCCATTTAACAGATAAATATTTAACTTTATCTTCCACTACTGAACAAAATATTCCAATCTTCTTGACATTTGTACATAATCTACCGAAAGCAATCATGTCGTACGTGCTGATTTCTCTTTCAGATGGTATTACTCGAACGACATACCGCGAATGGAAAAGATATGGATCATCTTGTTTTGAATTAGCAAATTTTGCTAGATTAGTACCAGTTTAAATAATTACATCATACACGTATGTTGATACTTTAATCAAAATAAATCTACAACCTGCATAAACAAGATAATCACCACCAAATTTTCTTCCCGGTGTAATATAGAATCCTTTATACCATAAATCACGATACGCAGCATATCGAAATTTCTATTTATAGTAATTTAGAACAATGTTAGATCACACCTTTCGCAGTACTCGTTAAAATTTTCGGCAATTAATAGTAATATGACGACTATATTACATCACTTAAAGCATCCGGGTATTTCCAGGTTATTTTGCGGCAGTTGCTCGAAGTAACGCTATCAACTAGGTTTGCTGAAAAAGGCAATTTATCAATCCAGCATCTTTTAAATTCTCTGTTAATTCTAAGAGCATATTTTTACTTTTACGAACCCGTTGATATATGAATTATAGCTGACGATTGCAATTTCTTGATCTATTTATATATTTTACAATAAAACCATTTTTTACCAAAGTCAATCCCAATGATTAATATATATTAGATCAATTATAATTACAAGTATACGTATAAAGGACATTTGATAATTTAATTTCATACTTCGTCATCAGAAATATCTTTATTAGCTTCCTTATTGACATCACCTAATGCGAATAAGCAGATGAAACTTTTAAACAAAATAGTGTTGACTACTAAGTAGTTAAGTGCATAGGAAGCTTGGTATCTTTGATTTAATAAATTATAGTACAATATTATTCAAATCTCAGAATTATCGTATAGCAAATTAACACCACATCAATTTCAAAATACCGAGTGCTAAGAATAGCGTAGTGTTATCAACAAGTTCCTACAGTAGTATAAAGACCATTATCGGTAGCTTACATACTACACTTATCTATGATCATTTATTGTACATACAGGGTAGATGATTTTGCTCTCGATAAAATAGATCCCGTTCGTTCTTCTCCTTAGCAATTATCTTGGCCTATATAGGATAACAAAGTCGATAATAATTAGCAAAAGTATGTGTATAATTTCATGTAGTATTCGCATTTAATTAACATAAGTATGTCACTATAGTTATTTTGGAAATATTACCAAAATAAGACAGAAATAATTAATGAAGCGACAAACCTGCTCCATAATATTACTCTCACGATTGTGATTGTATAACTCGATTTGACTTTGATTTATTTCCGGTATATTACATGTAACCAATTCAGCAATACCTACGATTAAAATTAGGTAAATAATAAGCGTACTACAAATTTTAAGACACTTTTACCATAGTGAAAAGGCTTATCTGTTGATATAACTGCACATGTAGACGTCTAAGACAGTTGCCGTTACATCATACATTCAATAAATAGTCGTATTATAATATAAAATTGTCAACGTGTTCAGATACCATAGCTATATTGAATTGTTAAGAACCTTTTTCGAGAAGTAACGTAGCTTCCTCTCGTAGTAATTTAAGTGGTAAGCCTTGGTAAGTATTTTGCTTTGGTTGTCGAGGTAAACTACCAGTTAAATGACCAACTATCCTGTAGTTCCGACGCAACAGCTTCCAATCTACTTTTTTAAACATCTTGCATTAATTACATTAAGTAATAGAGCATACAAGATTAGTTGATGTACTGTACTTAGATTGTATGACATTATCTTGTAATTGCCAACTATCCTATAATTTGGATATAACAGCTTCCAATCTACTTTTTAAACGTCTTGCATTAATTGCATTAAGTAATAAAGCATACAAGACTAGTCGATGTACTGTACTTAGACTGTATGACATTATCTTGTAATTGCCAACTTATCCTGTAGTTCTGACGCAATAGCTTCCAATCTACTTTTTTAAACGTCTTGCATTAATTGCATTAAGTAACAAAGCATACAAGACTAGTCATGTACTGTATTTAGACTGTATAACATTATCTTGTAATTGTATACGTATAATAAAAGAGTTACGCCATAGTTTTAAACGATGAATGATTACTGCTCACTGGTCTTCATAGACAATTTAATTCAGAATTAACTGACTAAGCCCTGACTAATTATACTATTTTCTGATGAGAGCTAAGAGATTTAGGTAAAGCTGAAGTATACTCATAAATAGAACCGATTTGATAGGCGTACATCTATTGCAAATTACAATGCATTATTTGATAATGCAGCACTACATATCAAATGTAAGTGGTTGTTACCGTCCGCAGTCCATACAAAGGCATCATCGTCGAGTAAGTAGAGCTTGATTTTCTCGCATTCAGCCATAGTATCAGAAGCCTCAAGCAAATCAATCTTACAAGCTTCTTACTTAAATAACAAGGCAAACAGTAAATCAATCGATTTGACTCGTTGAAATGCTCATTCATTCCATAACTGTTACAAATGAAGAGAAAATCCAATCTTAATACAGTGACAACAATTTCAATCTGCAGAAGTTAAATTTATATCACATCTTGTAGACATAGATTACTTACTACCAAATTACCGTGACCGGATTACACTACCTCAAAATCAAGAGCTTCTCCATCCATTAGCTCCAAATCAGATGCAGCCTGACCACCTCTAGCCGTTCTATATAAGAGATTTACTATGCTCAAATAAGCTGTCACACCATGCCATTCATCTTAATCAAGTTATACTTGCATTGGTTGGAGAAGAAGCGCTCAGGTAATGACAATTCATTTTGCACAGTGTACAGTACAGTAATAGATGGATAAGCACTGTACTGTAGAGTGTAGAGTACTGTCCACGTTGGAATCTGATTTGGAAAATTTCATGAGTCTATACTGTATAATACTACACAGCCCCCTGAGTCATACAGTGTAGTATAGATAGTATACGTGATGTACACACCGGTACCGGCAGGACGGATGTGGACCATCAATGGGAGTAGGTGGGGACCTTGGCTGTCAAGACTGAAGAGGACAATCCCTGAGATCTTTTTATATTGCAGATGTTGATGGCGATATGAAATCATATTAAGAGGAAATTAAATTATTATGTTTGGATCACCATGCTAATAACCAGTTCTTATTGATTATATGGTGGCTCTTCCATTGGATATACTTACAATTCCATCCATCCTGCGTTAATAATTAATTATAATTGAACGACGCATCGATCACAATCACTTCATACCTTAAATTATTACATCCTGCGAGTCCGATGATTAATGATAATTTATAGTTCATTAGATACTGCATTACTATCTACATTTCTATTCAGCAAAATTTATCCTGCTGTTTCATAAACTTGCAGACTGAAAGCCATGTTCATATTTTAAAAATAATATTGTATATTGACAAGACTCGAACATTGATCATGATCAATAATATTGGCTTACAGAGATTGAGCAGATTATGGATAACAACCAGATGGGCATTCATCAAGTTACACCTGGATAATCCAAACAAGATAAAAGTTTCGGTAAATATGACTCGAAATCAATGCCAATCAATGCGTATTAGTATATAGCAGCTTTAAACATCAAATATTATTATGTAAATATACGCGTATATGAAAATGCTATCTTTTTATTGCGACTTGAGAGGATGTCTAATCTAACTCTACAAGTTGTAGTAATACATTTTTATAATTCGAAACATTAATTCTAATGAACATTTGCTCGCAGTAATCTCAGTTGTGGACTATTTGATAGATGTACAGGTCAAAAATTTTTGACATTTGCAATCCCCAATAATTATACGTGTAATTGCTAACTTGTTAGTGACAGATTAAGCTAATTGCGTTTTACCTTCTCTTCGCTTCTGATAGAATACGGTCAGATGGGTATCTACTTCCCCTAATAGATCAACTTATAATCAAAATGATCATAAATCGGATTCAATTATTTTAGCTCGCAAAATTCTTCCTGCTGATACTAATCCATTAGGTATTATCCACGGGGGTCAGACTTTACAACTTGCAGAACAAGCTGGACATATTGCTGCAACTAGACATTGCTATAGTAGTAACAATAATAATAGAGTAACTCAAACCGATCAGAATATCTATAATGCTGCTTATATGGCTCGATTGGATCATATGAACTTTTTACAGCCAATCTTTGTTAATGAGGTAGCACAAGCAAGAGCCGAAGTAGTATTTGTATCGCAACACTCATTAGCTGTAGAAATTGAAGTAACAGCAGAAGACCCAAGCAGAGGAACGCGACGATTAACGAATCGAGGAATATTTTGGTACGTAAACTTCAACAAGGATCCAGTAAGTCAGCAAGTAAGCCTCGCCAAAGTTCCACCTTTATTACATTACGATGTTGACAAGTACCAAAAGTGTCTTCAACTATATAATCAACAAAAAGAAAACAGACGATTAGTTCAAGGTTTTGATGATATTACCATTAAAGATAACATAGCTTCAGTAAGCAATATCGATCAAACTGGTGCTACTAAGGAAACACAAGCTACCGTAGCAGCCTCAGAATCTGTTCTAGTTCATATGGTTATGCCTGCTGACTGTTATCAAATTCAGCGCGTAACTGGCGGTTGCCTTATGAAACTTATGGATAACGTAGCAGCTATAGTATGTATTAGGCATACCAAAGGTACTATTGCAACGGCTTCCATTAATGATATCGATTTTCTGAAGCCAGTAAAAATGGGCAATCTTATAACTGCTATAGGAAGGCTGACCTTTACTTCCACAAAATCGATGGAAGTTCAGGTTCAAGTTATCGCAGAAGATATCTGGGCTAATAACAGTAATCGATATGTAGCTAGTAGCGCCTTTTATAATTTTGTGGTATTACAAAAGAATGATAAAGTTCCATCATTAATACTAACTAGTGATTACGAAAAGCGATTATTCGAAGAAGGCAGAATACGCTATGAAAATAGGAAAAAAATGTTTAAAAAGAAATAAAATAGCTTTGCCCAGTTGAAGAAAATCTGTTGCCAACGTATCACGGTCACTTCTAGTAAGAATCTGGCCATTCCAATGTTGTCTGCATAATGCTAATGTCAAGTAAAGTTCTTCATACCTGGCTAACTACTCGATACAATATCGTTCAACCACACTGGAATATTCACGATCGCCTGCTAAAAGCTAGTCCAGTTATGTCACCTCTGTACATCAACTTACATCAAACTAATATATTGTACCACAGTTGTATTTGGAAAATTTTCCTAGTATGTTATATTAGAAAGTCTCATCGGAGTTGCGGTATATAATCTCTACTATTCGGACTTACAAAGTTCTACAATCTTACAAAACTTAAATTACTGTAATAGGCCTTATAGATTACATTTTTGCCATGATAGGTTATAAATTTTACATCTAAATCTACCGTATTTACTCATACGTGCTAAGATCTGCTATAAATAATTAATTTATAAATTTGGATCCTTGGAAATTTTCAATTACAATCTAAATGGAAATGTCTCCTTTCTGGCGTAGCGATGTTCTTGGATTACTTTTATAGACGAATAGACATGCATATATTATGTGCACATATTCGATATCGTAAGCAGATAAGTGATATAGTACAAAATTGTACCCGTTTACGTATTATATATGGTATAATTAACGTACCAAATCTACTTTATAAAGAGTTAATGTACGTACACTAGTCAACTTCAAAAATTTACAAATTGAAATTCACTTTCTTTTTCATGTCGGATACTATGTTGCAATAACTTTCATAGCGAATCCGATATTGTACTGATAGTTTTATATTGTATAGTAAAACTATACAGTTAATATTGCGCACATCCTGAATAATATATCATTTGGGTGTGTTAATCATATCATAATTATTGGAGATACAAGAGAACTTGATCATTAATATGTACAGTTTATGGTACCATATAGCATACTATTCACTGTAATTAATAATAACAATTTTTATTTACTATCGCCAATATTAAAACTGTATTTAATTCAATAAATAATTGTATTTATATCATGACCGCAATGTCAAATTCATCATTTAATCATCTCCAAAGTTGTACAGAAATCCATTAAAGAATTACATAACAAAAATTAAATCAAATAGAAAGTCTTTCTTTATATAAAACTATGATATACCGAAGTCATTAAGCTAAGGCAAAAATCGTACTACAACTCGATACTGCGACGAGTACCAGTACCCAAATATGCCTTTATTATAATTAATTAATTGATAATTGTAGCATCAACATGAAATATGCCTTTACACAGATAGTTAACATATACGCATAACAGCTTACAAATGATAAGTTTTTGGTCCACAACATATAGTACACGACTATATCAATCAATCAATACGATAGACGGTAGGTGACGCAAATGGTCTAATCCATTTTATTCACTCTACTTTTTTTTCTATTTTCGTAACGAACTCTACCTTCTTCAAATTGTCGCTTTTCATCATCAGTAGTTAATACTAATGGCGGAACTTTAAGGGGCATACAATTACTATCCATTGCTACCATATTAAAGAAAGAACTACTAGCGATGTATTGGCTGCCGGTACGAATGTTCTTGGCAAACACTCGAACGTTAGTTTCCATCGATTTCCCAGAGGTAAAAGTTAATCTTCCAACGATGGTAATGAGACTACTCAACTTAACCGGCCTATAGAAATCAATATCGTTTATGGAAGCGGTGACAGCAGCTGACTTACAGTGTCTGATACCAACCATAGCAGCAGCCGTATCCATAAGTTTCATTAAGCAACCACCAGTTGCAAACTTTATTTCATAGCAATCAGAAGGCATAATTAAGTGTGCTAAAACAGATTCAGATGCTACGATAGTACCTTCTATTTGATTGATAGCTTCATTTCGATGAATATTCTCCGAAGTAATATCACTTTCATTTATGGTATTACGAAAATCTTTACCCAGCTTGTTATCCCTCTTTCGACTTTCATATAATTGTCGATATTCTTGCTGCTTTTGAATATTGTATGATAGTGGAGGAACTTTGGCGATATCTAAATTTTGGCTAGTTTTGTCAACGTTGAAGTGTACATACCACAGAATGCCCCGATTTGTTAATCGTCGGGTTCCCTTGTATATATTCTCTGCTGTAACTTTAACCTCTACTGCTAAGGAGTGCTCCGATACAAATACTACTTCAGCTTTTGCTTGAGCTATCTCGTTCACAAACATTGGCTGCAGAAAATCCATATGCTCGAGACGTGTCATATAAGCAGTGTTGGAAATAGTTGTATTATCTGTTTCAGTCATCTTTTTATCGCTATTACAGTGTTTGGTTGCAGCGATATGTCCAGCTTCTTCCATCAGTTGTAAAATATGACCACCATGAATATTGCCAACTACATTAGCATCATCAGGAACAAGCCTACGAGCTAAAGTGACAGGTTCTGCAGGTTCTCTATTGGTCTCGTTAACCCTACGTAGCAAGCCAACCGTTGTGTGTAGCCATTTAGAATCGTTCTATCACAAGTAGATTGTGTCGATATGATGGGAAAAGCGTTAGTATCAATCGAACACTATAATTATAATTGTTATGGTTTCATTTGATTTAGTAGTACATCTTTTATCACCCTACATACAACACACTAGTCTATACTGTATCCATTACCTTATTGTCCTTAGTTCAACGAACATTACCTTTGAAGATGCATAGTATATAACCGACAATACGAGTACATTAAGTCGGTTCACTTGCCTACGAATAATGTGTATTAGGCGATGTATCTTTATCATAGAAATTGCTAGCTAGCGGAAAGGCTGTCTATCCCATTATCTAATCACTTCTTGACATGACCTCAAGCTTTAACGGAAGCTACGTTATCTTGGCAAGGGTATAATTGTTATCCGATCGAACAAATTTCGTACATATTACCCCTATCCGATCAACAAGCACATAAAATGCATGCAGGCCAACATCCCAATGTACGTCTCTACTGCAAATTTGTATCATGTACCATCTCTAATGTCGTAATAGAGGATAATTTATAGATCCTGACTGATCAGTTTATCTCGAAGAAGCCTAGGCCTAAAATAGTCTCATTTCTATAGTAAAATATGTTCAATAATCTCTCGCTAGTAAAGGAGGCTTTTAGCTTACTATCTGAGAATTCGGTAGATCGGCATGTAGACATTGGCAGTAACGAACAGTAAATAAATAGATGGAAACAGCCACAACTGGTATATCTTCAGGAGCTAAAGATATTTCAATATGTACAGTACTTACGTATCGTTTTCTTCCGTTTAAAGAAATGAACGATGCATTGAGTAATGGCGGTTTACTGTGGATCCACTTACAAATATTCCTAATCATCATCCTCTTCCTTCAATACCAATCCAAAATAACATCGATGATAAAATACTTTAACTTGATTAATTCGCGTTGCTAGTGGGCAAGCGAATGCAAGCGCAGCTCTGTAGTTGTCTACTGGACACCCATTAACCTCTGTAGTCCGTAACGACACTTGATAGTCTACTTTACGATATACTACATAGTGGATATGTGGGTACTGCCTGCGTAGACAGACTCCCGCAGCTTGGACGTACGGTGTTAGTTTACTGTGTTAGATTGCGGTTGTACCACATATACGTGCAGTATATTAACCCTTCAGGTAATAATAAAAACCTCTATCCGGTATAGGTTATATATGATCTGTTCTAGCGTTCTTAAACTATACTTTCTTGGCACAGCTCAAAATCAACTGATACCCATTCTCCATGTATTTAAAGTATATGTCTAAAGAAATTAGTATACAGACTTCTAACTAGCAATTTTTAAATAAATTCCGATAATAACAATAATAATAATAATAATGTTTTATTATTTATAATGAAATAATATAATGACTGTATAAGGTAGAATTACACGATTAGCTAGGATAAATAAAACGGAAAGAGGGTCTCAACTTTGCATAACTATTAATAAAAATCTCGATATGTTATATATATGTATATGATCTGTTCTAGCATTCTTAAACTATACTTTCTTGGCATAGTTTAAAATCAAGTGGTATCCATTCTCCATGTATGTAAAGTATATGTCTACAGAAATTTGTATGCAGACTCATAAAAATATGCTGACTCATAACTAGCAATCTTTAAATAAATTCCGATAATAATAATAATAACAATGTTTTATTATTTATAATGAAATAATCTAATGACAGTATAAGGTAGAATTACACGATTAACTACGATAAATAAAACGGATAGAGCGACTTTGCATGACTATTAATAAAAACCTCGATATGTTATATATATATGTATATGATCTGTTCTAGCATTCTTAAACTATACATTTTTGGCATAATTCAAAATCAGCTGGTATCCATTCTCCATGTATGTAAAGTATGTCTACAGAAATTTGTATACAGACTCATAAAAATATGCCGACTCATAACTAGCAATTTTTAAATAAATTCCGATAATAATAATAGTAACAATGTTTTATTATTTATAATGAAACAATCTAATTATAGTATAAGGTAGATTACACGATTAACTGCGATAAATAAAACGGATAGAGGGTCTCAACTTTGCATAACTATGACTATCACCCCAAAATATGCAATTCACTATAAACTAATGAAAAATTTACATATCGATACCTTTATAAATTAACTGTCTCTGATATTCCTTTTAGCAAAAGTTTACTGTATAACTTTCAGCCCTCTAATTTAAATGATCATGCTTATAATTTGTACTTATAATTCCTATATTATTTACGTCAGTACAATACTTGTGTGTAATCCTATAAATTTGCTCTCTTGTAAATAAAGTATTTTTTTTGTTATCCAACTGAAATTGCTTCACCTGCGTGTTTATTATATATCGTAAGACAGACATTTTAGATCACGCCATTAAAATGCAACTGCATCTTTAATAAACATCCCTATAGAATTACAAATCTGGCATCTAAATAATGAGTTAAGAATAGCTCTGATATTGTATAAGCTGATGATATAAAATTTCTCCATAATAGAAAGGTTTACAATAAATATCCTATCAAGTTGTAGTCCATTAAAGCATGTAACATATACTTGAAGCCTGAATGGATCTCATACTAGACAAAAATAAATTTATTCTCCATGGCACCCTTCATAGTGATAATTAACCATTCTATTACACATACCTAAAGATGAAGCTCTGCTTGAGCAATATTACATAAAGAAACACCAAATGAACCAACTTATAATTTATCTTGGTATATAATTTATTAATCTGATATATAACATACTGCATGCTAGGATCTTGATCAAAATACCAAATCATATCACCTCATTCTTACTTTGCATATTATATAACATAGTGTGCCGGTATAAACATGCAACTACGAGAAAACATAAGCAAGTGTAAGCTGACCTTAAATATATTGTACTGCATATCGTATAGCGTTGTGATGTTAAGCAACTCTCTTGATATATTAAGTTTTACATTGCTGTAAATAATTGTCCATGATAATACACTATACTGTACCTACACATATATATCATGATATTGTATAATCTCACAATCATACGACGTATATAAATTATTCGACATTGTTCGTATAGGCACTCTGTATTACTGTATATGTTGCAATTTACAACTCTAAACAAACTTATTCGTAATATAGGAATAGACAGTTAATTATCTAGTTTTTGGTCGTCTCTCTCGATAACCGACGTTGCTTCCTAGCTGAGTACCGCTGTTTTCCGCTTTCAAAGCGTTTCTTTTCCGAATCAGTTTTTAAAACAAGTGGTGGAACAGGGAGTACTCGACCACTGCTATCAACCGATACAAAGTTAAAGAATGCACTGCACGAAAAGTGCTTTTTACCAGTACTTAAATCTTCCGTGATAACAATCACCTCAACTTCCATCGACTTAGCCGATGTGAAAGTAACTCTTCCAGAAATAGTTATCACGTTAGATTGCCTCATAGGGTGATGAAAATTGATAGCATCAATAGATGCTGTTACACATGGCGTCTTACTATGACGAATGGCCGATAGAGCACCAGCAGTGTCCATAAGCTTCATAACCGAACCTCCAGTGGAAAACTTGGACGAGTAACAATCAGATGGAAGTATAGAGTGTATCAAAGTAGATTGAGATCTCTTGACAGTATATTTTTCAGTACTATCAGCTACTATTCCACTACCATTCCAATCATTGACCAAAGGCTGACCTGATTCGTACAACTTATATAGTTCCTTACTAGCTTGACGATCTCTTTTCTGAAACTCAAACCTCTTTCGACCGTCTTCTTCGTCTTGAGGATCCTTATAAGTAAGGGGTGGAACGGTACTAACCGCATATTCAGTAGAAGCGACAGCTTTCACCGCTACATACCATAAAATTCCCCGATTTGTAAATCGCTGGTCATTTTTTAAAATATTCTCTGCATAAACATTAATCTTGACCTCGATCGATTGCTGTGAAACATAGGTAATTTCTGCAGTTACATGAGCAACTTCACTAATGAACATTGGCTTCAAAAAATCCATCTGTTCAACTCGGGCTAGTACAGCTACTCTTGGTGAGCAAGAATTGTTATAATTACCAGCATTACAGTGCCTTGTTGCTACTATATGGCCTGCTTCTTCCATTAACTTTAGTACCTCTCCACCATGTACATTTCCTAGACCGTTGGCATCATCCGGCATCATCATACGGCTCAATACGTACGCAACTTCAGCCATATCCACTAAATCTTTCCAAGATAATATTTAATATTTCAATGAACAATAAATAATAGTCTTATACGATAATTACGGAATATATTACTGTTAATTTAATGATAAATAAACATCGAGTTCGAGCTTTCTGATTCAAAATCGAAAAGCTCCGACAGCTTGAGTAGCACCCTATGGTGGAGAATAGAGACCCTTTAGATTGTCCACGTCGACAAGATAGTACGAGCGTCTGTCCGCCTGATTACCTATCATTTTGCAATTATGCTTTACATTCCAGTCAAAATAAGTGTCTATTACCAAATGACACCTAGCGATATACCGCTGAGTATGAGGCATTCTTGCTTTCATGATAGCAAATTGGAGCGAAATGTTGATGTTTACATATTTTTTCCAATATTTTCATAATTAGCTATTCTAGACTAGATTAGAATACATGAACGTACTATTTGACACTGCTCTTATTGTAGCATGCAAAAAAAATGGCGATTTTATTTATCGTAGTATAGCGTATATTGACGCCAAAGTATTGCTATTAGTTCTGGGCTATCGTCCATTTATGGCCAACACCATTTACATATTACGAAACATCGGACGATAGAGCACTGAGTATTAGACGCTTTAAATTTACATTTTATGACGTCAGCCTCTTAGGGAAATGTTAGCCATGCATCTATATCCCAATATTTTAATAATGGATAATTTTAGGACAGACTGGAGTACTTAGACACTACTGAACATTATTTTTTATTGCAATATCTTATAATTGGAGATTATCCGCTTTCTAATATAAAGTACTGTATTCCGCTCCTAAAGTCTTGTTAATGGCCTGAAAACGACAAAAATGATGGTTTAAATGATAACCCATCCAGTCACAAGAGTATGGCGTTAATGGACTCCTCATCGAAAGAGTAGAATCGCTTATATAGGTTCAAAGAGGAGACTAATGTTAAATAACATTACTGTTTACAGACTCCACAATCTGATCTAAAAGGATAGACGATTATTAAAATATAAGTTGAATATCAAAAATATCTTCCTGTATTGAAAGCTATATCATTAGGTATCGTTTGATAACGTACAGTCACTCTAACCCACTTCTGCAGACATTACACTCTCAGTAGTGCAAAGCTCTTTCCAAGCGACGGACAGACGGGTTGACCAAAATTACCATGACAACCAAACGCTATCGAGCAGAGACAGTTACAACATACAGAGCTATGCTAAAGCATACAAATTGTTGTACAACTTCACTAACGAGTCGTTAGAGCTTATTATGCTATATTAAAATTGTTAGTAAAAAGTGGATTGTACTTTTAAAAACTGCTTTAAATTTCGATCAGGTTAATCTAACAAGTATACTACTGTGCTATCAAGTTTCATCATCCAATCAACTGGTATCCTGTAAGAATATAAACTAAAAAGAGAAGAAAGATGGACGCTCCAAGAAGCCCTATCGAAGAGAAGGAGTTCGAAGGACCATCCGTAGATTCCGCTGATTTACAAGAAAGAATTGCCGCTCGCCGATTACGCATTAAAGCCAGAGTAGAAGCTGCCAAAAGGTTACTTATAATATGTAAAGTTATATTAGTATAAAATAAAATATAAATGACGCATCGTAGTTTAGCGTATCATTCCTGTATAAGTAATCAATAATCCTCTATGATACAAGTAGATATCAATAGACAGCACTAAGCTAAACAAAATTTTTAATGCACGAGATCACTATAGATAAATTGCAAGTTGACTAAAAATACCAAAATACTTTACACTATTACATGGTGACGTATACCTAATCATTCGTTATTTAGAGAAGCTGCAGAGGATGATAGCAAAAAGAAAAAGTCCCTCGATTCCAGTAAAGAGCAAACAGTTAGCAGAAAGCAAGTTGAGCAGAGTCGCCTGGTACAACCGTAGATTCAACTACTTGAGATTTACCTTTTGGATTATACGCAAAATTGCCTAACGTTAAACATTACATTTTTATGATATAGAGATTGGCCAAGCTTATTTCTGATGGATCCGAGTTAGTATCCAATGTTAAAATTGCGGCCGATTCCCGAACAATGACTCATGTTAATGAAGAAGATAATAAAATTAGAGCAAAGTATACCAATATTTTTGATGTATAGTAGTGCTTATTACATTGTTTATGAAAATACTTACGTATTAAACTGTTGTCATTTGACAGGAGAGAAAAGCTAGAAGCTGAAGCAAAATCAGCATCCGAAAGATTTGAAGAGGTATTTAGTACATAAAACGAATGATATTAGTTATAAATGTTGAATTAAAATTTACAAGAGTTTTATATTGGACTTTGGCAGATTAATGGAATGTGGGAAGTAGCTTTAGCTAAAAAAATTCCTCAGGAGCTTAATATCGTAAGCATCATACTTTTATGATGTTTATCTCTACATTTTAATACATAATTTTCCTTAGAAGTAATAAAAGCTATCATTTTATTAAAATCTAAAGATGTTGGAAGAACAAAGATCAGCTTGCGATGCCATGGTTGAAGAAAAAGATAAACTGATAAGCGAATTTCAACAGGTTAAGCTTTGAACATGCCCAATACCGTATAAGGATTATTTCTATCTCTACAATTGCAATATACTGTATTTTGCCTGATATTAAAGTGATTACTTTTGTTATTTGCGATGAAAACGTATCAGGAACTGAAGGTAAAGGATGACCTATATATTAAAGATCTACGTAAGCAGGTATCGTATTACTTAATATGTCATTCATGTTTTAGGTTAATAATTCAATTTACATTTCTTAATCTAAAACACTCAATAACAATTTTTCAGGCCGAAGATATTGATTTAATGATTACCAGAATGGAGGAACAGATTAAAAACCTTACAAAAGCATACGGCGAAGAGTTGTTACAAATTGAGGTATAAATTATTTCTTTAAATTACGTGGTCTATTATGTATAAACTTAACTCCATTAGTTACAACGGTAAACACCCGTAGATCTGACTACTATAGTTTAAAAAATCTAACCTCACTTATCACTCTTACACAGAAATCATTTGTAGCAGAAAGGGGAGATATAATGAATGCTCACACCAAGAACTGGGAGCAGCTAATGACTCAGCGTCGTGACAAAGAAGTAATTAACAGACGTATAACTTTCTCATATTTTTAAAATACGCATAGTCTCCTTATACATTTACAAATTTTTTGAAACTTAAATATCTGCTAGGTGGAATATATGAAAGCGAGAGAAAAGCGTGTTGAAGACTACGAGCAACAATTGCAGCACTTACGTGTAGAAGATGCTGAAGAATATAATATGGTCAAAATAAAGTTAGAAACAGATGTTCAAGTGCTAGAACAACAGCTTCAGGCTATGCGCGCAACATATCAACTAAATCAAGAAAAGTTGGAATATAACTTTCAGGTTTAAACATTTTACATTATTGATGAATAGACATCAAAGTAAAATCTAGGAAATATTTCATTCATAAATCGATTATTCTATATTATTCTATACTCGTTCGCAATAGGTCTTGAAAAAAAGGGACGAAGAGAATACAGTCACTAAGTCTCAACAAAAGCGAAAGATTACCAGGTTAGAATAGCTATTGGAGTTCAATTGGTGTAGCGGATTGTTGAAATATGTCACAGTATATCATGCAAGATCATTATAGCTAATATACAAGAGAATCTAGCCAAAAATGCTTACTTTTGTGGTTTATATTACAATTTGCGTACTTTACTGCTGTAAAGAATCTATTATAAGCTATATTTAGCAAAAATATCGGTTTCTATTTAACTTATATTCTTATTACCCCAATTAGATTACAAGATGTTCTTAATAATTTAAGAATTAAGCAAAGTAAACAGGAAAAATCCTTCAGGTAATAATGGACTTAATAATAGTTGACTACGTTCAGTTTGAAGTATAGTAAATAGATAATTTTAAATTTCCATCACAATTTTAAATTGATTCATATTGCGGTGTGCTTATTGCTATATTATTCCTTTATTTCATTTTAGGGAAGAAAATGCACAACTGACCGAAGATTATAAGCGATTAACTGAACAATTCAGGGAATTACAAAGAAAATCTAGGTATACCTGTTCCTTTTTGTTACTGCCAATCGTAGTAGATATAGTAACTAGTAAATCTAATTACTTTAAAAGCCTATTTCTAGCTCAATCTTCAAAACTACCTCTATTAACTATTTTAATGACCGTACACCAAATTGTAATATAGATTTCTAGTAATTATCCGTTTGGTTGTCTTAAAAATTTATGAGTATCTAGTAAATAAGCTTTCTATCGACAACACTAATTAAATATTAACATTTGTAATATATCAGACATTTCCAAGCAATTGATGCTAAAAAATTTCGTGAAGTATGGATGATGAATGAAGAGAAAGCAAAAGATCTTGTCAAACAAGTCCTAGACATTGATCATGCGATAACTGAACAACAACTTGGATCGGAGTGGATGCATCCTAAAGTGTAAATTACATACTATATTATAAAAATAAGATTCAATGCTCATATCAGTCATATGAATAAACGATCGTGTTCTCATATTTACTAAAGAAAATTCAATTCTTTTCATTCATATAAAATTTTAGAGATTTTGCAATACGAGGGCCCGTTGATACAGAAGAAGAATATCAGGGTGTTTCTGCAGCTGAATTTCTAGCTAAGGCTATAGCTGCTGAAAACAGCGATGGTAGTTTATAAATCTTCTGTATAATTTTTCGTCACTAATAATATAGACCTATAACTACTTATATAGAGAGAGAGTGGTACATTAAATTTATTCATAAATTGGTAATTACGGTACGATAGTTTAGATAAAAAAGCATTTATAATTATGTTTTACCCTATTGTAGGTCGTAGTACAGCACAAACAGAACAAAATATCGATGACAAAGAAGTAGATATCACAAGCGAAGGTAAACACAGCACTCATTCGGGCACACAAACCAATGCTCCTAAGAGGTTATCCGTTAAAACAATCAAGAGAATTTTGGAAGTATTATGCGATGAAGCTGTAAGTCTAATGTTGTTGTAGAAATCCACTTTCATACGCTTATACAATTAAAATTTCGAACCTTTCAACTGCAAATTCTAATTTTATTCACCTGATAATATCGTAATAGGGATTCCTCGTGGAATCTAAACTAAAGAAGCTTTTAGCGCCATTAGACAAGGATGAACGATCACTGATGCAGTTGGACGCGATATTTAACGTGAGAAAAATAAATTTACGCATGGCTAATATTAAATCTATTGCATCGACGATTACAAACTTAAGTCAAAAGAGTAACAGAATCTATTCAGAGTTTCATTTATTTCTTTGTATTAATTTAGGCTCTGGGAATCGATAGCGAAAATGATATTCGAAAACTAGCTGATTTTTTCATACTCGAATCTGGAGATCAGCTGACAACTGAAAACGTAAATCGAGAAAGTCCCGATGAGGAATCAGAACCGCGTGATCAGGAAAATGAAACAGCGCAATCAGATGTAAGACTAATGTACAAATCATAAACCAATGAATTCTTTCCTTATAAAGCAGAATAAAATTTTTAAAGGAATTGATATTTACCAGATTTATGACAATAAAACCTTATCCTTTAGCTAGCGGACAGCATAATGAACGTTCTGTTTTTACCAAAGCCGCATCTTTATTTTAATCATTTATCAATTCCTATTTTCGCATCAGTTATCTTATTAGCCTATAATCCAATTAGGATTATCTTCTCATAAATTCTATTAAGTAGATAATTAGGCGGTAATATCTATCATTAGTAACATGAAATCTCCACTTCCTACGTTAATTTAACGTACTGTATGCTGCTATTTAATATCCAATTTCTAACTATATCTCGGCTTATTTTAATTTTTTATAGACTAATGAAGATCACAGCGGAGAACTTGATAAACGAAAGCAATCTGAAATTAAATTAATCCATCCAAACGAAGTCATCAAAATATTACGCACATTCATGGAGGAAAGGCGTAAACCCATGAAGTAAGAGTTCTAGTAACTGATTAAAAGAATATCGATATTGAATATCTAACTATGCAGTACTGTAGTATATTTACAAATATTGAAAGAGTTGTCGCTATTAATGCTATCTTTCGTTTAGGGATCAATTAAAAAGACATTTATTCAAGCTCGGCACAATGCCTGTTCGAGATGCTAGGTAAATTAGATAATCATTGCATTCATGAAAATACTTCTCAGAGATATATGTTGCATTATGTACAATATTATTACTTTTTATAGCAAAGATGAGGAATTTTGGAATTATTTAGCCCGTATTATACCTCGCGAAAGAGAATTGCAGTGGAATGCATTACAATCTGGCTTAGAAAAATACTGGTAAATGCAGTAATTATACTGTTATATCGAAAGCTTATGCCTGCTTTATGTTTGGTTAATTGCGATAGCACGCTTATTATAATAATTAGCAATGAGGCTTCTAAATAATAGTAAAAATCTCATTTTTTGATATTTTACAGCGAAGTACTAAAGTCTCGTGAAACATTATTAAATGATGTTGATTCACTTCAAGTCCAGGTTAGTATCAGGATTAATTAGAATTGATTATAATTCGTTTTTTAATTATTAATTAATTGATATTTCCACAATGGCTCATTAGAACGGTGAATTAAAAGGACTATTGCAGCAATACATGTCATCTAAGGTACAAAGTGCTTTATTCGATGATAATCTGAAGAAAATTAAACTTGTGCTACCGTTTTCATTGATATAGTAGGATATAAATTACCTACTAATTAGTTATCAATTCATCTTCCATATAGGTTAATCAAGAACTAGAGATTCCTCCAACCAGAGTAATGCAAATTGATATGGCGGGAGAGTTAGCTTCTTAAAATATTACGCAATGAAAAATGAAAATATTTTTATTAACTTTTAATTTATGCTTCGATAGTTGTTTTCAGTCGATTTCAGTCTGTATATAATTGCTATGATGCACCTTCATCACTTAGAAGCAATGTTTCTGTTTCATATACATGTATATGCGCACATAGAATGTCTTATAACAATCATTCAAACATAGCCATTGAAACTACAGCTTTGGGGAAATAGCAGTCATGATCAGAATTGCCATTCAGTAATATCGCCATTACTGATAGATATATTAAACAAGTAGACTATTACCTTTATGATAATATCTAGATTGAAGTAAAGAAAAGTTTATTAATTAATTCTCAAGTGGTAAGCAACTGTAATTACTCTCTGTAAAAATTTGAAAAAAACCTCGACTATTACTATTTAATTATAAACAATCGTAATAAAGATAGGAGATCTTACCCCTAGTTAGCAAATTGAAATAATAGAAGAATAAGTTATATATTACAGCAACATATTCACATAATATATCTATTATAAGGCGCTATTGTTGCAACCCCTGGTGGAATTTAACTTGCTTAAATAAATAATATTCTAATGCAATGACATGATCAAAGCTACGTGTAACTAAATTATTGCCATATCGCAGACAGGTGCTACCAATTGAAGACCAACCCAAGTAGTAATACCTTACTCTTTATACTGTATGGCCGTACTATTCTCAATTATGATCATTACACAAGCTATTATAACAACTATTAAACTCTTTTAATTAGTAAATTATAATTGAATATAGACAATATCTAGATTAAATTGGCAGAATTATTGGTGATTCTATGATTGTGTTCCTTAGATAATTAATCCTAAGAGGCTTAATTTTCGCCTTCGTGTCGTCATTGCTACAGGCGTGCGAATATCACTAGTTGTATGGCAACCTAATATGTAGTAAGTATTATAACTACAGAAATAGATCAGATATCATAGTGAAATATGGATAGTAGACGTTAAACCACTAGATAATTTACATACATGCACAAACATCCTGAAAAATATCAGGAAATATAATCATTTTCTTAAAGTTCATTTCTGATAGGATGCTCAAAATACGTTAGCTATCGTAAAATTGAAGTATTAAACACATTAAAAATTGTGTTAAAGCTTGTATATAGTCAACAAACTAAGTTGGATGAATACCCTTATGAGGATTATGATACTGCTAATCAATCGTATACTGTATACTATCCCTCATGTAGACAGTATATTATACATAATTAATTTAACGAGCTAGTAAAGATCCTTCAACTTAAAGGGTCTTGCATGCCATGTTCCATATTTCAGTTTCAGTACTAAAGTATTCTACTGTACAGTAAATTATACGAGTCGATCTAACATTTAAGCTTCGTTTGCTTTATCACTAATAGAAGCCTGACGTAATTGCAATAATGTAAGCTCTAACGTCCTGCCAAATTTATTTGTAAATACTCAGTACACCTTGATAGTATTATTCATATGAAATACATTGTATATATTGAGGCTAAATACTCATTCATATAGCTGACAATTGTCATCTCTATTTTTCGATAAAATCTGTAGAAGTTATAAACAATTAAACAGGTTAACGTACAGAAACCTTTAATTGACATTTATTTCTTCAGTAATTAAGCTTATTTAGTCTTGACTGTATAGTTGATGAATTAGTCGAGTAAATTTCACTGCATAGAAACAATAATAGAGTTGACTTTATATACTTTATGCAACAAACTATTAGATGAGCACAAATGTTACAGTTTTACAAATCAGTATGTAAAATATCCCGTAAGCTACTGCAATAACTACACAAAATACATATATATATATGTAAGCTTATTTAATGCTTAGATTCGTGAATCGGAAACATTTAAAGCCAAGAAAATTTTCAGTTAGATTATACAAGTACGTATTCATTATCCGATTAAAAATGATGTATGGTTTATAATTATATTAGTACAATGACGCAGTAAAATAAGCTGTTAGAAAATATTGATTCATGAGTTAAGTTGCAAAAAGCAATTTGTTGTCTGGACCTCTATTTTATAGCGTATTTATTGTTAAATGGAGAAGAGATACTGGATATTTCATATCTGTATATACTAAGTATTGAAAAATGTATAAAGGAACCGCGAAAAATGAGTCCTTAAATTATGGTTGATGTACACACGTGTTTTTAACGCACAAAAATATTATTCATGCTGCGGTATAGTGCTTCGAATATAGTGTATCTATACTGCCGTACTATTAGTTGTTCCTGCTGAGGATGGTGGCCCAAAATAAGAAACAACAGCAGATCTCAACTGCATTTGCGATGTTGCAGATATTCTTGTTTTTAATTCGTTTAATTTCGATCTTTCAAAATCGTCGATGACTTTCTGGCCTTCAATCTGTTGGCGCTTAGCTCGACGAAGGTTGTATTCTCGTCTCATTTCATCCCTGGGTAATAGTATCAAATTGTAAAATAGAATGCTCCTTTATGATACTGACTATTATGATGGGATTCTATTAGCTTTGAAGCGACTACGCTATTGCTTTTTTAGTAAGTAAACAACAATTTGCCTGTTAACCTTTAATGATAATGTCGATAGAAATGGTTTTAATTGAATATTAACAATCCAAGATGAGACCGTTATACCCCATAAGTTATCATTACCGAATAGCTACGCTAGCCCATTCACAAAGCCATTTTGGATACTATTCTATCTTATTTTAGTAAGTACCGTAATAAACTAGCAGTAATATTTTGAACAGCTCAGCAGTAATAAAAAAATCAGGTTGCGATTTATTAGTTGACTGTAGAAAATAGACAACATGATACCAAAGTAAATTAAGATGTTGCTAAACTAGCACTAATATTTAACTATTCATCAAAACTTAGAGATTGTATTAATTTTCTTTAAATTATTATACGCGAATTAATACAAATTTAGATATAATTATTATCTATTCACATTTAAATTTATGAACCAATGATCATCATTAAATAATATCGAAAAATTCTCTTTAATGTTTATACGCTCTAACAATCATCAAATAACAAAAACCAGGCGGCAGACGCCCACAAGACCATGCATCTGTAAGCTGTCCTATATCAGCTTATCTTAGTGTAGGTACCTAATGGTACTTTCGAATGAATTATCTATTACGGTACCTTATCTTCGGTAGATCCTTATAATCGACATATTGTCCGCGACCACGAACACTGATTGTCGCTGGCTGTATTTTAGGAAACTGAATAATATTACTACCGCCATTAGACCTCGATTCTTTATCATCAACTAGATTAACTCTGTCGGCTTTCTTACGCCTAACAATATCAATTAATAGATAACTTATTGCGTCAAAATACTAATCTTAGCCAAGTAAACTAAGATAGCTTATCTATAAGATTATTAATTATTGTCTTACGGTGATTTGCGGCGTTTATATTGTGGATGAACGGTGCGAACAACAGATTCAAATTTCCTGAGTATTATTTTTTATGATTAGTCAACATTGTCAATGACTTAAATAGCGATTCTTAAAGTTATATTAAGATTTTCAAATTTCATAACACTTTTTGAGGCAGCATATAATCTAATCGTTTAAGCCTTGTTTGATACTATGATTTAAATAACTTACATATCCATATTCAATGATATTCTTGGTTCTGTGGAATATGGGATAAAATATCAGTCAATTAGGAAATAAGTTTTTAATGAAATTAAATCTATTTTTAATCAGCTTAGTCATAAAATTGAAATCTTTGCAAAAGAATGAATCAAGTTTAAGGAATTAATCAAATAGCGAAATTTATTTGATAATAAGTCTATCTTCTCTTTAAACTTACCAACTAAGCCAACCGCTGTGGGACGTTGACCATGACCAGCTAACTCGAATGGTTCAGGCTAGATCAAAACGTTAGCGTACAGTAAGCACTTAATTTATTCACCGTTTTTCAAATAATTAATTTATAAACTATTTTTTGACAATTTCATTATATGAATTAATTTGTGATCTAATTCAAATTCTGCAGTAGCAAGCAATAACATCTATGAATATTCTCTATTTTAAAATTAATTTTAATTGTGCTCTAAAAAATACAACTTACATGTTTAAACAGAAACCATGTTGTATCAGTACTATAGTAAGGTTTCAAATTGTTATAAATATTGGGTGTAAAAGGTTTCCTATTTTTCGGTGTAAAGAAGTCATTGGAGTTTGATTATGTTAGTGAGGAACCAATCAAACAGTGACTTTATCCTACTCTTCTTATAGACGACTTACGAATCGGTCTTGGGTCTTTCTTTAGCCATTTTTTTCAACGATTTGGTTAGGCTGATTAATTCTTTAGTCATAGCTCGTGTACTTCGAGAATGATAATCATCCCTAGAGATAATTTGCTGTTTAAGTGGTTTACTTTCTTTTTTACCTGAAATTAGATTAAGAGAAAGAAATTACTTGCGATATTAAAATAAATGATTATTATAATATGTTATATTGTCCTGCTTTCCTTTCTATAAATCTTAATTAACGTCATCATTTCATTTTTTACTTAAGTTTTATCTTAAAATAGATGTTACATATTTTCATCATCATTCTTCTATCATGAGTTAATCAGATAAAGGTAATTATGATTTATTTGAATTAATTATTATAGTAGGCAGTAGTTTGGTAGATGTATGATGATTAAATCGCTTATTTACGATCAATTTCATAAGTCAAAAATTTATTATTTCTAACGACAGTCCATGAATTAATACTTTGTGAAAAACATCAAGTTGGGATACTGAATTTAGTAACTTAGGACGTCTGGCAATACTAGCAATTTAGAATGACAGCTTACATAAATTATCAATTATATTATTTATGATGGCGGTATTATTTATCGTTATTTATGAATAATCACTTTTTATCAAAGTTTTTACCAGATTTTTTATTCTGTGGCTTTGCTTGTTTTTCTTGATTATCATCACCATCAACATTTGTTACAGGCACTTCTTCGTCATTGCTGGTGCTTTCCACAACACTATTAGCCTATAATAAGTTCACAGTGTCTTAGTAACATTATCATATTGCTCAGAGGGTTATATTATACTTATGTCTTGCTTAAATTGCTCTCATCTTGAACAGGCTCATAACATTGACTCTTTCTAATGATAATACTTTAGCTTTCAAAGAACGATCCTATTTGCACAGTTTGATGGAAGACTATCTGAATTGAAATGTCAATACTACCTATACTGCACGTATTGTACAATATTTTATAGTATGCAACGGAATGATATGCAGATATATGTTAATGGCAATGAAATTTTTACTTGTTAACAGTTAAGTGGCTTATTAATATTAAGAGATACTATAGATGCCATCATATACGTTACGGGGTACGATATATCTCTTTTGGAAAGCTGTCATATTTTAATAGCATTATACACATTCTATCAATATAACTGTCAACAAGGTATTGCTTCTACATAATTTTGGAGAAGGATCGGGTATTATTAATCATAAGTTAACGCCTAAAAATCTGCTAATAAATAATACTAATAACTAAAAATACAAGTAATTTGCTAAAAACCCCATTTTCGAGTTGAATAGATGTTACTTATTCATCTAATGTCGTTGCTGAACCAAATTGGTTAGCTATTGCAAAGGTGAAGTGGCAATTATCTCTTGGAGTTAAAATAATGGCTTATACTCTGGGCAAACAATGTTCAAATCATTAATCATTAATGCTAGATGATCCATAGTATGTTTAATATCTAATGACTTTATAAATTTCGACTATATTCAGGAAACTAATCGACAAGTTTTAAAATATTGTAGAGGTAGAGCTTCAATGATTTAACCTTATGAAATAGCGTTACTTAGTATGGCCATAAAACATGCTAATGGTAAGGAATATTGGTTAGTAACGATTTAACAACTTTACCAAGAAGACAGTAATGTTATCAGTATCACTAATTAGTAATCATTTGATTTTAATTACGGAATTTCATTTTTAGTGTATAAAGATTGTGACTAGCGAGACATAATTCGATCATTACTCAAATATTAAATAAAAATTAGCGAATGCTATTTCACCCTTTCATGTTTTTCACTTCGTGAGTAACATAAGAAAGACATAGTGATAACTTATATCAAACACTTTTAATTTAGATATTAATTTTGATTTGATTTTAGGTATATATTTACTATGCTATGTTATAAGTAACAATTAACGAACCTCTTCTTCTTCGCTTGACATGATTGCTTTACAGATCTTCTTTTAATAGAAACTTAACTATGTTAATTGGAATGAAGGTATCGAATACTAACAAGAAGAGAGACTCGATGAAACAAATAATTATGGAGTAAAACCGGCCACTGGTCGAGATTGACTCCAATAGTACGAAAGTATCAATCTTCTGCCAATAAAATACAACAATATCCAGGCGATTTTTCAATAAATATGGTGTACCATACACTCCAATATATAGAGAGAGAGGAGTATTATGCCCACTATGCGATGCAGAAATCGATTAGTACGGCAAAGATTGGTAACTTCTGGTAGATATGGGTTGAATCATTTGTATGCTAATGGACACAAAATGATAGCGTTGATGGTTTCCGCTTAGCTACAGGTTGTTTCTTATCCTGTATGTATTAGTCAGCACTCGTGTTTTAAGCTCTGATTAACTACAGTAGTATCCTATTCTTGCTAATATAATAGCTGATATCATGCTACGCAACTCTGTATGATGTACTAAGCACAACGATTATCTTAGTCATTTTTCGTTCTCAATTGCTATATACTTTTGACAACCACTAATTTGCAGGAGGCTCTACCAAATAGATGTAAACGCTGTTGTCAAGCTAATCCTTAGCAACAACTTAATTAATATTCAAGGAGGTATGAATACATCAATAGGCTTTAAATTGTATTAACACTCGCCGCATAATGATGTCATAAATGCCATTGAAGAAGCAAATAAACATCTTAAAACAATAGCTTTAGTCTATAAACTTTGGGATTCTTATTGATGCTATTATAAAGTATATACGCTTATAGTATCTACTGTATAGTAGGAATTGACTATAGATAGGATAAAAGAATTGGAATTAGCTTTTAAGGCGGCGAAAATGGTCATAGAAAAACAAAATTGGAACTATTCGTTATTAATTATTCGCTAAAAGTTAAAATTCAATTTATCTCATGACCGGTAGTATGGGAATCAATATTAATATAACTAGAGGATTGATTTAATTCATGGGTAGCTGACGAAATTTAATGTGATTGTCAGTCGTAAAACTATACAGGATGATCCTATTTCGAATCTGCTTCAATTTATGGATCATAGAACAACAACTATTATAAATTGCTGGCGATGATTAGCCTTGGACTGGCTATAAATAAGAACAATCTTAATTTGATAGTCTTACAGTAATGCAGCAATAATAACGTCAGTACAATCGCAGGATAGACTCAGCTCACGAGTCCATTATGAAATTTAAATCATCATAAATATTATGTCCAATCTTGCTATGTATATATCAATCACAACTGCATAATAAAATAAAAATTAACCAAGACAAGGGTGGTAATTGGTTTTAAATTTTATACTACATTAAAATTTTTATCATAATCTATCCAAATTAGATAATATCCGTAATAAAGTAACATAAATCGATTGTCTATCTAGTTCGTCTAAATCAATGATATCGTTTAATTTGGGATTATATACGAATAAAACCGTTTAAATATATTACAATTCACTTAGGCTGTCGTGTCGTCAAATCTACGAGTATTACGATCTAAATTATTTTTATCCTTTACTTGATTAGCGGATAAATGTAGCGGTAAAGCAGTAGTAAATTAAGAAATGTATTTTTGTAGTGAATTGCATTTGCATATATGTGCATATATAGTGAATTGTGTTATTGAATTTAATTCATTTGTAATTAATAATTACATAGATGTGAAATGCATGTATTGCAAGAATGATGATAGCGCTATTTCGTAAAATCTCTAAACTGTTCTGTATGAGAATCATACGAGACTAGAATCGCCAAAACCTTTCCTGTATTGTATGTTACATCAAAATATGTATATAGATCTAGAAAAGTTTTATGTCCATGTGTGTGTGTGTGCGCAAGGATTATACTCTATCTCCTCAAGCTTTCCGAGTTCCTATACCTGTGAGTACGCGCATAGGAATAGGCTATAGCGCGATTCAGTAGTGAACCACCAGAAGAAGATTTTCTTCTAGTAGTCCATACGCTTACAGTTCGAAACGGCTGCTACTTTCCTATATACGAGTATTGATATATGACTAGAGAATTTCTAAACTGTTCTATGTGAGTTTTAAGCTATTTCACAGAACCGTACGAGACTAAAGTCATACGGTATGCAATTATAATAATATTATTCTAGGTTTGAAACTGTAGGGTTTTTCTAGAAAAAGAAGCTTGATTGCGCTGAGTAAATCAGGCGCAGGCAACAAATGAGCCGCTGGGTTGGTTTTGTCACAGACTGCCGGAAGTCCGTAGTTTTTGACAGTAGAGTACAGTACAGTATGGTGAAATGTACTGTACACTGTACAGTAAAGTAAAAAAGTACTGTGCGGTCGTCCGGTCGCGCATGCGCTATAGTATTCTTACTGTACTGTACACTGTACAGTGTACAGTACTGTGATTTTCGATGACTGTGGCGGACAGTACACTGTACTGTACAGTACTGTAGTTTGTTGGACTGACTACTGTACTGTACACTGTACAGTACATCGAACCGCTATGCAACACTTACAGTACTGTACAGTACAGTACAGTACAGTAAAGTAAAAAAGTACTGTGCGGTCGTCCAGTAACGCGTGCGCTGTAGCATTCTTACTGTACAGTACTTTGATTTTCGATGACTGTGGCGGACAGTATTGTAGTTTGTTGGACTGACTACAGCACTGTACAGTACAGTACATCGAACCGCTATCCAACACTTACTGTAGTGCAGTATGTACTGTACTATGCTTTAACCCAGAAAGGATTTCCCTGAACTTTGAGCCGGTGAGGTCTGGATGAGTTTTGTTTCGATTTTGTGGGCTAAAAGTGACTTATGTCTACTTTTAATTGACTGTCCCTGCCTCTATTGCTATAATTAATTGGACTTGGGCCGCTGCAAGTTCATTGGATAACACATAAAGTAGTAGACTGGCCTACTATCCACTTGTATTTACAAATTGATTTAGGCAAATTCCTATTTTTAACTCTCCTACGTGTAATATTCGATCATGACCGTATGTAAGTATTACATGCGAGGCTTTTGCCGCTTTGGTAATAATTGCAAATTCGAGCATCCAGGTGGGTAGGAATAGCCAAAAGATGTAGGACTATGAAGAATAAGTTAGGATAGGATTTAGATTTAATAAAAGAATACAAATCGTTTTCATCATAAGATTTCGTTGGGTTTATTCATCATTAATCGTTAAAATTGGCTAACTTTGCTGCAAGGGTTAGATATAGCTAATCAATATCGACGTACTCTACTTTTCATCACTAGGTATGCAGTACATCACTACTTAAAAGACTGATGGTAGAATAGTGCAAAGATAAATAATTAATTGATAGCATCAGATAGCTACTAGTTGGCGTGGTATAGAAGGTGCTATACGATGCCTTTTCTGGCTGTACATCGATTGGTACTGCTTGAATGTGGCAGTCTATGCTAGTAGATGATATACTCGCACTGTAGTAATAAATCCAAGCATTTACTTTAAAATGAAAACTAGTTTTATTCATTATGAATAGCTAGTCATTTAAAAATATTCAGTTAGTATTACAGGCAGCAGTAATCGCCCCGTAAACTGCTAGAAATACTTCCCATATTAGTATTTCTAGCTGGCATGACTATATTATGCATTGGCTATTGATGTAATTGCAATTTGAAATTCTTATACTACGACCCTTACATTTACTGAATGAATCAGAGTTAAACCCTATTAACGTTGGTATTTTGATGATTTCTAGAACTGTATAAATTGTTACTTTGGATGATAGTAAAAAAGTGCTATTTTCACGACATGTAATATCTTCCGCTGCATGCGTAATGAAATAATTTAGCAACAGTGAAAATGTTACTATGGTGCATAACTTGCAAGTTTTCCGATTTGATTAGAAATTGAGAGATGTACGCGTACACTAAAAACCTCAGAGGAACGATTAAAATACTATCGTTATTATCAAACATCTTGATAGTAGTGATGGCCGTCTCTAATCAGATGTTACTAAAGCATTTGTAGTATAAGCCTAAATAAATTAAACTATCAATGCTTCGAAAAATGCTGCTAAAGTATTGATGGATTTAACTACTGTAATGTAATGAAGATACGATATACAGTAGTATATGACGACATAAGAATTTCGTTTTACGATCGCCATATATTACTGTTCGACAGTTCGTCTAACCTTAGAAATTCTATAATTGTATCGTTATCATGTCTAGGCGGATATAGCAAAGGCACGCAACAGAAACCTAACGAGAACTATACATATAATAGAGTAAGCATAAAGAGCTGTAGCGTATGCGGATTAATTATGACTTAGTGTCTAATAGAAGGATATTGATATACAGTTATAAAAGTAATTTGTTTTTCTTCTTATTTTCTAGAATTATGACCATAGTAGAGACAATCAAAGGAACGATGCTGCGGGCAACTCACTTTTCACTAGGCAAAATGTATTGTAAGTGAAGATGTTAATGTACTTATTATTATGTATTATAACTAACAGTTTTGATATAGATGTGTTTTCATGGCATAGTTACTACAGCAAGTAGGATTATATCAGTTTTACTATTAGTCTACAACGTAAAAACTAAGTCAAATAGGAAACAGATTTACTTTCTGCTTCCATTATATCTAAATCCTTCAAAAGTAAGCGTTTATAAGAAATTATATTGTCGTGGCTATTGATTAATAGGCAAACAATCAGGAAAGATATAGACGAACAAAATCAATCTCTCGTCTGGCCTTTAAGTTGCTATGCATTTGTAGGAACTAAAGCCTGTTTAGCGGGTAATTTTTTACGTGTATATTAATTATTGAAACAAAAACACTCCTTTAAATGCACACTGATAAGTCTGATATTAGTGCCAAGTAGATGTTTCCTGGACGTGCTATTCTCAACTGGTACTAACAATTCTGATTGATTGAATAATTAATCTACTAGAATTCCCAGAATATTCAATGGAAGAGATACGATGGGAGGCTTATGTAGCCAATGCCAGTAACAACTTTGGCCAATATGTAAGATGTAGATAAAGGCGATATCATGCAAATAATAAACTTAGCGCTAGAACTCTTTTGATGGAAAGATAAACTCTCCTAGCAGTTGCTTAGAGATTCTAATAGTAAAATTGTTTGTGTATCCGCAGCAAACTGTACTAATGCATTTAATGAATCAAGTAAAAGAGAAGAGACAATATTTGCATAATATTCCCAAAAATGACCAAGACGGAGTTGTAAGATTATCTGCAATACCTTTAAAATTATTTGTGTTCATCTAATATCTCGTATGAAGGGATATCAGATTTATTTTAGTGAATTACGTTTCAGGTTAAGCTGGCTGGATCTAGTAAATTTAACGAAAGCGATAGTAACTCTAGATTTGATAATAATAACCAACGCAGTTTGGGGGGATTCCCTACTACAGGTGAATTACTTCATTTTTATTGATCTTACAATATTATACCTTAGTAGCCAGTTTTGACGAAGTAGTTATATCGGTTCCCTAATTAATTTAGGTGTTAAAAATTTACTTCAGAATCCCTTTGAAAAGAAATCAGAAAATCCATTTAATCAGGTCATACGTCATACTGATATTAAAATAGTCAAGTTTTTATGGATACTTCATTTGTTTACTACTATGCTTTTAAAATCTTAAAATTTGAAATTATTGTACAATCGTAATAGACGACGCCAAATTTAGGTGGGTTTGGTCAACAGCAGCAACAGTCCATGTTTTCTTCAAATATTTCACAGAACAATCCTTTCAATCCTGTTAATACTTTGCAACAAACGCCAGTCAATAATATACAACCTTCCATGTCAAGTAATAACACGCAACAAGGCATGGGATCCTTTCTTCAACAAGATCGCTCATTTTTTAATCAAAAACCAGAATCGACGATGAGCCCAACACAACAACCATCAAATTTTACCCATTCACCACAATCACTCCAGCCTACAGTTGGTAATAACCAAACGAGTATACAATCAAGTTTTGAGCTCACTGAAGAAGATACTAAACAATACTTAGCTAATAGCTTTACACTGTATTCCGTGCCAGAGGTCCCGCCGCTACCAAAGTACTGTTAAGAAGTTTTTTATTATCAGTATTGTAAGATACACATGTATACGTTCTAGCAATTAGAAACATTTAAAATATGCTACTGTGTTACTGAGAATCAAACTAAGATTGATGTTATTTTAATGTTTATATAGATTATTTTCTTTCATCAAATAATATATATGGTTTTTAGGAACAGATAAAAAAATTCATGCTGAAACGGCTATCGTTCCGCTACTGATATTAATCATATATCCGTTTCGATCTAAAGTTAGGTATCTTTAGTTATTGTGATAATACTAATACATCACAGTTAAAGTTAATATACATACACTATTACATAAAAAAGAGGTATTAGTTACAGAATCAATCGCCTAATTTATTGACAGAAAATATTGCAAGTAATAGCAGCTCAACTATTTGATGTACGCGCAAAATATGAGACGATTTCGGAGCTACATAACTATATTGTGCTCTTGCGTCAAAACTGTAGTTTTTGCTATTTCTACTAGTTGAATTTCAATCTTTAATGCTGTATCGACATTATTACTGTACTCGATTTTATATCAGGAGATTTTTGTCTGTTGATTTCATTATATTGATGTAAAGGAAAACTTTTATTCACTATTAAACCGAGAAAGCAATTGATTTAGAAATATCTTATAATAAAGTATGCAATTATACCGTTTAGAAAGCTGTAAAATGTCCGTCATATAACTATAGATCCCATGGATGAATTCTAACTTCTAGTTTAAAGCAAATCTAGAAAATTTATCGCCAGAATTAATTATACCGTATATTGGAGAATTTCTGAGCTGTGAACAGTTCTAGCACTTGAAAATCGTGCTGAACGAATACCCTTCATTATTATTATGGTAGTATACAGTACAGTACATCGGTCTCTATATATAAGTCTAAGATTATTTTGCTCAGGAAACGAGATTTTGATGAAAGATATAGTATAATGCAAAATATTTATACTCGCAAGTTCAATTTGCAATACTAGGTGTAAATTGTATTTCCTAATTGAGCGACGTTAGACACAATGTCATATAGATACAGCTAATACAGGGACACGTATGTTACTTACACCTACTGATGCACTGTAGGCGTTCTTTTGCGATTATTTTAGAAATTTACTACATGAAATATCTACAATATTGCAAAATTTCATTTTATTATGTTTGTTGGCTCCTTTATTCCTTATTTGGAAAAAAAAATATGCAATGTAAATGATACATTATTTTAAATTAATCACCATTGACAATAAAATTTGATAATAATTATGAAGACATATAAATAATTATAAACATTGCGCAATAGAAAATAGCATATTTACTGAAAGCAATTACGATTTTGCTGTCATCATTTACCTTTGTATAAAAGTCAGCTAGTTCTTTGAAAATATATAAACCTAATCACAAACGACGAAGTCTTTTTTTAACAATACTACTTCCTATCACTGCTTTATTTCCCTTCGGACGTGCTCTAGCCAATTTAGATTGAGGCATACTAGAGTATTGGCCAGGTGTTAGATTAGCTGTACAAGTATGTTGATCATGAAATTTCATATTTTTACTACATTTGTTACAAAATTCTAAATTACATTGAGAGCATCGACTATAATCGCCATACTCTAAAGATGGTGAACTGCATCCAGGGCAATGACGATAACTTTCTAGTGGCGATTTAACTTCTGGCTTGCGTTGAAATCTTTCGCTGCTAACAGTACAACTTTCCTTTAATGCCGAATATTGTATCTCACTTAAAGGCGTTCTTTCATTTCCAACTGGAGTTGTCATCAATGGTTGAGGTGTTTTGTATAATTTCATGCGAGCCAAAGAATTCTCTACACCAAGATTGTTATGGCGCCTATGACTAAGGTACAATCGTCGTTTCTTATTGCTTATATAATCTTGTAAGCATACCTGTCGCCAATCTCGATTCACAGTTGCAAATCTAGAATAGTCCAATATAACAGAAAAATTTTGTTAAAATTATTTCAAGTAGAAACTCCATATAAAGTTATCATGGTCGTTTTAATTTTTGAATTAATTCACAGTTAGAAGGTTTTTCATAACTTTTACTATAATGCTATACGATTGTAACTTTGACGATGAAAGCAGTCATGATTAGTCATGATTGACTAATTCGGATATCATCTTCTTTTACTGCATTGACCACACTATAAGGTAACTCCTTTTCCAACATTTTTATGCAAATGTGGCAATAATCTTAAGCCGTCACCATACGTAATAGTCTCTACATGTTATACTAAGATGCTTTCGTACTGTAGTTGATGACGATATCATTGAAAGGTAATTTTTTTTTCTAAATAAGGATGTACTGTCGAAATGAGCAACATAGTTCGTACGATACGTAAATAGTTACAACCATCGATTACTACTAAAATAGTCCTCGTGGTCATCCAAATACTCCATTACTTGCGGCGATACTCTTTCTACAATCTATAGTATTGGTATAGTTCAAAATACTTTAGGCACCGTTATTAAATATTATTATGAAACATTACACTATTTCTTCATATTCGTTCGATAACTATAATTAGAGGAGTGATCATCTATCTAAGGGCGCCTGTAGATCAACGATACAGCAATACGTAAAACGAGTTGTTTATGACAGCAATTTATAGTACAGTATATGAGCGCTTGCATGAATTATTCAATCAATATAGATACTACGACGTATACGAATATATTGATATCGTGGTACGCCGTATTATTTTCTGCTCAGCAAATATATCTTGTCAGCCTAGCATGAACTACTTGTACAGTATGGCATAATCAAGATGAATGTTTATTTGGAAGTATTTTTACTGTTCTAGCGATGTCAATGATATACTAAACACCTTTTTTGCAAGCCTAAGTGATATCTCACATATTTTAGCTGCAAGCGATCAACAAGTCGGAAATACGGCTATACGCAATGGTTATGCATGACAAATAAGAAAAAATTAATTAATTGTAAATTCTTGTCAATTTTTACCTAACTAGGTCCTTTTCATTCAAGAAAGCCATAATCTTGTTGCAAACGTAGAAGCAATTAATTTTAGCTAATTCAGTAATAAAGTCAATGGTTTCTTCGCCAATTCGACTTCCTATAAGCTTGCTATTTATAAGTTCTTGACTTTGACTGTTATATCCGCTGTCACGGAAAGACAAGCAACTACTTGCAATTTCCGATTCCACTAGTTTGCGCTTACTTGAATCATTTTTATGGAAACTGTCTTCAACATATGACGGTGTAAAGCATTCAGGTGTACTAGTACTATAATAATAATTTTTTTGCATCGAGTTAGCAGTATAAATGGGTGTAATAGCATCGACCAACTGGTGATGACTCTCTTCATCGATCACGTCATCATCTATGTCTTGACAGTGTTGCTGACGATCGATGCTTTCATTTGCATTGGAATATTTACTATGGCTATCGTCGATAGATTTCGAGGTCATCCTTACGTTAACTTAATATGCAATAGGTAATATACGTCCAATCTTCGATTAATAATATTAATAGTAATCCAATATTAAAATTTTTCAATACAATTTCTTTTCGTATTAATTCAGTTACATTGAAAATTTGATATCAGCTATTTAATACGATGATAATTTGCTACTTCAAGGGTCGTTCTGAAATAGGATAGCTTGAAAATAATTCATATACGTGTATTAATCGTTGAGGAAACTATCCCATAAGCGTTCATACATAAAGCCTGAGGAAGGGCTAATTTGGTCGCTCACCTAGTACGTTTACTCAATTTACAAACCTCTATACTTATATCCAGTAAGCCCTCTATCAAAGATAAATTATTCTTGTCTTCAACGCCTTCCTGCCAGTTAATTTGAGTATGATCTAGCCAAATTTTAGCATTCTAATCACGACTCTCTTCGATATATTTGCAAATCTCAACCAAACTTATACCCTCCAGCAGGCTCCTGCAATTGGTGGTTAGGTCTTGAATTTTTAATTTTTGCGCCAGATCAATTCAACCAATGACATGACACTTGAAGAGGTGCTTGTATAGCACTCCTATCACGTGATGTGATTGTATTAGATGGCGGGAAACAATAACAGGAATTGAGTCAGAAATAGGAGGTCACCGTGTAATGACTGCGCTTGCGTTTATTTGGCCATCATTGATTGGATTAATCTTCACGTGGTACTCAATTTGGCGCGAAGAGAAGAATGGATCGCTGGATGCTTGTTGATGCGAGATAGTTCGCTTCCAGACATCGCCTTATGTTGAATACTTCATACTCAATCAAGACTTTAGAGAACATGATACACTAGTCAAGGATTAGACTGTATCAAGTTCACTATCAGCACTTCTTGTTGTGCACCAAGGTGCCTATCGAATCGATCAAGTGACGTCGCAATCTTTTCCTTCATCTCCATACATCCACTTACAATCAAGAGTCATTTAATTAAAGGTCCGCATCCAGTCCACAAGGTGATCGCATTTCACATTTATCTCTAGCTTTACTTTGGGCTTTCCTTACCAGTTCTATAAGGTTAATTCTGCCATTCTGACAGCCAAAGTTGGTCATTATTGCATGGCAATAGGTGACTGCTATATCGAATTATATTAATACATTTGCCCCATCAAAATTAGCACACACAAAACACAAGTGTTCGTCCAACTTCAACCGGCTGCATCATGGATATTACCGCTGATAACGAAAGAAACGCTATACAACAGGAATATGTCAATTTCTTAGATGACGATGTAAGCATGGAAGTATAATTAACATTTTAGCTTAAGTTGATGATATCAAGCTGAAATTTTTTAGAGAGCTTGCTTTAAGAAGACGTCATAATGGCGCATCGATAGCTCGTTTTATAGTGGCCTTGTTGAACTAGTCCATCCAATTTGTTAGTTTGAAGCTAGGGTTCGGTCTCTTTTGCCTGTATCAATTTTTAGTCTAGTACTGATGATATTTACTGTAGAAAGAACAAAGACCTTTCAAAATTAAACATGCTAATAGGATTGCTAAGTTAGACTGCACCTGCTATATGAATTAGTATTTTTAAGTTACTGCCATGACTAGCGATTGAGCTGGCCAGACGTTAACAAGCAGTTTAGTGACATCTTTTGAAATGGCCGCACCGAAGCGTTACTTTCCTAGCACTACAAGATGACGTACATTACAATTCTACTCTCGTTGGCAATGAGCATACAGCAACAAACTTTGTGAACAGATCATACTGCATCATGGACTATGAGGCTTCTTTCCAGTAATCTGTGAAAGTCTAAGAATTTGGGATAATTTCAGTGACAGTCAAATGGTGCTGCCATAGTTTAATTGATCGGGTTTACTTTTACTAGATGTTATCCGCGTGTAGTTAGTTGTGCTGTAGGTTGGTCTCTTATTATGTAGGATGCTGCTAACTTTGAATTTCACAATAGCAAATGAAAATTTTTCAACTGTAGTGCCGTACGATGGAACGGATATATATTGTAGTCTGCGTAACATGCAGGCCCTAAGCTGTAACATCATTGCATAGGATAATGTACAAACTTCACATTCACTAAGTAAGGTAAACTTTTTCATTCTAAACAATTTCTGAATGCTAACGTTCATAACCGGGCAGATAAATGCAAGCATTTCAAATCACATTGACAGTAGATCTAGATAATACAGTTCCCAGTTAGACTGATTGAGGATTCAGTTGTACAGTACAGTACATGGCGAAAAAGGGCTAAATATTTAAATATATGAACTGTAATGTGACCATCACTTTGATCACAATAGTTACCATAAAAATAATTTAAAGTATTTACTGTATATTTTTACTGATACAGTAATATGATTTTCTTGGCATATAGATTGACTCGGGAGCTTATCACAATATGGTTAAAGACATGATTAATAAAGGCCAGCAAAGATTGATCGTCAATATGAATGACCTACGTGTTAAAAGGCCTAGACGTGCATCAAGGTAAAGTAATTAGAGAACACAATCCTAATAGGATATACTCTATACTGAGATCGTAACGATACACTACTATAGAAAGTATCATTTTCCGACAGTTTTACTACTAACGTCCAAATAGTCCAATTATAGAATTATTAATACAGTATTTTAAATTAATTTAATGTATCTGTCGCTTATAATAGATACCGTATGTTGCAAAATTTTATTCTAGGATACTAGAGGATGCTGTAGATGAAATTATTGCATTTCAGAAAGCCTTGAAACAATTTCTAGAGATGGTAGATCCTTCATACGTTGGCAAACATCCCGATTTATTTGTTGGCTTCCGTGGCAGTTTTGGTGCCAAACACGTTACACCCCGCACTTTATCAGCACGTTTCCTTGGTAATATGGTCTGTGTGGAAGGCATAGTAACTAAAATGTCGCTTGTTAGACCTAAAGTTGTTAGGAGTGTGCATTATTGTCCTGTAACTAAAAAGGTTATTGAGCGTACTTATACCGACCTGACCTCTCTTGATGCATTTCCATCGGCTGCGGTCTATCCAACTAGGGTAAAACTTTACGACGTCCATTACGTAGCTAACTATACTTATTAGAAGCGTTTTCGAATTGAAGTCTAAAAAGATTGTTCCACTGTTAACATTTCCTTAAATTTCTATATATGTGTATTTGCAATATACCAAATTTTAATAATTTTATTGTATTTCTTCAATCAGGACGATGATAATAACCCCTTGGAAACAGAGTACGGCTTATCAACTTATAAAGATCATCAAACCATTACGATACAAGAAATGCCTGAAAAAGCTCCTGCGGGACAGCTACCAAGATCTATTGATATCGTATTGGATGATGATTTAGTAGATTCATGCAAACCTGGTGATAGAGTTCAGGTCATCGGTATATACCGATGTTTACCTAATAAACAAAATGGTTATACTAATGGTACTTTTAGGTCAGTATTAATAAAGTGCAAATTAATCAATTTTTTCATTTAATACTAGGAACATCAAAACTATACTTACACTGAATGTAATCTGATACATTCCATAATAACGGTCATAAAATAAATTGTTTTCTATTAGAACGATTATAATTGCAAACAACGTCCTAGTGCTAACGAAAGAAGTCATTCCAAATTTGGACAAGGCGGATTTTGATCAGATTAGACGCTTTAGCAAAAAAAATCAAAAAGGAGTATTTAATATCCTAGCAAATTCAGTTGCACCATCAATTCATGGCCATGACTATATCAAAAAGTCGATCCTATGCATGTTGTTAGGTGGTTGCGAGAAATTGCTAGAAAACGGAACACGCCTTCGTGGCGATATCAATATACTTTTAGTTGGCGATCCTTCAACTGCAAAATCTCAACTTCTAAGGTAAGAGGATATCAAGTCGAAGAATTTATTTAAATATCGTCATAACTTCTAATCGTTGTACTATATCACGTTATTCAGGTATGTCTTGCATATCGCACCACGTGCAATTCCTACTACTGGGCGCGGTTCTACTGGCGTAGGTCTCACTGCAGCTGTTACTACTGATCAAGAAACTGGTAAAAGTCGTTTTACTTTGCACTCTCCCTATGGCTTAATTTAAATATGCATTTGTACAGCTAAAATCCTTCCTATATAATATAATTAATACGTAATTTGGATTGAATATGATAGGTGAGCGTCGCTTGGAAGCTGGTGCAATGGTCCTCGCTGACCGTGGTATTGTTTGTATAGATGAATTCGATAAGATGAGCGATATTGATCGTACAGCCATCCACGAAGTCATGGAACAAGGACGTGTTAGCATATCTAAAGCTGGAATTCATGCTAAGTTAAACGCAAGATGTAGTGTATTGGCAGCAGCTAATCCAGTGTATGGCCGCTATGACGAGTTTAAACCACCGATGGACAATATTGGAATGCAAGATTCGCTGTTAACAAGATTTGATTTGATATTCGTAGTACTTGACCAGGTTAGTCATAATATATGTACCTCTCTATTTTTAGTAATTTTATGGAGTACATAATCTAAACTCCCTATTGCATTAGGCGGATCCTGATAATGATCGTGCTATATCCGAGCATGTGCTTCGAATGCATCGGTATCGTCTTCCTGGTGAGCAGGATGGAGATGTCTTAAGTATCGATAAATCTGCCGACATGTTAGCTACTACTGATCCGGACGAAGAAATCTTATCCAAGGATAATAGTGGTAAATCTGTAATATATGAAAAACACGACAATTTATTACATGGTTCCAAACGAATGACTGGCAAGAACAAGATTGTTTCGAAAGACTTTCTTATAAAATACATTCACGTTGCTAAGAAAATTAAGGTATTTTCTGTTATACCTCACTTTAACTGTTAACCTTGGCTGTAGCATTACGTACTGTTATTATTATGCTCTTTGTACAATCTAATGGGTTAGTATACTGTACGTTCTCTAACGAGATCAATTTTTATTTTCAGCCTACTTTAACGCAGCAAGCTACTACCTTAATTGCTGAAGAATATTCTAAGCTACGCAATACCGAAGAATATGACTCTACCAAAGCTAAGGTAAAGCGTGCTCTGCGAATTAGATATAATCATGCAGTTGCATACGAAATACTTACTATAGACAATTGCCTTATAGACGCAACCAGTCACTGCCCGTAGTCTAGAAACCATGATTCGATTTGCTACTGCTCATGCAAAAGCAAGAATGAGTCCAACGGTTGATAAGGTAAGAATATATTATCTCTTTTTCAGTTGTTATATCTTAAAGATTATATCAACATTCTAATCTTTAGGTTGATGCAGAATTTGCTATTGACGCTATTATGTATGCATACTTCAAGAAGGTAATACCTTATAGAGCGTATTTCGATGACAACATGGCGTTAGCTATATTGATGATTCTTTTAGAGATATTGAAGATTTACGTTCCGTTTATAGGTTGAAAGAAAGTCTAAGCGTAAAGTCACGAAAGGCTCAGATGACGAGGATGATGATGAGAGCCCTAGCCAACAAGACAAAAGAAAGCGTCGTCGTAGGAAAAGATCCGATGAAGATTCTGATGAAGATTCTGACAGTAATTCACCTATTAGTTCGCAAAAGAAAGATTCCTATGACCCGTACAGTTTTGATAACGAAATGGAAGGAATTGGTTAGTAAAACATTCTAAACTTTATATACGTATATCCACCAATTCAAGATAGTAACGATGATAGATTCATGCTCTGCCTACGTATTTCTAATCTAACTGTCAATATACATTAATTAAAAACCAGACTCAACGAGATCCCCTAGTAATGCTGTGCGTACCGAGGGGCAATCAGGCGCAACCGAAGAAGATGGCGACACACAAGAAGAATCACAGGAGCCAATATCTAGTGATAGGTATGGAATTCGTCTTTGTTTTTCGTTTTATACATCACTATAGGAAACTTATGAAAATTTACATTTAGCTACGGTCTTGAATATAATCTGGGATTTTTTAGTTTTTAAAAAAACTTCTTTATATTAAACAGGTTAAAGATATTTGAAACTGCTCTGAATGCTGTATTTATGACTGGATACGTTGAGTTTTTAAGCCGCGAGGAAGTTTGTCGTAGGGTAAACAATCAACAAAATGAGGATGAAAAGTTCAGTGGCACGGAAATGTCACAGGCTTTACATTCTATGCAGAATGACAACAAAATTATGATTGACGACAAAGATGACGTCTATTTAATTTAAAATGTTTTTGTCGACATCGGTAAACACGTTGACTTCCTTTGACATTCCACTGCGATTTGTAGATTAGGTAGTAAAGATATCGACCATGTTCGTCTTCAATATTATTGTCGCTTATAAATAAGCGGCTCGGTCAAGAAAGTATATGTGCCATGGTTACTATATGTCATGATAATTTAATCTAAGATTCTAAGTTAAATATTGTAAGTATTATTGTCTCGAGCTGGTAATAACAGCAGTAGCAATCCTTTTATCTTTCAATTAGCATACGGTTAAAATGTGATTTTTTAGCACGCCCATGATGAACTAATTGATATCCTGAATGATTAACGCAGTATAATTAGATTATAAGTGTATTTTTGAAAATGTAAATAATAAATTCACGTGGGTATTTTCATGATATGAAGTTGAATGATCGTTAGATGTTATCATTCGCAACTTACGAAAAGTTTGGAAACCTCTATCAATAGCTACATTGTCCTTTAAGAATACATGTGTGCGTGTACGGATATAATGATCTAGTGAATTATAAACTTTGATCCGCGTTCATTGTTGCAGACTGTGCAATAGGTGGTGCGTGTGTTTCTTGAAAATAAGTTTATAAGTGTAGTAAGAGTGCGAACTAGAAAATTTATTGCATTTAGCGTTCTTTTGGAATTTAATTCATCTAGTCGGCAGATCGAAGCCGAGCGATTGAAGGAACGACAAAAGGAGAAATATCTACCTACTCTTGGCTCTCAATCTTGAACATTAGTACTGTACGAGTATATAACTAAAATAAGAATCGAATTTATCCATCAGTGCAGTACATTGTAACTATAAATACGAATGTACGTTGCATATACATGTATAAGATCCCTTTGCTGAATAATTGTATACTCATGTATGATTACCTGCTATTTAGTTTCTTATAAATCGGCATTAATCACTACCAAGGTAGTTAAATGATTAAGAATAGTTAATGTACTCGCTGAACGAGAGCTTGGAACATAAATCCCTGTGAACCATTATAAGATTGCCTGGGCAATTCATTCATTCATTAATTAATCAGATTGAACGCTCGAACTGCTGTCCGGCTACCGATTCTTCATACGTACGGTACCGTAAATTAACATAATTCACCGCTATAAGACACTAAATTACGGATTGCGTTATTATTCATTCAATAAATATTTGTATGTAGAAAGTAAGTATAGACTACGTATATAGTTTATAGATTTGCATAATAACGATTGATTGATCATTGGATAGATTAAGATCAAATGATATAAATTATCGTTCAAACTATTTTTTTCTAGAACTAAATCATTTATACCCGTATACTGTAAATGATGTAATTCTAGAAAACATAACTTAAGGAACAAATCGATTAATCGTAAGCTTTGGTATGACTACAGAAATAAATAAACTTCGTTAATGCTACTTCGAAAGTAATCAAATTTACGAGTAGTGAAAAACTTTCAAAGGAAAACTTATGGGCCTATACAAATAGGACAACTATTGTTCGTGTTATAGTATGTTTCCGTATAAATACCGTATAAGACATTTTTTAGCTTGTCATATATTCGCATGTACAGAAAGAAAACGATGACAATGGTGTATATTTGCATGTACAGTATGTGATATGAGTACTGTATAGTATATACGAGTATACGCGTATGTGTCCCAAGAAGGGAAAAAGTTATTCATTAGTTGTAAAATATGCGGATGGGCGTACTGTACGCTTTTAATTTTTTCAGGCCGTACTGGGAATACAGTGGGTTTTACCTACCCTACGTTTCCATAGTATCGCAGCGACTATTGCAGGCTAGAGACAATAAAAATTCCCATTAGATAAAGCTTTCTCATTCAACGAAAATAACTTCCAAAGGTCTATCGGCGCGATATAAGAACACTAATTCATTTTACATCAAATTAGACTACTATTAAAAATGCTCACTTTTACTACATCATCTAGTTAATATCACAGTGATCGATAAAAATGTCGGATACCGATCGCCTCGTTAACAAAAATATTCAAGGACACGATCTTTCCATCCATCAAAACACTTGTTGCCGCCAGTCGATATGGATGATCGTAACAATTATATTATGTACTTGTCTACTAGAAGGATATGCAGTTCATTATTCAGCTCCTGTTATACCTAAATTAATGGAAAAAGATTATTCTGCTCAAGTGCAGATGTCACAAAGTGCGATTTACCTGTATTCGGTAAGGGAGATTTTCAATCTAATATGTATATTCCTTGACAAGAATGATTAACTCCCGTTTTTAAGTAATGATCATACCGAAAATTTTACATTAGTTAACATTCAGTATTAAACTACTTTCAGAACGAAATAAATTGACTCTTGATTTTATTTTGATTTTTCTCTACTATATCATAAACAATTACTTTACTTTTTTGCCCTCTTAGCATATAAAGTACCTTTGATCCTTTCTACGAAAACTTTTTGTAGATCGGTTAGACAAAGTGAATAGTTTACTGTAAACAGGATATCTACGGTAGCGCTTAATATAGAGATTTCTGTGTCGTGATTATTCTTTAAATTATCAAGAGGCAATTCGCACTGAAGAACGTTGCTTTTGAGATTTTTATCGTATTATAAATGCTATTGAACATAACGTAAAATGTAGGAACGAATAGAATAAAAAAGTCTTAAAACCTACGGTAGTATTAGATCAATTGCGATATAGCGACAATAAATTAACGTTATTGACAATTACAATAAGCAATAATAATTATAATAAGCCTTTTTTTTTTGTTCTTAGGCCATCATCTTCTTAGGGATGGCAATTGGCACCATCATAGCTAGCTTCTTCCTAGACCAGATAGGTAGAAGAACAACGATGATTCTATCTTGTGTTCCACACTTATTTGGCTGGCTATTCATGGTTTATGGAACAAATCCATCGTGGTTAATTGGCGGAAGATTTATGGTTGGCACTGCTGTTGGGACGACAACTACAGCAGCCACAGTAAGTTAAATTTACACGAGGAGAGTCTTATAAAACAGACTAGCCTTGCTATTGGTGCTTAGCTGTAAAATAAACGATGCCCTCTACTTGGTATAACTAAAACTAATAAATAGTTTTAAAAGTTTAAAAATTTTGACTAGTCACCAATATGAACTATATTAAACTCATCAATTATAATCTAAATCAAGATAGTATCTAATTCTGATCCTAATCCAGTTGTATATACTATACCATATATTTATTTATCGGCTTGTTTCGTAACTACCGTTTATACCACATACTAACTTAAAATGAAAGAAGCAAATTCTTTCCCTTAATTTTTCTTCATTCATCGATTTCGCTCTATACCGGTATACAAAAATAGCATAGAATACAGCCATGGTAGACTTGTTAGGGAAAATGCAGTAAAAATTGAATTACGCGTATGTTACAGAATATTCCGGACACATTCGTTCTTTCTCCTACTACTGGAGATCGCTGAAATAGCCATTACGATAGACACTCATTACAATACACGAGCATACATTATTGCTTAAAAATATTAAACCGGATGTTGACGAATTACAAATTGATGTTTCGTCTTTAAGTTTTAACAGAGAATATGTTCTATCGTTAACACAAACTTCTATTATAGTAACCGTAATGCAAGTGCTATTTGTAGTAAAACTTAAAACCTTTAGAAATAGATAATCAATTTCCTTCATTGCTGGTGTATACTTTCTATTGACTATAGTACTATATATATGTTGGAATGATTCAATTCTAGATTTATATGTTAGAAGTTTCACCAGAGACAAGTAGGCGCCCTCTACTTCATACTCTGGCTGTCGCAACAATGTTGGGAGGTGCTGTATGTGGTGGCCTCTCCTTAGTCTTACATTGGAGATACTTGGCTCTAATAGGTGCATCGTGTTCCTTGATCAATGCAATTGGAATATCCCTTCAGCCACAATCACCAAAATGGCTTATTTTAAAGGGCCAACCACAAATTGCAGCTAAAGCATTAAGGTTCTGTATATATTTTAATAAATCCGATTATTATTATTGTTATCATTTATATCCTAAGTTGTAGGCATCACGCCTAAATTTATGGAATATTTCATATTGCTATAATTTATATCGTTCCATGTGTGGGTGGCAATAGATATTATGCATATCTTAGCTAGCTATGAAATCATAATAGTAAAATTATAAATTAATTACAGTAAATTTGGCACCTTTGATTTATTATTCCTAGTTGAACATTCAGAAGATGTTTGATATCAATATACTCATTGTAGTTGCACTATAACTTACATACTAACTGGATGAAATACTTTAAAAAATGTTGAATAACCTTTTGTATACCTTTCCATCATTGAAACTAATAGGCAATTGCATGGACAAGATGTTGACGTAGAAATAGAAATAAGAAAAATTGAACAAGAGATTGAAGAAAGTGAGCGCATTACTTGGAGGCGGTTACGCTTACAATCACTGTTAAGACCATTTCTGGCTTTGATTGCTATCATTTCGTTTGTACCGCTAATGGGAGCAAGTATTTTACTATTATATAGTCCATTGATCTACATTAAAGCGGGGTTTGATTTTAGTTTAAAAATCAATCTTGGCATATGTTTTGCCAGAGTTCTGGGTGCCTTGTTAGCAATACCGTTAATTAATCATTTTAAGAGACGAATCATTCTCATCATCTCAGGCATAGGGATGTGCGTTGGAAGTTTTATATTTGGTTTATATTTTCAAACAGCTGCTTCACATATGAATATACCCGGCTATCAAATAGACTGGCTATCGGTAGCAGGGGGTGCATTATACTCAATCTCTGTCACATTTGGCTGGGCTTCTGTATCGTGGGTGCTCTTGCCTGAAATTCTACCGAAAAGTCTTTTAAGAAATCTTATACCTTATCTAACTGCATATTCTTATACATTATTCTTTATCATGTCTTACATTTACATTTATATGGTTAATTCTGTTGGTAGTAATGGTTCTTTTTGGATATTCAGCAGTATCTGCCTAATTGTTGCTTTCACGGTTTATTTCATCTTACCTGAGACAAAGGATAAAAGTATAGAAGAGGTTATCGAAAGTTTTCAGCCTACTAAAAGAATTGCAAAAACATGTACTAAAGGGTAATATCATCAGTCAATTTTAATTACTGAAGTAATAATACCGCGATTTTATTGCTGTTATTCTATAAAAGATTGGCCAAAAGTTTTTTAACAAAATAAATTAGAAGGATAATAGAAAGAATGATACAGCATTTCTGACTTTTGCCTCTGTTTTACTTTTAACTGTTGAGGCTGCAGAATGTAACTTTACAGTATAATACTTACGCGACCACACTCACGAATTGTAACAATTATAGCAGCACGCATAATTTATGGATGGCGTTTACAAGAATGAAATTGTCTTTGTATAGAAATATTTGAAATTTTCTATGCGTTTCATTCATATACATTGTATATATATATACACATTTGTCAATTTTTTATTATCTATTTTGTTAATTATTTGCGTATACCGCGTTATTATGACTGCACAAGTAAAATAATCAATTTACAATATTTTCTTCCTGAATTAGAGCACTCTAATATTTACAGTTAGCCTTATTCGCTAAATAATTGCTATTTTTGGGGAGGAGAAATTTGTCTTATTACTGTATTCCGATAGCAATTTTAAGAGCGTAAATTTGATAGAATGGATGTACTCATACATACCAGTATTTTTAATACGAGACTATTCGAACTTTGACTAAAACATTTATTAGCTTTCTATTCACGATCAGCACTAACTTATTTTTCGATCATCTTGTTGCAGCCTATGCCATTATACCATAGATTAAACCATAGATCATTAACTGTAAATTACTAGCAAAAAATAAACATATATGTACGTTATTGAACAGTTGTATCGCATGACGAAAGTTCACTAACCCATACACTAGACCATGTTATAAAAATACTATATAAATAGCGTTCATTCTCTATCCATTTAGCATGGACTACTCAATGTTTGGGCACAAGAATTACTAAATCGCATATAACCTTGCTGCTAACAATTTTAAAATCTTCAACTATGGCTACAATAAGATTTTAGAATTTACAGAGTAGAAAAGTGGGTAGTTCACAAGACAAGTTAGTTTTCTCGCACATACTATTCAGGTGCAGTATGTTTCTGTGTTATTCTGTTCTATATGTCACGGTATAAATGCCAAGACGGGACAAATGCACGTTTCCCAACCAATAGATAGCTCACGAAACTAGAAATAAGGTCAATCTAAGTGAAAGTTAACTAAAAGATTCTAAAAAAGAAGTAAATTTATCTTCGACGAGTGGGAGTAGAGGAAACACGCTATACGAACATTATGGCTCGGCGTGCAATGCACACTAGCAAATAGGGTCCAATCTGTGGATGAAGATTCTATCGGTCTTCAAATGATTGATAAATAAAATAAAATGAAATTAATTCCTGCTGCATGCAGCCATAAATGTAAATTCTATTTGTAGTATTATACGATTATATACAGTACATTAAATAATTTTATACTTCTCGCATATTGTATTTCAGCAGCAATAATATAAAGTTCCGTAGTGATAATAATGACCGTGCGGATTTTCATCATTATTAATTACCGTTTCGCTGAACTTGGCATTGTACCGCTGAATTCTACATTATTAGGCTGACATGAAACGTGATATCTCTGTCAGCGAAGCGACAGGACGATATATCGTATGATCGCACAGTAGATAGCTATTGCATATTTAGAGTTGTTACTATAATAGTACAATCTTCTATCTTTAAACTAGGAATTTAATAATTTACTTATTCCTTTGCTCAAATCAGAAAGTGGCACGAACTTACGCGTATTTTTACGGTTTGTGTGCCCTATGCAATAAAATAGCAGCCGTATAATATTCTTACAAGATCTTACGATAGATTAGGGTAGTAATCTGTAAAAGCAAACTCAAATTAAGTACTTTACGTAAGACTAGTAAAACTTGTCAGGAAGTAGTCCTTAATAATATACTCGTATAGTAGTATGAATTAAATTAGATTAAAATAATCAAGCGCATGTCACATTTTAAGGGGAGAATGTTGGAAGTAAATGCCGTTATGTTTGTAAAATATGATACGGTATGCGAACCAAACTTGGGCAAGGGACTATACTGTAGTGTATACCCATAAATTTTGTATAGAATAAAGATGCTTCGATCTGGGTGGATCCTTTGGCTAGAATTCATAGATACAGTAAGTAGATCATGTGAGAGTAATTAAGTTACAATTTATCACATCCTTTTAGTCGATCTCGATATTAATAATATTAATTAATACCCGAAACAGTACTTAGATAGGAGATCAATCGCTTCCATTCATGAACTGGTACAGTAGTTGTCAAACTAATGATATTTACAGTGAATGTGATCCATTTTCTCAGAGATTTAACTGAAAGTTGTGTATTGGACTACCGTTCGATACGTTTGCTATATTTTCTATTTTCAGTGAAAACTAGCCAACTCTGGCGTCGGCCGTTGTGAATACCAATTACGGTACTGTCTACTATAATGAGATTTACAGTAAATAGCAATTAGGTACGCAACAAGAAGAAATGTTTGGTTTGAATAGTACTATCTCTCTGAAACTAAGAAATACTTTTTGTCCATGCCATCCATTTTCTATGAGAATTCACTACAAGATCTACGTGATAAGTATTTGATTTGATAGCGTTTGAAACATTTTCTTGTACTGTATAAATACCAACCAGATAAAAGATGTTCTCTTTCGAGTACTACAGTATACCGTCTGTACGCACATGCGGCAGAATACGATGATGTAATACAGTACCGTAGGTGCTACAGTCTACAGTACAGTAGTGTACAGTAGTACTGTACTGTACATACTGTACACTGTAGAGACTGACATTAGTAATTACTATACTGTACAGTGTACACCAGTTAAGTTTCTTCTATCCATTTGTTAGTAGAAAAATTCAAGAAAAAAAGAGTACAGACTATACTGTACTGTACACCAGTTAAGTTTCTTCTACAGTATCCATTCGTTAGTAGAAAAATTCAAGAAAAAAAGCGTACAGACTGTACACCAGTAGTTACAGTGTACAGTACAGTAGCGATCGATCAAGATTGCTTTCGTCAATCTGTATAGTGATCCGCGCGACTTGACTGCACTGAGCTGTCACCCTACTACGTACTGTACTGGTGAGAACCGATCAGTACTTCCAGTCAAGCAAGAAGCGTCTCAGGCTAAGAAGGAAGACAAGTGAGCTCGGACTTCAAGACATGGACGAGGTAGCATCTGCTAAAACTGCCGTCAAATATGAATGTAAGTTTGAACAATTTCCAGTTGTAATTTTGTGCTCTGTTCACTTACAGTAGATCAGGTATCGTTTGACTTAGAATCCTTTCTTTCTGTCTAGTTTTATTACGACTGTAATAGTAGTCAAAACATTTGAAACCTTCTCTAGTCGTTGCAGTGAATTTCTGAATTAACAGTGGAAAAAATTTCACTGGATAGGTGATAAGTGATCAGTGAAATTTTCTACTGTCATAGACAGTGAATGCAGCATACTGTACTTAGTTGTTTTAGAAGAGGTGCTCAGTACTGCAAAAATACATTGTAATCGTGTTTAGTAGCTGTCCTAATACAGTAGCTCTAGCCTTCATGCATTTACTGTAAATCGACCGGTAACGAAAAGGATGAACACAAAGTAAGGATAGTTCACTATGGGTATTATCCCGTAAATTCGTGCCTGGTTAAATTGGCGGACTGCAAGCAAATGACTGAAATGACCGACTTATTAATGATACAAAACTGTACAGTAGCATAAAAGATTTCAGGGTCTCTACTGTACTGCATACAGGTGAAAATGATCGTCGAAAACCTTCCGCAAATGGTCGTTAAGGATTTTGCATCATTCTATCATAATTGTACTGTACTAGAAATCATTGTTAGCATACCATGCTAATGATGTCAGTACTGTACAAGATGGACAGATAGCAGTTAAATCTTTATAGCGTTAGATGAATTCTACCATATTGAGTATCATTTGAGAAATTGGCAATGAAACTACTACGTAGATAGTATGGACGATTTCTATCCTAACTTAAATTAAGAACTCGTTTATAAAAAGTATTTAGTAGTCCAAAGATTACTTGTCGTTATCATTACTGTACACTCAGTGTACAGTATTCACTACATACTGTCTTGAAGTAGAATTATGATTAATTTAATCATACGAATTAAATTCATTAATTAGTGCTATCTAAAACGTTCATGGTTTATCATGGTAACTTTATGAAAAGGAGAAATGAAATTGTTCTAGTAGCGCGTTATGATCCGTGCATTTACTGTTAGCACGGAATTGTGGAGAAATACGATACTGTAGTAGTAACATTGCTATTCTAATGTTTGAAGCGTACTAAAAATGACTTTTTGAATTTTTTTTCCTGTCATATCATTTTTATCGCTGTTATTACCCCAATGCAGACTTGGAGCATCCTGCAGATATTCAGTAAGTTATTGTTGCTATAAGTTAATAATCTGTTTGTAAAATGGATCAAATTTATAGCCTGTCAGGATAAATAATCATAGTGCCAGTTGAATTCATGATATGGTGAGAATTCTCGTATTTCTTTGAACCTAATTGCTATCCTTCTTTTTTCTTTTGAAACATTTTTCATTGCTTTAAACACGATAAATATATTATTGATACTATAGTAAAACGCCAGCTATTTAATTAACAAATGATAGTATCAGATGCAATACACCAGTAAAGCAATAATGGAAAACCTAAATGGAAATACACCTACTGTACAGTATATAGAGTATACGTATAATCGCTTTAAAGATCACCTCACCTTACAGTTAAACATTGGTACTAATATTTGGGGTTCCATTTTAATGATTTATCACCCTTACAACAAGACGTAAAGTTACTCTTTATTATTCTCGCAGAAATTAGTAGATGGTAGTACATTTTATTGAGTGAAAAAAGTAATCTCTTACGCCGTTTACAAATTTGCAAAGAATCACATACCTTCGTAATATCCAAAAATAATTATACAGGATATACTCGTATGTTATAGGGGTACTATTCTTTATATTGTACTGTAATGTACTGTATAATATCTTGATTAACACCGAGTAAATGCTACCAAGAGTCGTATACTGTATACAGTACAAATTGTGTTAATTATAACATGATAGCACCTGGCCGTTCGAGCTGTACAGTATGAGAATTTTATATCCTGTTCAACGTTCTAAAAGTTCAGTACGACCGTAGAGTTGCAATGTTTTTTCAATTTACGCGTATACTGTATCCAAAGTTGCGAAGAGAAGGTAGCTAGCTGCTCGAGTATCCTGTCAACTGACGCGTATTGCATATTGCATGAATTTAAATATTTTTTGCATTTAAAATTAAGAACCATATTGATAGAATGTTACAATATGAATTTGTACGGGTTACAATATGGATTTGTACGGTGGTACATTAATTATAACTACGATATCAGGACTAATGTGATAAAGTTGATGAATTTTACAACTCTACTAATCCATGAGTTTAATGCTGTTTTCTTACAGTGTTATTGTAATCTTTTAGATATGCACATACTATATATAGTACTACATCTTATCATCGACATTATTTCTGGTTTTATTTGGCGATAACAAACTACTGTACGCGAAGGAATTAAAAATATTAAACGTTACCATACTGACAGAAATATGTATCCTTGCTCTTTGTTATCCTGCCCGAAACACTGTAACATATTGCATATTAAAAATAGATGTTGTTTGATCAATGGACAAAGCCGACATCGATCGGCATGATAGAGCACATTGCTAAAGGCAGGCATGCTATCCTTAAAAACCTAAGATCAATTATGTTAAGTAGCTTCCTTTTGAATTTATAATACTACATTATGCTCATTTAGCGCTGATGGTAATATCATGGTATCATTTATCATCCATTATTTCTTTCAGCAAGAGTAATGAGTTGAAGATGGCCGCCCTCTAACGTATTCACACCACCATGCTGCCATTATATTTATTTACGTTACTATCTATGTAGCAGTCAAAACAATAGCTTCTATTTACTCTATTCTATTCATGATATAATAGATAGGATAGGTTGGCTTTGTATTGCAATTGAAATAGTTTATAAATGTAGTCATGATTATTACGGTAAAAGATGAAAATTTATCAAGAAACTCTTACTCATACCGCTTTTGAGCTTAAAATGAAACCGGTCATTGTACAGTAAATCATCAATAATTATAAAAGACCACAACCAGCTACTGACAAATATTATAATGATTGATATCATAGTAATGCATTGCTGTAAAATTAACATTTTAACGTGTACACAAATATGTATAACCAATTCACTAACGATATTTTTATTGAACACTTTTTACGCTTTTTTATTCATGTTAATAGGATCCATTCCTGTATCCTTACCATTTGTTATCAACCGAAATATGTTTGTTAAAAGATGTTGTGCAACTGTTTAACTATGATTCAAGTGATAATTCAATTTTAATCGATGTTTTTCATTATCAATGTTGTCATACTATCTTTCTGATATCAGTGTTGCATTACTGAAATTAGTATCTTACATTAATCACTATACTAGTGATATCGCAACTACAAAGTAATACTTTCTACTTGATGAGGAAATTACTTTTATCACTTACGCTATTGAAGATAATTGATTTATGCTAACAGCAATCTACTATATGGCAGCGAAAATTAAATAATAGATAGATGGCATAATCGCTATTAATGATAAAAGAGTTCTTTCTTTATCGGATGCTAATGATCCAGTTGATATTATTGTAACATCTGAATAGTCTTTTGATCTAAAGTTATCATTGTCTTACGATGCAGTGGCTACATTTATAATCTTCATTTATTCTTGGTGTTAAAGATGTTTAGTTGTTTTTATTCTCATTCGATTCCAAGTAGAATAGAAATGTACTGGTGAACTAATGTATGGATTAGCAAAAATCGATTTATTCATTTCTAGAATTACTACATTAACATGATGCAATACGAGTTGCGTTTCCAATTTTTCACATTTAAAAGAACGCACATAATCTAATTTTGTTGGATTTTGTAAGATATTTCGAGTAGTACAATTTAAAATGATGGTATTAGGTGTGGAAATTTTAGTCTCAAAAGATGTCTGTTGGTGTAAAAGTTTTAATTCATTTTACTAGCTAACAATTGCTATATTTATCATATGCAATATCATTGATTACTGATTACTCTGTCTATAACTGCAATCTATATACGGATTCTGCTTTGTGCTCGTATTTTTTCATGTCTAATCCAACAATTTACTGGAGATAGTTTTTGATTATAATCACTAATGTACCTTAGCATACCGTAGCGTTTCAGTATTATAAATTATAACAGTTTTTGGTACATAGGCAACAGAGTATTCATTATTATAAACATAGCAGTTCAATCTTGTTGAATTGATAATTCATATCTCTATACTAACAACAGATTTAATGGTATCGCATATCAATATTGAAAGTTATAGATCATGGACAGTTTAGGTCGTAGAAATTCTACGCTACTAATATCAACAATGTGTACGTGCTACGCTTTGTAAGCATAAATTCCACCTGTGATGTTATGTAATAAGCAATGCACAGTATGACTAGATATCGATAATGTATTTTCTTTAAGCGAAATCTATTATTCCTTGACTCTATCCTACACTACATTAAGGGGGTGACGATATAACCGAAGCATTTGAACAAGTAGGTGCAACAAACCAGTATTTACTGTATTTCTTACAAATAAATTAGATTTTTTTTTTTGTAATAGAACATGATTTGTGCACGCTACTTTAAATGCTAGATTAAAAAGGAACTGCAGTGCAATAATATTTTGCTCATATGTTTATAGCTAATTGCTAGCTTACTTGTCTTTATAGGCAGCTTTAGGGATGTTAGCTTACATCACTGACCTTCGATGCGTTGAACCAATCAAGACTCAACAAATTGAAGCTGAAGGTAAGTGAATTACTATCCAATGGTTTAGTCTACTAATTATATTACATAATATCGTAAGTCGATGTTCATTAGGTATTGTCTCTCCGGTATCTTTGATGTCAGTTTATTGTAGTTCTGCAGTAAAATTATAAAGTTTTTTTGAAATTAAATCTACTGGAACAGTATCTACCCAATTCTCAGTATCTTGCTGGTAATACCATTTTATTCCAAAGGCCACGACTTAGAATCGCTTCTTTATCATTTCCTGGACGAATTTCTCTTTCTATTCAGCGCTGAACCATTCTTTATTGCAAAGGTATAAGTAGATCATTATTATTTTCCAATGCAAATAACTAAAATTTTATTCCTAAATTAGCAAATACAGCATCTATACGATATAATTCTTTAAAAGTTGTAGTGTGCGAATTTTATGTGTACTATTATGTTTCGTATCCAATAGCATGCATTTTCGATTCTATAAACTGATAATACTCTAATGAAGAGCTTAAAGTTTAATATCTTTCACAGAATATGCACTGATAGTTTAGCATCTTACTTCACTAATGATATGCACTATATAACTACTCCATCTGATCATTATAGTATGTCTTTTTTGTCTAGTTCATATTCATTGAAAGAATATCAATAGTCTTCAAGATAAAAAATTTTTAATTTATTAATGATGCAATTCTATTAATAATCTTTAAATGATTAATGAGACAATACGACAATATATAATGACTTCATAATGCTACTTAATATGTTAATGCCGTCGGAATTTCCTGTAAATTTTAGAAATTTATGGATAATGTAAATTCACTTGATTTTCTTGAATTGGCTTTAGTAACGATCTATCTATTAAAATGCTGTATTTATAGAATGTCAAGATATTGAAATTTGATAAAGAAAATTTTAGAATTACGGCTGAAGGGTAAATTTTAGAATATGATTGTTATTTGGTGTCATATGTAGTAACGCGCACATATTGCGCATTTTTATTTGAGTCTATGTGATTTTATATCAGCCTTCTCGTATTTTTACATATATCTACGGTAGTATATTACGTCATTTGCGTGACGCAATAGATATGAATGTTAGCAAAATTCACAATCGTAGTTGATAGGCTTGGATTACTATGCTAGCCATTGCTGCTACTACTATTATTGTCCTCTATTCTAAATTACCATATATTTTGATATTAAATTGTTGGAATAAAATGCAAATAAAGATTATTACCTTACTATTTACTAAATTTTACGTAACATGTACCGATTGGATAAAATTATAAACGAATACATTTGTTCTTATTCATTCTAGAGTTGGAGAAATATTCGACTTATCGAGGCACCCTCAGGTATTACTTTACATTTGAGATTCTTCCATATAGTTGTTGTCGATATTACTAAATTTAGTTCATATCTGCATTCCTATTAATTTAAGGGAACAGAAGTTAAAGCCATTACTTACTCAAACATGCAAATTTTTGATTCGATTAATAAGCATGAATGTTACGTAATTGTAGATATTTGAATTTATACCGTGCTACTATGAGATTTTAATACTGTAGCGAACTTGCTTATGGATTATTATAAAATACTGTACGTCCAATGACTGAATTAATATTTTCTATTAGTTTTTCCTAAATGACACTACTGGAGAAAGTTTTTTCAAAAATTTTGAGATAAATTCAAATTCTGTACGATCATTACGTAAATTTCATATTATGACCTACGAGATGCATTTTGAATTATATTCATCTTAATTACTAGCAAGTTTGGCATTTTCTTATTTTATAACGTATTACTCATTAAATCTGGTAGTCAAGTATTCTAAATGTCACACTATGTATTACTTTTGACGATACTGTACAACTTTAATATGCGGTTTTTAGCGATTGGTTTTGTAGTATATCTGTAGCTGAAATGTTTAATGATAAATGTAACGTTTCGGCTGATAGCTATACCTTAAAAGAAAAATTATTTATAGCATAAAATCTACCGTAGACCTTATATATATATGTATGTAGAACAAATGTTATAATAATTTAATATAACATCTTTCCTAAATTGTAGAATGATCGTAATTTACAGTCACGAATTATTATAATGCTGGGTTTGTTTCCTGCATAAATTGCTAAAAGCCTTCATTTTATGACTTTTCGGCCGCTTTTACTAAATTATACTAATACTTATGAACATTATTATACATTTAGATACAAGTAAGACTTTCATTCGTTGTAGCATTGATTTCATTGCTTGACGTTCTATGCTAACTTTTAAAATATTGTTTGATCGTACTGTATACCGTATCTACAGCAGAATATGATGTAATGAGATAAATGGAAGCATTCCACCGTTATGGATTATTTTATTTGTAGTCCTGGTAGCTCGAATCAGATTTATCGAATAGTTATCGTGAAATTTTGATTGCACTGACCGTACTAAGTAATTTCATCACTTGTTACGTTCTCGAATGATCTGATATCATTAAGTAACTAAAATTGTATTAGATATAGAACAAGGCTCTTTGCCTTTTAAAATTTGAATAAAAACTAACTACATAAATTGCTATATCTTATTTATGTTAAAATTACGAAATTTCGTTAGCATTTCCAAGTACGTGTTTAGGTACATGTAACACAAATTTACAGGTGCGATGACTAGTCAAGTGACAAACCTGGAATCTATCAACTTAGAATAACTTTTAACCAGTTTATAATTTCTCTGAAAGAACCTACACTTTAGCACATGTTATAATAGACCTACTAGAATTATAATGTGATTGAGCAATTATTACTTATATTTAATTAATAGTACTATATCGACTTTATGTGAAATAAATTATAATATTACAATATTTCTGGTGGATTCTACTTGTATATTATTATTAGTTAACCATGTGAGGTCAGGACAAAGAGTCTTAGATTAATTGGATAAAAGATTGATTTTTAAGTCTTCGTAAATCGTAGACTGAACATTTTTATCGATAAGTAAGTTGAAATACAATTCCTAAAGTTTTACTATTTAGGCTTCGTAAGAAAAGCTAAACATTGTTTCAAGTACTACGCTAAACTTACCACATACATACACATGCATTAAAGGTCTACTACACTGTTTCACGTTTAGCGCATGTCCTTGACGAAGACAAAAATACTGGATTTGACTGGAGTCGTTGTGGTAGTCCTGAAAAAAATTCACCGTCTGAATGTACCTTTTATGCAATTAGATCATTCACCTCACCTTTCAATTGTCAAATTTTTCTACCTAATATATATATCGTCATAACGACACGTGTATTGGCGATTAAAATTTTAATTTTGTAGTAACAGATTTAGCTATAGAAGAATCATTTCATTTTGCTAAGTATAACCCAATTTAAAAGTAAAATTCATACAAACTTTAAGATTCTTGTACTCTTATAATTCAAATTTACCAATATTTAATAAGAAATTTAAGTGATTTAGGCTTTAAAACGTACAATTTAAGTAATACGTTATCTACAGTACTGTAACTATGCTTTGTGACGAGATATTATAATAGACCTTGATGCTCATATCATCTTCTTAAAACAAATATTTTATTTTATTGATTGTACGTACGCGTATAATAGTATTTAGGCGAATATTATTCTATATTGCAATGCTTAAGACTGCATCATGCTGTATCAGGTTTACTTTCCATTCATTTCTTAAATCTAATTCTATTTCAATACACGTACGCCTATAATCCGTAAAATCAATTAAACAATGGTGCTCATCTTTTTAATCAAGTGTGCAAAAATTAAATAAAACCACCATACATCAACTAACTGAACGTTTATGTTTGAATTTGTTCATGTATGTGTATCTGTGTGATGCATATATATATATATAACAAATTTATATACGTTTCTATAAGTATATGCGTGCGTGACATGTGTAAGTGTGTGTGTGTCTGTGTGTTATAATATTAGTTCAAAACCGATTTTTGCGCGAGGGGAACAAAGAATATAGTTTAAAAGACAACGACAACAAAATTAGGTGGTACAACAATGTACTCAAAGTGAGTCATTCAAATATTAGTTGATGTGGTTGTAATATTATTACTTGAATCTTACAATTCCTATATCTATATATATATATATATATATGTACGCATATTTTACATGTAATATACGGCGCATACTTATGCATGTAAACACACAATAACAGGTGATGTGAGCAAGTAATCAAACAAAAACAAAAAACAGGTTAATTTCTTTTCTTCTATATAGCACATGAACTGTGTAAATTATAATTCAAATAGTTGGATAGTATTATATCATTAATTTCAGTATCCAAGATCTAACATAACATTTTTGTCATAGCATACAAGTATAAGTTAATCGAAAGTCAAAATTTTTTAATATACTAAAACTGTTGCTGTTTGATATTTCTTTGTTATTCGCAAACCATTGAATGTTTATACTGTACACTAAAGCTTTTCTTTATACTATTAGATAATATTATTACATCTTTAAGGATATAATAAAAACATGTTCATACTCTTACGTAAATTGTAACCTCGGTGCTGTCTACAACATGAAACTCTATCTTATTTGAATGATACCGATAATTATAAATATGTATAAGTGTATATGTGTTTATACTGTATATAGAGAGAACGTATATATCATCTATACATATATACATATATATTCATATGCGGTACGCATTTGTAATAACATCGCAATACAAATCTACAGAGATTTTTGTACAGTAAATACATATCTATTTCTCATTATATTGTATATCATACTATTATTACGGATTAACTCTTTAGTTATGATCACACTATCTGATATTATTATAATACAGCAATTTTAAAAGTAGCACAAACCATACAGTACATTATAAACGAATCAAGCAAATACTGTGTTTTGGAAGAATGCAAAATAGTAACACATTCATCTAATCGTACTGTACAAATCTTCATAGATAACACCATAAACTTAAAAGACTATCACATAACGCGCATAAAACATTAAGTCTATAGATAACCAATATACGCGCACATAAGCACATACTGGCGCTCGTGGATCATAACCAGATAATTTTAGTTATATTACATTTAGTAGAAGATCTGTAAGATTCGTTATTATGAGCAAGTAATAAGTGATAAAAATACAAATGAAAGACCTTTATGATCGCCCTTTAGAAAGCGAACGCTCTTACAACATATTATTAACCAAGTTTACGCAGTGCGGTACTATTATAACTAAGAATAACGTTTAAATTACGCGATTTAGAATAAGAAATGAGATAGGTTTTATCAATAGAATCAAACTACTAAATTCAAAATCATTCATCGCATCTCAATAATATAATTGCTGCTTGATACAATCACCGTAATTCGAAGACTTTAGTGCAAGCTTGTTATTTCATACTTTCAATATGTACATATATATGTATATATATACTATTTTGGATCAACAGCTATTAAATTAAACTAGGTGCAAAAACTGAATAATTAAGTTAACTTAATCATATTACGCATAGAACTTAATTTTCTTCTATAAACGCAGATTTCTTCCTTGATTTAATAACTAAAATGATAGACCGTGATAAAAAGCCGGATATAATTTTCATAACACTCAACAGCAACGGGATATTTAGCATCGCTTTTATTCGGTATAGTAATTTCTTATTATTATTATCCTTGTTATTGTCCTTCTGGATTGCTATATTATCTTAAAAATTTGTTAATCGCTTGTAAATCTGGTGAGCATAGGTTACCTTCGTCAATCTTTGGAAAATTTTAATTAGAGTTATTGTATTTATGCTTTGATGAATTTTTGAGTAATGTACTTCATAAATCTTGGATAGCAATCGTATCTCATTAGCATATATACATGTCTCTGTGCTTCATCATAGATATTCTTGTCAGGCTCTATTAAATTCTTAATTACTTCATCTCTCATACGACCATCTAAGCTTACCTATATCGCACCAAATAATGAAATAAGATTGAATGCCTCTACTTATTAGGTCAATATGTCTAACTTCAATATATGCTCTAGCAAGCTATAAATCATTATGCAATCTCTTGGGTAGTGAACTAAGAGTACGTGCATTTATATCAATGGTTATATTAAATTGAGGTAAAATACAAGTGTAGTTTTAATCAAAAAAATCCTAAAGCTCATCTTAATCGTATCTCACTAAATAAATTGAGAAATAATTAGTACAAGTACACTCAATTTACCTCGCTTGGTGAAGATGTTGAAATAAATTTATCATAAATTATTTTAGTCTTATAGTGTATATCATTTTCTGATGCCTCTTTAAGATCTTCACAGGCCAGCCAAAACAACAGATTTTCTTCACTATATTCAGATTTTAAAAATTCTTGAAAATGCTTTATTCCAGCTGTATGAAAAAAGAACGATAATACATTTTTATTATTAACTTGATCTTATTTGACATATTTGTGGTAAAAGTAGATAAACTGCCTGATGCTATCAAATTAATGGTAGAATTAGAAATTTTGAAAAGGACATTTTCTTTAGTACATTTTAATCGATTGTGAGCAAAAATATCATAAAGTACTTCTAAATAACAGATTCACTTAATGCTTATCATTGTCTTACCTGCACAATGTAACAACCTATCAAATGATATTTTCCAGCTTTCTACGTCAAGAGGAGTAGGTCTGATAATAACAAGATTTGAAAAGAGTCATTACTGTTGCTAGTAACAAGTACTAGCGGTGAAATATTCTCAATTATATGAAATTTGGTGATTCTAGCACTTCTACTCTAATCAACGGTGACCATTCACGTCCATTCAACATTACTATATATTTTGAGAATCTTATCAAAAGCTCTAACTCTTTACTTTATGCCACCCCATATTAACTGAAATATTGATTGCAGGGTTAGCCAAATCTATAATATATTTGTAATATATGATACACACGCAGCAAATAAACATTCTTTACCTAGGTACTTCTGGAATTGGAGAAGGTGGTGTGGGAGTAGGATCATCAGAGCTATCAAAACATCCGTAAAGAAAACAATTTAAATATTTTATAAGTCAAAAGTAACAAGATCTATGAAGTAAAATTTATTTACTATTAATTACAATGAATCCTGTTAAATAATCGTTACTATTACTAATACATGAAGTATTTTAAGACTGACGATAAGTCTAATATTGTTGCACATATATTGTAATTGCTAGCTGAATAGAGATTTTTTTAATTGGTATGTATCCTACTATCCTTCATCTTATTAGAGCAAATATCTAATCGAAGTATTCAATACATTACTTGATATGTATCACTAATGAAATATAAAAGTACTTCGTTAGTACGTACATGAATGTCAGAATGATAGATTTTAAAAGCAATAATTAAACGACATGGTAATTAATTTAGCAATAGATACGAAAATATAACTGGCAGGGGAGTAATCTGAAGTAACACGAGTAAACTCATACACTACAATCCCTACTAAAAGATAGGTGTCTTTTATTGTTAACTATGAATTAGTTATGTAAATTGCTTGTATTAAATTTTATTGTGCATAGACGGCAAAATAGGGTAACGTTAACTATTTATAACAACTACATTTTATAGTTATGAGTACTAAATAGGCAAGAAAATTAAATATAAGTTTTATAGTAATTAACAGATATCACATCATAATGTAGCATCAATTAATATTGTGATTTGAAAATCGATAAATGTACGACAGGTTGCCTTGGTAACGGCTGGAAGTTCGAATAAAAATATAAAAGCTTGTATAATTTGCCTTTTCTAAAAGATATGGGACAACGAAAGGGTTTAACTATATTTAATAGAAAGTGAACTAAGAAACTTTTATAATAACGTAGCGTATGAACATAGCTCCAGAATCGTCAAAGAAGTGATTCAATCGCCCTTTCTGTCAATAATTATATATACGATCGAATACATTATAACGTCCTAGAAAAAATCGATAAGTAATCTCATCTCTACCCATCTAGTAGTTAAGAATCTGATATTATAAAGTAATCAAGTATTAGAATTACGATTATAACATCTAAAATATTGTCTATTCATACAGTAAAGCTGCTATCTAATCTTAATACTATCATTCTCTATTTATCTATCATAGCCTACTAGATTATCTTATATAATAACTAATTGACTCCTTTCGTAAGCTATATGGCAATCTCATATAAATTTCAAATTATATACCTATTAGATACCAAAAGTTGATTTTAAGAAAGTAAACTTCATCATAAGAATAGATAAAAAGGACTTTGGGAATGTAATGTTGTTATATCATTAATTCAGTTATAGATAAAATTTTTTGGTTAGAAAGATCATTTTAATTATACCATCATGCAAATGCAATTGCTACTCTACTAGTCCTATAAAAAGACAGCAATGGAAAGTTAAAAGAAAGGAAGTTAATATTAAAATTTTTGTTGGAGTTCTAAGAGCTTACGCGTTGTGCTATAAAACAAAATCGTACTGAATTGCAAAGTGTCATCTCTATATTTGTCACAGCGTAATGCATATTTTACTTGCTTCTACTTTTAAGAAAACTGTCTTTCTGAAATTGTTTGTTTAAAATCTAATCTATTCCGACATGATAATCAAGGCTAATCTAGCATGATAATTCACAGAAGTTCTATACAAAGAGTACAACCGCTGAAATGATAATTTGTAAGATTATATGATTTCATATAAATATTGATTACTTACACTACACAGCAGCATAAAAAATTATTGCATCGTTTCACTTTCGGGCTATTATGCCCATCTCCACCCGGTGCAGTAACAACTGACATAGTAAAATGAAGTAGGAGATAATTTACTATTTTATGCCAATCCATAAGCAACGCCGACAAAGTTGGATCACATAAGGATAAAAAATAAAGTTTAACGATTAGTCAATCTCCTAAAGGAACTTATAATAAAATTTAAAAATTTTACATCGTAAGCTTATTCAAGAACAAGAAAGCTTAATTTAAATGAATAATAAGCGAACGTTAATATCGCAATATAGAGCTACAGATCTTTTAAATCATAACAGCATAAGAAATAAAATTTTTACGTGACATTTAAACATGCCTATTTAATTTTTGATTGAAATACTTATGAGCTACAGCACGGTACATATCATATCTTAAAAGAAAATCACCTTAAGTTTTATTCATTTATCGTATAACTTACCATCACAAATTCGAAATTAGCTCTATTAATTCTCTACTACAGCACAGAACTGAATGTCTAATCGATATAACTTAATTTACGATATCAAGAAAATTACAATTACAGGTACTGCATTTCATAAATCAGTCAAAAATTATGACGAAATGTCTGATTCGAAGTGCTATTACACCCACTTTCCTTAAGATTAATTTTTTTATAATAACATCAATGTTCTATTTAACTTGTTGTGAGGAAGATCATGATAAAACAAGATGTAAAAAAATGTCAATTATGATTGTGTTGTTAAGTCTACGACTGGCTAAGTTAACTATATAATCAATGTTAATACGTTCATAGCCGAAATTAATAATATTATCCGCAATTCTTTTTCAGCGGAATATCAAGAAATTTTGATATATATTACATATACACACATAAATAACTGCCCTTTTCCTTACAGAGGGAATACTCATCTATACGTAACATTTTTATCTAAGTCAATAGCAATATCTTAAAATATTAACGTGCCTGTTTTTTGTTATAAATTCTACATAAATACGTAAAGTAATAAGACAAGCGGTAATAAGTCGAATTGACATAAAAAAACATGATAATTACTGAAAAATGACTAACAATACATTGGCAATGCAGGCAAATATTTCTTATTTAGGTGATTCAATAATTGTCCGTATAAATATTAAACAGTCCTTTCGATTCGGTTGAATCTCATATGAATATCTTTCCTTTTAAACCGATCGAACATTAATGTCAAAAAATAATATTCGTGTTATCTAATTTGATAATTTAAAAACGTCATTGTTTTTTATCATTAATAGACTTAATTGTGCCGTTATTTTTTCTTTTTTTTAACAAGGATTAAGAGAATATATAAGTTAGTAAAAGTTAACGCTAAACATTAAATTTATGGATAATAAAGAAATTAATCACGAATAGTAAATTATCATCGTTATGATTGTCGATTATCGTCATCGTTTTTAGATCGATATCGATTGAAATACGCTTAAAGATATTAATGGAATATAAAATGTTTCTTGAGATCTTTATCTAATAAAAAATTAAAATACTTTTGCTACTATCCTAGACTGCACAACAATAACGAAAAATGATGTCAAATATGAATAGCAATACAGTAAGAAATAGCTGTAAGGAGTAATGATGAAAGAGAAAAATAGAATACGTATAGCACATTTCTGAAATTCTAGTAAAATTGAACGAATTTCATTCGTGATCGTAAAGAACTATTCTAATAATTGCAGCAAGGATAAGGCGAAATGAATAAATAGCAGTATTTATGTGTTAGAAACGAAAGAAAAAGCCAGCTAAAGTAAAATCATAGCCGTAGGATTGTAATGTAAAAATATATAAAATTTAACAGGACTAAGGGATGCAAAGCATACACTTTCTGCTCCTTTTACATGGCAGAAAATGAATTTATATTTGCCTTGGTCGTATCGACGTTAATTTTTTGTTTTTCTTATCATCAAATTTTTTTTAAAGAAAATAGCTAAAAGGAAAAAAAACACGTATAAAATAAAATTTGACAAAAGGCACACTACAAGAACAATATACCAAAATCTAGCACAAAAAACTCAAGAATTTCCAAAAATGGGATAAACTTCTTTACGGTTTCGAAAAATATTCAATGTGGTGGCCTAATTTTACCTACTTAGTTACAGTATTGGTAGTGTTTAAGATAATATTGCAAAAAATTTTTACCGTTGTCAAACGAAATGGTTGAATGACTTAGGACCATGCCAAGATAAAAAGGTCAGTGAGGACTTGGTATATTTTTTAATCAGTTTCTATCTTGATGATGGATGAAATGGGAGATAATAAAAAAATAAAATTTGTTGATATCCATAACCTCCAATTTAATTCAACAACTAGTAAGTTAGCCGATCATAAAATATGTCACTAATAAACTGATAGATAATACTATAAAGCGACGATCGAGAGAGAAAAAGTAAGAAAAATTCTGTAGACCTTTTTCTCCTATACTGTACTTGAAATACAATAAAAATGATTACAAGAGAATATTGTAAAGCACTCCTTTCCCTACTAAAATCGAAGATATGGAGTGTTATTGTATTGGTATTTTCGATTGCCTTGGCAACACATTTTCGTTTATTTTTTTAATATTCATCAACTGTACTGTAGTTCATGCTACAGTGCTGTATACTACGTACTGTACACAGTTTCGATAAACCGCCTATATATACTGTAGTATAATGCAATATTAGTTGTGCTTTAAAAGTATATGTATAGTGCATTATCCCATATTATATACACAAATCTGAATCTGAATGCTAAAAGCAATTCTTTTTTGGTATTGCTTTATATACGATTTGATTAATGTCAGTGTCTGCAGTATCTCTACTACCATGTAAGAGAGTGAAAGATAGACAATGAAATTGTTTGTCAATGTCTAGGCGCATAACATTTGTATACGTATTCTTGGCCTAATATCGTCAGCATTGTTTACTTT